TGTAGTTTTATAAAAAAAAATATATGATGTTAAATCTGTACTTTATCATACACGTTCTTAAATTTATGATTTTCTGATAGATCGATAAAGGACATTTAGTTTTGTAAATATTACGTTAAAAAAACATACGTACGAGTGAGAAGGAATGAATGATGCGATTGTTCGTACCAACTTTTTTTTAAAAGAAAAATGCAAGTGAGAAAGAAGGGCAAAGGCTAGACAGATGCGATTGCCCGTACGATTGTAATTCCTGACCTGCCGAGGATTCTGAACTGTACATACACCCCCACCCAGATTCTCCGTATCCGTCACATGCCAAACCGACTGATCGATGGCGTGCACAGATCCAACACGATCAAGCAAAACCGATTTGGAGCTTCTCCTCCCATATCTCAATCCGTCGTTTTATTTTGTAAACTGCGTGCACCGTACGTTGCCAACTCCCTCTTCTTTTTGCACGATGCGTTTCAGATTATGAGCAATATCTGTATAATCCAATCGATGATTTGATGGTTAACAAATCATGTCCATGTTACTCTCTGTAACTTTTACACAAGTCGGTTAATGCTTACGAGTGAAATTGACCATAAAGTATGAAGTCCTAGGAAATTAGTACTATCTCCCTCTCCGTTCCATGACCAATGATCATCGTATAAAAAAACTAAAATTTTCAAATTACTCAATCGTATAACACGTGTTTCATTTAATGTGTAATATTATTCGTTACCTTATGTGGTGTCACATTCCCATTTAAATTAGACCTCTTCGGCAAGCAGGTGCAGCAGCCGACCACAGCCTGCCCGCTGTTTTTCTTCTTCTTTTTTTTTCTTGCTTCACTGTTCCTATCAGGCCATGGAGTGAACGGAAATTCTAGAGGCCCGAAATGAAAACGATACTAGCATGATCATACAGCTCCCATGTGATCAAGATAGTCAGATATATACCACTGCCGGCCATATCGGCAATAGACCGTTTCTTGTTTTTCCCTTAATTCCAATTCTCCGTTAACGTTTGACTAAGCGTAGGCCACCTGAGAAGATGGAAACGAAAGAGAAATGAAAAAGGGGACCAGTGTGTGCTGCTGGGGTCACAGGTCAATGCAGGTTTACATCCAGACACACAAGGTAGTTGGAGGAGGAGAAGGTTTCAACCAAAACTTTTCAACGCGACAGGTGAGAAGTTTCGACGCTGAGAATCCGCTCGGATACGTGGTTGACGCAAGCAAGCGCACAGATACGGCCTTCCTGCAAAAGCACACGGAATTCGCAGCTCCTGACGTGCCGAATCGGCGGCAATGGCATCAAGCCATGAACTTTTCTGTCGTGAAGAAAATATTATCCAAAAAGGAGAGAGGGAGGGAGCATGTGCCCCAGCTGATGGGACCACGATACGGGGCTAATAATTTCCTGAAACTTTTGTCGTGTAGAATATCAATGGAGATCTTCTAGCAACTGGTCAATGGAGTCAAGTGTACATATAACACATCGCAATTAATAGGCATGGGCGGAGTCAGAAAATCTCTAAAAGTAGGCACAACTTGCTTATTCTCTACTACTATGCATTTATATGGGTAAATAACTTTTTTTATAAACTATGCATTTATGCGGGTAAATAACTTCATGTTCAAATAGAACTTGGCAGAAAAGACCTTACCTTATTCAGATCGGGGTCTGACATCTTCTATTCTCACTAAACAAGTTAGAGAAATTAAACGAGTAATATGCAAGTTTAGGTACTGGGATGACACAGTCGAATAAGTTTGAGGATCTAAACAGTCGATTTGCGAGTTTAGGGACCGGGATGACACAACGGTACAAGTTTAGGGACCGGTGATGGACTTTACTCTTGAAGGAGTTTCCATTCTTAAATAGTATATTTTCATATTTGAATATACCTTTTGTATAATATCAGATATGTGGTATTCCTGGTAGTTAGAAATATAAGTATAGGATGTATTCATAACCTGTAAAACTGACACACATATATATCAACCTTTAGGAAACTTTATATTCTACAGTTATTGTGAATCCAACAGGTGAGAATACAGAGAAGCCGAGAATCTAAACAAAATGTTAATTTTTTTGGGGGGCTTTAATTCTGTAAGAAGTTATTACGGGTAGTAGAAATACTATTATAGGCCCTGTTCTAATGTAATGAAAAGGATGGATTAAATTTTGTATTAAAGTGGCACGTTTTTTAAATTGCTAAATAGTGTGTTTCGTGCGAAAACTTTCTATATGAAAGTTGTTCTAAAATGTCAGATTAATCCATTTTTCAAGTTTGTAATAATTAAAACTTAATTAATCACACGCTATTAACACCTCGTTTTGCATGAAACACTTAATTTTCATCTTCAGTAGATTCAAACACCACCTATGTCGCTATGTGTCAGTTTTGTTGTTGATCAAGTTAAATACTATCTCTTTATCCAAAAGTTTTAAGTATATTCCATTTTCTTTAAACGAGATAGTCATATTTGTAATCATCATGTATCCAAAACTTAAATAAAGATAAATTTAATGGTTGATTGAAACTTAAGTGGCTATCTTAATACTTACTGTTTGCATGGATGTATATATTTCTTGATTTTTATTACATATAGGATGAGCTGATTTTTCTTTGATCTTCATAAAAAATGAAATACGTCCCAGAATTATGGATGGAGGGAGTACTCCGGATAAAAAGATACACGTTTTGTCTAAGTCAAATCCGATGTTGGAATCGAGACAGAGACAGGGGAAGGACACATTGAAGGAGGACGATCACAAAGGACATTGCTTCCGATCTCAAGCGTCCGTAAATTGATCTTCTGAACATGAACAGGCCCAGCACAGCACGGAGAGTATCGCAGAAAACGCAGATGCACCCTACTACTACTCCTACTGGCACAATTATCCGATCTGTCCTTTTGGTATAGGACCAAATCGAGCAGCAGCACCGTGACATTCATTCATCCATCCATCCATCCGACCACAGCAGCAGCTAGCAAATCTCCACACCGATCTCTCGAATTTACGCACCCGAATCCCCATTGGTTTCCGCGGCAGAGGAGTTAATGGATCCCCTGTTCCGCTGCTCGCCGTCGATGCAGCTGGCCGGCCGCCCGGTCGGCCGGCATTCGTGCAGCCATGCGGATTGGGTGTCGATTAAAGGACGTAAACGGATCAATTTACGAACCCACTTATTTCAGTGCTAATAAATGGATAATCCGTATTATGAGGCATTGAGGCTGTGTTCGTTTGTGTCCGGTGAGAACCATCCCTTTGACACATAAAACAGAACAACATATTAATATAATATTAATTAAGTATTAAATAAAATTACTTTAATAATGATTTTTTATAATTTTTTAAAAGCAACTTACTAATACATTATTAATTATAAGTATTAAATAAAACTTCTTTAAAGCTGAATTAATATAATATTTTAAAAGCAACTTTTTTATTATATTTTTATATAGTTTAACTGTTTAAAATACGTATGCGCGAAAAAATCTAAGAACACAGCCACCCAAATATGGACTGACACGTTTACACCTTTGGTTAATTGCAGGTCCCCTCGTCGGGCGGCGTCGCGGTCGTCGTCGGATCGGACGGCGTACGTGCCGCGATATCGATCGATCGATTGATATACGTATCGATATCGAAAGCGAGCGATCGGATCGGATCGGCGGTGATGGCAACGGATTGAACCACCGGGCTTTGAATTCGCGCGGATCCTGCCATGCACGCCACGACTGATTGATACACTACATGGATGGATTGATTTGATCGTGTGGCATCCAGAGGAGATCGGGTCCAGGGTGTTGCTAACCCAGAAGCCAGGAGGTTTTGTCAGACTAAAAACTAATCAAATCAAATATGGCCATCAGGAGAAGCGATTAGTACTAGTATATTTCTTTAATCTTTCCCAGCAAAGAGCCAGCTGACCTTTCAGGAATGCTAATCTCCGAAGGACAAAATCCTCTCCCAGATGTTGGCATTGTCTGGTTCACACTCCGTATTGCCTTTCGGGTTAAGTCTCCATTTTTTTTAATAGTAAAAAACCGTGTTTCAAACAGAGACGCCTAAAAACAAGCGATCTGTATCATCAGTCAAACCCGCACTGCAGAAGAGATCAGAACAAAACTTCTTCCGAACCAACATATCAACGATGATACGGATTTGGATATCGACGAATCCTATTTGAACTGAACTAAATCAGCCAAACCGGATAGCTAAATCCAAGACCAATCAAAAGCGGATTGTGCAATCGAGAGAGAAAAAAAAGCAGAGAAGAATCGCACGCGGCACCCATGCATGCAAATCTCCGGCACGTAAACAACTCTCGGATTCGCCTTCTGATACCGCGAGCAGCAGCACAGCAACCACAGCATTCAAAAGCGAACATTCAAAAGCGAAGAAGAAGAGAGGAGATCAAAAGGCCAAAAAAAAAAAGAAAAGAAAAGAAAAACAGCTGCGCACGCAGAGGAGAGGAGAGGAGAGGAGAGGAGGAGGCGAAAGCGACGGGGGAGAGAGAGGGGCAGGAACGGCTTCTTTGGTTTGAAGCCAATTTTGACCTTACCAAAAATTTTGGTAGTGCTAAAATCAAATCTTGACAAGTTTTGACACTATCAAATTAAATGCTATTGAGTTTAAACTATTGTGTCAAAAAATTGATAGCAAACTAAATATACATTTGTTACTATTGAACCTACCATGAATTTGGTAGGGCTACAAATTGGTACGAAACCAACCAAGCCCGAAAATCCCAGGCGGATCGCGGGGTGGCGGTGTCTGGCGTGTGGACCCCGCGGATCCCGTCCCCGGATCGAGCCGTGTGGGTGTGGGCCCCACCCGCTGTGAGGGTGAGGGGGGGTTTACTCGATCCCCGAGCCTCGGATCCCTTTGGAGATCTCGCAGGATTTCTCCCATTTATTTTTTCTTTTTTCTTTTTCTTCTTTTTCTAATTACGAGTCACACGACACGCATATCACCCCGCCTGTATATATACGCCAGCGATGGCTGCGCCTCCAACTCATTGCAACCGCAAAGCCTCTTCTCCTCTTCTTCTCCTACTCGCTTACTCAATCGCTCGAGGATTCTTGGATTGGATTATTGGGTTGGATTTTGAGTTGATCAATGGCGGCAGCGGCGCAGGCTCCGGCGGCGGCGAAGGTGGTGGTGGCGACGTCGCCGAGGGCAGGCGGAGGCGGAGGCGGCGGCGGGGACAGGAAGGTGGTGCCGGTTGTGGTGGCGGCGGCGGCCGGCGACGAGGCGCAGAGCGAGATGCACGTGCTGGCGGTGGACGACAGCTCCGTGGACCGCGCCGTCATCGCCAAGATCCTCCGGAGCTCCAAGTACAGGGTGACCACGGTGGAGTCGGCGACGAGGGCGCTCGAGCTCCTCTGCCTCGGCCTCGTCCCCAACGTCAACATGATCATCACCGACTACTGGATGCCCGGCATGACCGGCTACGAGCTCCTCAAGCGCGTCAAGGTAATTTAAATTCGATTCGATCGAATTATCGCGATGATCCATGTGAATGTGGAACCCCCAATTTCTTGAGACTGAATTTGTTTCGTGTGTGGTTCTTGCTGCAGGAATCGTCTCAGCTCAAGGAGATCCCGGTGGTGATCATGTCGTCGGAGAACGTGCCGAACCGGATCAGCCGGTGCCTGGAGGAGGGCGCCGAGGACTTCCTGCTCAAGCCCGTACGCCCCTCCGACGTGTCGCGGCTCTGCAGCCGTATCAGATGATCGCTCGCTCGCCATGTTGGATCATGGAGAGGATGATTAACTCCTAGGATTTTTTTTGGTGGCTTTCTCAATTCTTGGACATAGTTCTTCTTCTTCTGCTGCTGCCTCAAACAAGAAGCTAAACATTTGGGGCTTTAGGAGATGATTAGCCTTACTGCCTTAGCAAGTTAGAATTGAAATTAGGTGTCAGGCATTTGCTTGTTCCCCTGTGTGCTCTGCAAAGACGCCATGAAAAAAAAACAGAGAGAGAAGAGATTCTTCTGAAGCTTCTGTTCAGGAGGTTTCTCTTGTCACAATGTTGAAATGGCACCAGAGCATCAATCTGTTCTTTTTAACTGTTTCAAGATCGGTCAGAGTTTTGACATTAATTTAAGTCTTGCCAATTAACCATGCATCATCATCATAGTTTCTTCACATATTTCTGTCCTTGTGATTGTCTTTCTTGTCTGCTCTGCTCTGCCCTACCCTGTATATGACTAATTCATCAAGAAAAAAAAAAGGGTCTCTTATCTGTTCTTTTCTCTATGATCTGTACGTGCTGTATTATTGTATCAGTACAGGTATAATCGCAATCTTGTTGTGATCATCGCACTAGCGTGTATACGTATAAACAAATAATACCACAAATGTTCTTGGCCTGTCTTAGGTGAGCTGTTGTTGTATACGGTGTGTAAACAAATGAAAAAGTCCAAAGGGGGAGCATAATATAGATAAGATAATTGAGGAGATGACAAGACGGTGGAAGGATCTGCTCAGAGATTTGCTTACCTGGAAGCAGATTCTTCAAAAGAGACCCTGCATTGCATGTGGCCTCTCAGCCCTGATGTCGTTGGAATGTACAGTGCTAATTCCAGATTATGAAAAGAGATCTGAAGAAAATAAAAATCTGAGAGAGAGAGATGCATTCAGATTGGTTAGCAACTGTTAGGTCAGGTACAGGAACTGTTCTGATTTCTTGCGATTTTCTGGAACGTCAAAGTTGGAGAGCCTGGATTGGACGTGTTGGTTCGTTGGAATAGTTTTTGGTTTGCTTGCGAGGAAAAGTCCACGAAAACACTGTGCGATATGCCATGCCATGTTTTTTTGCTTGATCGCTTCAGCTGTGTGTGTGAGCACGTCTGACTTTGACCTTGATTTGTTTACTGGTTAAAAACGATGTACTCAAACATTTTTATTTCTTTTGTCCATCTCCGTTTGATTGCTACGCATGGACGTTTCACTTGTGTAGATAAATCAAACATTTTTTTTCCCTGGACGACAGGTCGTCTCTCGTCTGCTCCTCGTTGCATCTCTACACTCAAAATCTAACCTGCACGTACTCCAAATCCTGATTGATAGTGAAATCGCTTTTCTTTGGGTCTAAATTCGTGTTGAATTAGTACTAGCTTAAACGGCACGAATGGAATCAGCTTGATGAGAAACTTTCCTTTTCTCTTGACGACATTGCATTGATTGCATTGCACGGTTAAGACGGTCACTAAACTCTTCCGGCCGGGCACCATTAATTTCACCAGTCACCACTGCTCCAACTGAACGTCACATGACCAATCGGCTACAGTAGCAGTATCTTAAATGCGTTAATGGAAAAATGTATAAGGGCAAGTATAAGCCTCTGCATGTTGCCCCTAAATTTACCACATAAGGCACTGTTTAGATTCTCTAAAATAGTAAAAGTTTTGTCATTTTATAGCACTTTTTGCCATTTTGGATCTAAACACTAGTAGCAAAAGTTGGCAATTTGGTATTTGGCATTTGCTAGTACATAGTAGCAAATTGTGCCAAAAAGTGCTTTGGGACCACTCCCTCTCTCTTTCTCTCTCTCACTTTAGTGCTAGAATGACAAAACTTTAACATGCATCTAAACACCAACTAGTACTTTTGTAATGCCAAAACTTTTGCCACCAAGACTTTTGCCATTTGCCATTTGCCATTCCAAATGGATCTAAACATGCCCTAAGATTAGGTGATGAGTTGGAGGAGAGAAGTTAGGAGAGAGAGAAAATGAGCCACCTCTCATGTAAGGGGCAACCTCCACACAATCTCCAAGAAAAATATAAGATGATGTGAGAGTAAATTAATGTTGGGGTTTGTGAACTATAGGTGGCATGTTGTACTTGTTACCTCTTAATTAATGAGAATATGACATGGTTTAAATTAGATATGGCACTCACCTCCATTATAAAAATTTCCCTAAGGGCACCCACAATGGTTATCTATAAGCTCTCTACAAGAGATACATGTCAGCATATTTTCCTACTTGGAAGAGATTAAATGAAGAGAGAGAGTAAAACTATCTACTAATCTGGGGATAGTCTATAGAGAAAAACGAGGCAATGGATTAGAGAGCTATAGATACCCATGTAGACATACTATTGAGGTGGTTTACTATTAATCTAATCTATTGCTGAGATGTACATATTTTATAGAGAGCACCTTATTTTACCATTGCGGGTGGTCTAATACTACCTCCGCCCCAATATAAATGTAGTTGTCGTTTTTGTGTCCAATGTTTAATTGTTCGTCTTATTTAAGAAATTTATGAAAAGATTAGAAAAAATAAGTCATGCATAAAGTATTATTTATATTTTATCATCTAATAACAATAAAAATACCAATCATAAAAAATTTTTAAACAAGATAAACGGTAAAACGTTGAATACGGAAACTCCTAACTACAATTAAAATAAAACGGAGATAGTAGTTCGTCATATCTCGTCCTAGATCAGTTTTTCTCTAGACGGAGATCGAGCGTACTGGCGATTCCGATTCTCTACGGGAAAAACCCAACCAAACGCATCGATCGCGCGTACGGGGAGAGTTGATGGCCGAGGCCGTATGCAGATACGAGACAGCGACGGGCGCACGCAACACGGCCCGGGTGGGTCGTGTAGCGTGCGTGCGAGAGTGCGTCGCGGCGCGTGTGGGGACCCGACGGGATCGTATCCCGTGTGTGGTACGTGGTGTACGGGGGGAGGTGGGGGCGTTGTACTTAAACTAAGCTAGTAAACCCTGTGTGCTTTGGTTCAGTTGCTACTTGCCAGTTGCCACTGCCACGGCCGCTGCTTCTCGTGGGATCCTCTTTTTAACAACTGGTCCATCCCCTAAGCTAGGAGTACTTAATTATGGTGTACGTGGAAGCGGTTCCTCTGACGTGAACTAACCGATAACGTGGTCATTGATAGGTCGGCCCATAAGCGGTGGGCCTAACCTGTCAGTGACCACGTTCCTCTGATTTCATGTCATACGATCCCAATCAGATGTACGTTTAGGTCTATACATTGCCACCTGAAGCTACCTCTCTAACTATGTGTATTGATGTGTATATTATATAGTACTAGTAGATATTGTTTCGGAGAGTGAATTTTAAACTCTCGAGAAACGTTCACTCGTTTTTTCATGTCACTCAAGTAGTTATAAAATAAATTAAGAAGATGTATAGCATATAATCACTCTGCAAATATGCAAGTTGAAATTCAAATTTTACATGTTAAAAAAAATTAAACTACAACTAGTTAATGTATATTCGCAATTAAATTTATTTTTCCTCGAAAAAAATGTTTTTTCATTGTAACATGTAGAAGTTAATTTTACATTTCATGTTTGTGGAATGATCTGTCACATGTTAATCTATCTTGTTGATTTTCTAAAAAAAATATAACCATTTGAGTGATATGCAAACAACGAGGAAATATCTCCTCGAGAGTTTAAAATAGTTTCCCAATTATTTTGTCATTACTTTTTCTAACTACTTTACGCAGGGTGTGTTTGATTACCAGTCATACTTTGCAGCTAAAAGTATGGCGTGGCAAAATGTAGCTAGGAACCAAACACCTCCACGGTATTTTCTCATGTGCAGTGGTGAATCCAGAAAACAAACTAGATAAAGCTACAATCATCTCTCTCATCTATGTATGGTAAAAAAAATAGCGGTGAGGGCTTCATCAGGGCTCTTAGAGTCTTCACGCTAATAGTGGAGACTCGAGACCCCGCTACCATATACTGGATCCGCTCCTGCTCGCGTGAAGTTCTAATATTTGTATATTTAAGTTTTTGAGGTTTAACGGCACGTATTTTACAACGTCATTTATTTGTAAACGGAAGCACTCCTGTACGAAAAACAGGTGCAGCACATGGTCACATTGCATTTACCAGATGGGAGTACATTAGTAGATGAAAATGAATGACGACCTCGCATTCGCGTAGAATGGACGACACAAGCAGAGCTGTCAGGTTGTGTACAGTGTATGCAAATTGAGAACCCCAGATGTCGTACATGAAGTTTACCCTGTCGTCCACAGTAGGCCATAGACGTGTCCGGTGCAACTAGGCACGTGCTACGGTTGAGGCCTCCATGACTGAACATCGTTGCATGGCCAGACCATGGGCGTTGGCGTTGGCGTTGGCATGGCTGTCATCCCATGGAGAAGCATCCAAATCTCGGGGATTACGGGAAAGGGATCACGACGAGCGAGGCAAACCGCGCATACAATCGAGAGGGCAGAGGCGACAAGCGAGAAGAACCGAGACCTGGGGCTACCTGCCGTCAGGTGGAACCAAATACTCCAATCCCAGCCCCAGGTCATGCAAAACGGCAGGCAGCCATCCACATTCCACCAGGCTACGGTGGTGTTCTTTTCTCTTAAAAATAAAAATAAAGATCAATCTACTTATGTAAAATAAGTTGGTATTAACGTATAATTAATTAAGTTTTAATTATTATAAACTTAAAAAGTATATTCATATGATATTTTAGAATAACTTTCATATAAAAAGTTTTCGCACGAAACACACTATTTATCAGTTTAAAAAACGTGTCATGAAAATTTTTATCTTCATCCAAAACTCTATAGAAATGAACTGGACAGCTCTCTCGTATTTGGCATATCCACGAGGGAAACGTGGGCGTGGAAACCATGAGCGCTCGCGGCTCGCTCGCGCGGGTTTTGCATGGCATGGAGGCGCGGTCTGGTGGTTGATTGGTCGGGGGGATCGCGTCGCCTCGCGCCTCGCCCGCGACACGAACGCGATCGCGGGGGATTTGACCGCAGGATCGCGGGGGAGATCTCGCGCGGTGGACCGCCACCCGACCGCTTGATAGCGGCCAGCGCCGACGCGGACGCTTGGCCTTCCCATGCCGCTGGCCGCTGCCACTGGCTGGATCGATCGGCACGGTCGATCGGGGTTGGGCTCATCCGGACCCCTACTAGAATAGGGAACACTAGTACGGTACTTACCACTGTAGTCCTGAGTGTCACAGGAGAGAGATCTACCCACCAGCAGTAACAGCTAATGGTTTCAAAGGAAGGGACTGTTTGGCACAGCTTTAGCTCCAGCTTCACCTCTTCTGGAGCTGGAGCTCAGCCAAAAATAGTTTCGGCTCAATCAAAACTAGGAGTGGAGCTGAGTGGAGCTCTCTCACAAAATAAACTAGAGTTGTGGAGCTGGGTTTAGGCAGCTCCACAACTCTACTCCAGACTCAACTCCTAGAGTTAAATTTAGGAGTTGGAGCTGTACCAAACAAGCCCGAAGCTTTTAGATTTTAGTAAGAAACAGCTAATGGTAATTTAGCTGATGAGTCTATAATTTGGGAATACAATCTTATGGTTTTTATAGGACTCCGTATATATTTTTTAAAACTTTACCATAAGCTACTTAAAAAGAAGTATAATGGCATGGTTCCAATTTTTCCTAAAAAGAATATCAGCCATGCATGTGGCGTGCATTCACCCAGTGAAGAAGGTAAGGAACTAGAGAGTGAAAACATAAAATACGGGTCCACGGTGACATGTACGTTTGCCCGCAGACACCGGCCATGCATGGGACCGGTAGGTGAGCTTACGATGTACAGCGTCTCAGGTCGTCAATTGCGTCCACAGGTACATGCTATCATGTCCCCAGGGCGTAATGATAATCAAATGGGCACGGTACAATCAAGGAGATTGGGCAGGAGCTAGCTCACCTCGTCGCTTTCAGAACGACCTGCGAACAGTGCAAGAGACCGGCTGCTTTGCTGCTAGACTTCCATCCAAGTGCGTGCCGATCTTTTCCAAGATCGGCGACTTGCGATGCTTCCATTGCAATGGAGCCCACTGTACGTACGTAGGTGCGATTTAGTAGTCATGTTATCAAACATGAGATGGAGCTGGGTGAAACATGGAAGTCACGCTTGCAGATCTGCAAAGATCCGGTGATTTTGCCCCGTGGAATGGAATACTTAAAATTTTGATGTGAGGCCGAGAGATTACGACGGGAGGATGCATCGATCTCACAATCACAATCTATCCAAGACTTGACGGAGCCGGAAGGATCGGATGCGATGTCAATACATGGAATGCCACCATGTCGTTTTCTACTGCCCCCGGTTTGAGCTGATGAGACAACGTGCATGGTTGTGTGTCAAGTTTCAGCAAAGCATCTGGACTCTGGATGGACTAACACGTTGCGATGCCTGATGCGTACGTACGCTGCGATTCTGGAGTTGTAACGCTTACGCTGCGGTTCTGGAGTATTACATGTCACTCTCTGGCTGCACACACGGCGACTGACGTGCCGGTTTTCTGCAAGCTCTAGAAGCATGGAGTATCTGTCTAATTATTTGCAGGCAACCACCTGCTGTACAAAAAATACTACAGCCACGGTAGGTATCGTGCGAGACGTGTACCCTTTCACCTGCTCATCACGGGCTTTAAATACTCACTCTGTACGTAGGTGCGGCACTCATCGAATTAAAAGAGGGGACATGTCTCTAGCACGGGAATTTCTTAGGATCTAAGGGTTGGTGACAGGCCTACGAGCAAAATCTAAGAGGACAAAGGGATCCCAGATGAGGAAGGACGATCTGGCTTTATGGTATTTAAAAAACTTGAAAGGCCAGGACGGTTGTTAAGCAATTCTTCAGATCTAACAAAGCGACCAAAATGGCGCCCAAGCGCTACGCAAAGTAGCTGCACATACGACAACCGAAACAATTTAGATGTTTCGGTGCGGCATTAGATACCATATAAGAACTGCGTAATTACATTAGCATTTTGATCGGCCATATATAATTTAAGGTCCTACAAAATTTTGGCCGAATTCGATGGTCCTTGCAACAAGTACCTTCAAAGCTGAGGTGGTTGTCAGGCAGACAGACCACATGATGTCTTCAAATGGTCTAGAGTTGCCAATCAATGGCAGATAGTCCCAGCCTCTCCAAGATCTGATTCGTTTTAGAAAAGTGCCTGTTTAAGATAAGCACAGCACAACGATCATCAATAAAAATTTATCCTATTGCAGGCTGATTCAACGATAATCACAAGGGCAAAAGTAGCATTAGAATGATTTGAATTGGCCCCATAAACAGTATCTGAGATGCCAATATCCAATTCACGTTCTATATGTTGTGCCTGAGCTAATGCTCATTTGGATCTAGCCATTAACACTAGTGAGTGAAAAGGCAAAAGTAATATCAAGTTGGCAAAAACAAGACAGGACAAGACGGCCAAAAGCATTGAGGGTTTATAGCAGTATAGCACCACTCAGCATGGACCGACAGTACCATTGTATAGTGGTGCAGGTGAGTTAAAGTTGATCTTAGGATAAATCATTATAACCCACCCACTAAATCATCTACAGTAACAAAGATACCAGCCATTGGTGGGTTGTCTAGCATCAAATAGATATTATGGCGCCGCATATAGGGCAATCCTGATATGCAAGTGCTGAACAATCATAATAATTCAGTTTTATACTAAGTAACATAGTCTTTATTCTCTCTGAAGTATGCTATTCAAATTTAACCTAAGTTACAGAAATATATCAGCTCTCCCTTCTGTGATGTTTTACTCCTATGTAGAGTCTAGTCTTATTTTTTAACTCACAGAAACAAATGAAGAAAGTTCATTTTATCTGACAAGAAAACAAACCTGCATCCAAAGAAACCTCTGCTTGCAGACAGCCCTGATGGATGAGCGGATTTCAAAATGTGGTGTTTTGTTTCATCAATCAATCTGCAAAACAGCATGCAGGTACTCTTGTCTCTCAGCTGACATTATAATAGCCAGTTTTACAAAATATTCTTTTGATAGCGCCAACATTCCAAGTCACAGATTTGCAGATGTGAACGAAGCAATACCTTGTCTTTGCTTGAGCTGAGTTTCCCCAGAGAATAAAGACTATTCCAGATTTCTTCAGTGATATTGTCTTAATGACAGCATCAGTAAATTGCTCCCATCCTTTCTTGGCATGTGAATTGGCTTGATGTTCTCTCACTGGCCCGACAAGATGAAAATGAAATCAGCAAAAATATACCCAACAAGATACAACTTCCAAACAAATCAATTCTACCACAGCATTCAGGCAGATCAGATACTGAGAGTAGATTTTAATGGGAAACTAACATGGTAATGATATTAGTATTGTTTATCTCCTGCTGGAAATGCAGAACAGCACAGCTGGTGGCAACCAAACTTCTAGTTGGAGCTTTCAGTAAGGAAATTGTTTAGCGTTTACATTATTATCCTAGCAATATAGTAACAACAAAAGAGATGTTTTATTTCTCTGATTATAGATTGACACTATAGAAAATTAAGAAGTAGGATTGTTCAGTGCTGATAAGAAACTCGTGCAAGGATAGAGCAACTAAGATCACAATAGTGAATTCCCATGGAATAAAGATTCTCAACAGAGGAATGCATTACTTTGCACTAAGCTAGAGGAAGAGGACAAGCAACATCAAATAAATGTGATACAGTAGCAACTGGAAGAAACCTTTGGGGAGCCTGTAATCCCCAGCCCATCTCTGTGGATGGGCCATGGATCGTGGGCTCCCAAAACAGGCCTATGTGTAATGCAACACTTTATTATTTTTGTGGTCATGATTATAAAAGAACCTACAAGTTACATCACAGTTTAATCAAGATTATGAATACATAAGAGCTAACAAAGCAACAAAAATAAAAATAGTTTTCAATGTAAATGGGAACAATAATCATACCAGTTAATACAGTGTTGAGCATAAGAACACCCTGTAAAACATGTGTTTCCCATGTTAGACAACATCTCCCAAAAAACAGTCATAGAAAGTTTATCATGCTTTGCTAAGAACTAATGGAATAACAGCTTATCCACTTTCTATATCAGATAGAATTAATAAGAACAAACTAGACCCTAGTGGATTTTTTCCTTCACAAGACCTGTCTCAAAGTAACAGACCTATCGTCTCCATGGCGTCCAAATAGTGTTATATATAGACCACAAAATACAAAACTATCTAGTTGTTAAAGGTACTAGTGCATACAAATCCTCTTGTTTTTGCAACACGAGTTAACATTAAGATAAAAATAAGAGAAACGGCATGTTGTTACAAATGTCAGGGACTCAGGGCAGTTTATTCGGATGTTTATCAAACCGCCTTACCTGCACAGCCCATCTTTCCAAGTTTCCATGTGAAGGCACGGTGCAACCTAGATCTTTTTGCAGCTCTTTAAATATGTTTGCTAAGCTAGAAGGAATTTTGATCCCCTCTGGTACTGAGAAAGACAACCCCATCGCCTGACCAGGTCCATGGTATGGATCCTGAAGAATAGACATTCCACAACATGACACAATGAAAATGAACAGTTCAATTCAAATGCAATTAAAGTACTGCAGGAACTCATGGCATGTTCTATGATGTCAGAAAGAAAAAATTACATCTACATGGGTCTAAGTTGCTCAGGGTTACAAGTACCGAGTGGTTTAAGGACAGATCAAAACATATGGTATGTCACAAAAGCAGTAAAACAACACCATCAATTAAAAGCTGAACAAAAAGGCGAGGCATAAACTTATTTTCCCCTGAACTAGCTGTTGTAGAAATATGATTGAGCAGGCTAGCATCCAAAATGATTAAAAAAAAAAAGGTAAACACTATTACTATCATATAAAGGGCAAGCAAGGTGAACAAGCTCAAATCACTTATTTTAGCATGATATGATACAAGGAGAACAGAAGCGATCATTTATATTCTAATGACATAATAATGCCTTATCCATGTTGTCAATCTAATGCCAAACAACACCAACACACTGAAACAAAAATAAGTACCAGATCCTCAAAATGATGCTACATTAGTGGACCTGTCGGGCGTTTTCCACTGCCTATCAAGCATTTTAGTACTATCTAGAACCAAATTCATACCATGTTCCGTAAGAATTAATCAACAATATAAAACAACAAAAACACCCCACATTAAACACAAATGCATCAATGGCCACAGAAGCAGTCCAGCAAAACAAGTGTTCCACAATCTCCTAGAATTAATGAAGCACACTATAAGCATCAAAGATAATTAGCCCCATTGCAAAAAAATCCTGATCACAAACAGCATACATTATCTATTACTTGAGAAACAAGTGCAACCATTACATGTAAGCGTTGATAGTAAATTCTACAAGCAAGGTAAAATGGCCACAAGTTTACGCTGCTATGTATATTTGAAAAGGATACCTCCTAAGAGCACAGAAATCCACGCGAATGGATTAGCTTAGGGAGTGACGAGAGAAAATGGGGGAGGATGCGATACCTGCCCGATGATGACGGCCTTAACACGGTCGAACGGGGTGGCGTGAAGCGCGTGGAAGACTAGATGCGGCGGCGGGTAGACGGGCACCGGGCTATGCAACCTCTCGTGGGCGACGAAGCGGCAGAGCTCGAGCGCGTAGGGTTTGTGCAGCTCCCCGGGAAGCGCCTCCAGCCACGTCTCCTCGACGAGCAGCTCCTCCAGCTTCGCGGTGCCGCCCGACGCTAAAACCGCCAGCACCAAAACCCTAAGGGGCGGGCGTTCGCGCGGACTGAATCGTAGATTGTGGTGGGGTGTGCGCGGGGTCACCTACCTTTGGACTCGGCGAGGCGGAGGTGGCGGCGCGCCCGGGCGAGCGCGAGGTTGGTGTCGGCGCGGCGGCGCTGCTCCGGCGAGAGGCTGGAGGAGGAGAGGGGGGCCGACGCAGCGGCGGCGGGAGCGGGAGAGGTGGGGCGGAGGCGCTTGGAGGGGCGGATGAGGTAGTCGGCGATGGTTTTGGGGGCGGTGGGAGGGAGAGGCGGCGCCATTGGGGAGGGGGTTGTGCTTGGCGATTTGGGGATTTTGTGGAGAGGGCGAGACGTTTTGCTCGACGAGCAGCGGGGCGGGGAGGCAGACGATGTGTAGAGGAGGAGGAGGCGGAGAGCGGGGTAGCGCTGTGCCCGATGTGGCAGTGGCGCGCGCGCGGGAGAATTGGAGCGATTGGCGCGCCCACGCCGCCGTCCTTGGCGCGTGATTTTGGCGAGGGTATGGCTGTGCGTGTTGTTGTGTGGGGGTATGTTCTGTTCTCGTGCGGCTCGTTGCTCCCCGGACGAAGAGAGACATCGCGTGGCGTCTGCGAGCCGAGGCGCTAGCCCGGCCCGGTTTCTCTACGGTCCAACAAAGACGACGTAGAGGCGCGGGTGGACCGCAGATCAGTTTCGGGGGATTGGCCCAGAGTCTAATCCCATACAATTGCATCAAAATACTCTCCTCTCAACCACCACACTAAAAGGGATCAGGTTCCTCTACACTTCTACAGTTGAAGTCGTGTGACTTTGTTACTGACGTATGAGCAGTATTCTAAATCTCCGGCAGCTATAGCCGGAGATAGCGGATTGAGAGGAAAACAGCTAGGATACTTCAATTTTAACGCTATGATTTATCAACCACTAATAGCTGCACTTAGTCAGAGATAGCCGCTAAATTACCCGTATATAGCGGCACTTAGCTGTGGCTAAACAAATTTAGAAAGCAAAAACTGAAAACGGGCTTTCGACTTGCATGGCCCATAAAGTTCAACCCAACAACAAACCCTAAATAGTCGACTCCTATCCTCTCCCACTCATGCGTTGTGAGACACGATCGAAACGGTGGCATCTTGCGGCGACAGCAGCGGCTCCTAAGGTGGCGGCAGCGGGGTGCCTCCCCCAAGTAGCGGCGGTGGCGGCGGCTGCTGCTGCTTCTCCCGGTGACGGCGGCTCCTCCCCCAAGCATCGGCGGTGGCTGCTGCTTCTCTCGACGGCAACGGCTCCTCCCCCAAGCAGTGGTGGCAGGTGCTTCGTCTCCCGGCGGCGACGGATCCTCCCTCAAGCAGCGGCGGTGGCTGCTTCGTCTCCCGATGGCGGCGGCTTCTCCCTCAAGCAGCGGTGACGACTGCTACTTCTCCCAGCGATGGCGACTGCTCCTCCCGGCGGTGGCTGCTACTTCTCTCGGCGACGGCGGCTGCCTCTTCCCCACAACGAACGGCCACCATTCCTCCCCATCCCCTTCACCAATCCTCCTCTATGTGCAATCAAGTAAGTGATATGTCAGTTTTTAGTTCAAATTCTATGAAAAAATTGAATTTTTTTCTAATATTTTCAAAAACTGCTAAATGTCTTAGCTGCAGTTATAGCCAGCTATAGCTGCTCTTAGATACTGGAGAGCTCAACCGCTAAGAAGCTTAGCAGGAGATTTAGAACATTGCATATGAGTCTGATGATCCCTAGGTCAGCATGTCAATGACAAAGACACCATACATTTGACTGCAGATGATTTCAATCCCACTAAAAGTTGTGTTCGGTCTTGTTGGTTGGGAACGTTTTCGCTTTGCATGGAAAATAAAGTAGCTCATTAGCATATGATTAATTAAGTATTAAAAAAAATTAAAAAATGAAATAATACGATTTTTAAGTAAATTTTATATAAGTTTTTCGTTTTTAGAAAAAAAAATCATCGTTCAATAGTTCCGGAAGTGTACACGTGGGAAAACGAGTTAGTGGAGGATGGGAACCTACGCATGCACGTTCATAGGATGAGTTAGGAATTTCTCCATCCTGCAAAAAAAAATGAGGTAACGCATAATTCATTAATTATTAGTTTAAAAAATAAAAATAATTAATCGTTTTTAAATAAATTTGTCTATATAATTTTTTTTGCAAAAAAAATATATTGTCATGCAGTTCGGAAATTGTGCGCGTGAAAAATTATTAAAAAAAGAAAAATGGTGTACCGAATGTAGCCTAATACTTAGAAAAAAAAACGAGGTAATGGTTTCCGCATCAAAGACAAGGAGGAAATGTAAACACAGCACTAAGAAAATCTCGTGTTTTTCTTCCACGCCAAATCCATTCTATATGTATAATACTAGCACGTCACCGTACGTCGACTTGGAATTTCTTGATAGGCCTGCCATGGTTGGTGGAGTTTTTTTAAAAAAAGAAAAATCTCAGAAACCTATTTGTTGAAGCTATTAGTTCGTTGCAAGTTTAGCTCGTTGTTTTAACTTTACTAGTAAAATGTCCGTGCGTTGCACTGGATAATGTCGCGGCAATTGAAGTTTAACTGAACGATTTTTTAAGCAATATAGTATGTCAATAATAATCGCAGAGTTTTTTTTGACAATTATTCCACGTGTATGTGTATAATATGAACGATGTACCTGATGAGTTAATAGTGTGAATGCCATGGTCATTTTCATGCAAGAGGCAATGGACAAAAAAATTGTGATTAACAAAAAAATGTATTTAAAATAGAAAATTTTCATAATACCAATAATAATCAAGATGGATAAAAAATACTTTTGGATATTTACTAATAGCCTTGTAGAGGTTACGCCTGCTTTCTCGCTTATGTCAACTCTCACGTTGTAAGCATGCGTCTTGTTTCACTATCATATATGGACCCGCGTTGAGACCGGTATGTGACATGTGAATGATAGCACACATTTTTTTACAATTGATATTTTTTATCTCAAATAAATATTAAAGTGAAACTTCCGGTGATTTTGATGTCAACAATAAAAAATAATAAACAAAAAAAATCACTCATTGTATCTAGCATCAGAACAGAGCCGTAGTTGTCGCCAAACAAATTGAGCACTGACTCCAAGCCATTGTTGATGCGCACACTGATCCACCACCAGCGCCTGAATCCTATCGCCTCTCTGCCTCTATCTCACGCGGATCCGCCGTCAGCGGTTACGGGAGGGGCAGATTCGGCGAACTCTTCTCATCCCACACTGATCCCGTCATCTCTCCGCCTCCCTATCGCACGGATTCGCTATCGGTGTGCGACGTGAGGAGTGGATTCGACGACCTCTTCCCCTCCCGCATGGATCACGTCGACTCTCTGCATCGAGAGGAAGGATAAAGGCAAAAAAACGATGGATGGAAAAAAAAAGGAAAAGGCAAAAAAATAAGACGGACGAAAAAAGGCGATGAATAAAAAGCGGATGAGAAAAAGGGTGAAAAAAAGATTGACGAAAAAACCCGGAAGCCTTATGTAAATCCCCGTGCGTCGCACTGTGTAATGCAGAGTGATTGAAGTAGGATTTTAACGATTTATTAAAGCACCCAACCATAATCATAAGAATCAGAGATATGTTCGATGACTAAGAAGTCGTGTTTGTTTCTAGACAATTAATTTTCCCTACATGTGCGGGATTGTTAGCAACCGAATTTGGTAGTATCAGCGTCGGAGGTGAAGATGGGATCGAAGCGGAGTCGGAAATAAGGATTGTTGCGGGAACAGAGTAAGAATCGGCTGGAGTCCAGATCGGCTACGACTAAAATCGACTAAATCTGAATCAGACTGGGTTAGGTGATACAGCCGATTCCGGCAATACGACTTGGTGTACAACATATATGCTTCAAGATGATTGCCGCACATGGATAGAGTCCTGAGAAGGCAATTGTATCTATTAATTAGGATGTTTTACGTAATTTCCTTAGAGATATGCTTAGGGCAAAAGTCTGCCGCAAAGACTTATGATATCTTAGAGTTTGTTAGAGATAATAGTCGTGTCCGGTATGGACATATCTTATAATTCTCGGGTATAAATAGACCCCGAGCCCTATGTAACTAAAAGAACACACGTTCAATACAATCTTGGCGCATCGCCACCCTTTTTGCTTTAGTTTTATTTCGACGAGTTATTGCTTTCGAGTTGAGCTGCATCGGTTTCGATCTTCAACAAGAGGTAAAACTTGTTATGACGGCTTGCGTTCTCGGGATTAGTGATTCCATCTTTATGACACTCTAATCTTGTTTATGTAATTCGCCGAGTTATCATATATCCTACATAATCCCTGGCAATATTGATATCTAACCTACAATCGGCTAACATCCGTCAATAGAAGGCAGCCGATTAAGTTAAATACCGATGCTGACTTAGATTATATAGGATATCTACCACTCTATGACACATCCGACGGCTTGATTGTCTAGATATTGTCCTTCTTTTCATACTTATAGCTGCATCAGTTAAGTTTGATCTTATGAGTCGTGATTAGAATCTCAATCTCTACTACTTCTCGGTTGCTGATTAGGGTAGCATCGGAGTTTCAGCCGATCTTACTTGATTTAACTACTTTTTATCCTATATGCTTGATTGACATGTTAAATCTGCCCTTTACGTTAAGATCTTGCTGCATTTAAGTATGTTAGGCTGTTGTTTAGTATATTCTACTTGCTTTGATATCTTAATATAAGGTGGTATCAGAGTATTAGCCGATACATGCTAGATCTATCTGATCGGTTATACTATGAACGTATATAGTCTCATTATTAATATATATTTCGATCTAAGTGATTTATACTGTCTCGGCATAGCGACCGATCTATCCCAATCACTTAATTTAAGTATATATCGATATAAAGATTATATATTGTTAATATCTGCAGTTGATCGAGTAGATTTAGTCCCTTCTTATTTATTAATGACTGCCGATCGATGCATATATGACATCGGCTCAAAGATAATTGATATGTCATCGGCACCTAGCCGATTGACTATCATTTATAGATTTAACTGCGGTTTCTTTGCTTCTATTTCTTGTTGATTACAGGATCAAATCAACTGGCACGCTAGCACACCCGAATGCGAGCTTTGGACCTGTACTGGAGTTAAGCAGATCTCCCAGGCCTCGTGTTTTCTGTCAACAGGGATGTGGATGATGCCTCTGACATGTGGTTCGGATGGTTGTAGCGATGGAAGAACGTTTGGAAGAACATTACAATTGTGTTTGCGCAGAAGGCGACGGATGGAAATTTATGTGATGAACATAAATATTGATATTTTTTAAGTAGGTAAGTTTAATAAAAAATAAATGGAATTTTCTGGTAATCTATGTGCTTTAACTATGAGAATATATAGTACGTGTTGAGACATGAAAAAAATGTGTGGAGTTAAACCGACGACACATTAGAATTGTGAATATCGATGCTACTTTTTTGCATTTTATTTTCTTTTCTGAAACCTTTATATCATTTTTTATAATTTATGATTTTTGTCTTAGTAAATATTGAAGTTAAGAATTGATGTTTTTTATGTTAATATTAGAAAAGTAAAATAGTGAGGAGGTGATGAGCTGTTGCACACCACCAACCTGACCAGCTGCCAGCTCTCACTTTCTAGATAGCTCGAGGAGGTCAGAGAAAATGAGAGCTGTTACACTTACACACCACTCTCTCTCTCTCTCGTTCTCTCTATTTCTCCCTGTTTTCCTGTGTCTTTCTCCACCTCCTCATATATCGCCAGCAGCCACTCCTGCTCAAAGCCGTCGTTGCCAACCAGATCCACCATGCCACCACCTGCTATTGCATTTAGCTTCTTCGATAGTGCATTTCCGTATTGAGACGGATTCACCCCTCCTCGCCTGGATCCCATAGTTTCTCTGCCTCCTTCTCGCGCAGATCCGCCATCGTCGGCGACGGGAGGGGCGGATCCGGCGACCCCTTCCCCTCCTGCACGGATCCCGTGGGCGGCTTCACTCCTCCTCGCTTGGATCCTGTCGTCTCTCCTCCCCACTGTCGCGCGGATCCTTCGTGGGTGGTGATGGGAGGTGCGGATCCGGCGATCTCTTCCCCTCTCACACGATTCTCGTCGTCTCTCCGCCCCCCTCTCGCACGGATCTGCCGCCAGCGACGACGGGAGGGCGGACCCGGCGGCCTCCCCTAGGGTGACGACGGCAATTGGTTTCAAGAGGTGCCGATGTCCATGATGAGACCGTATGCGTCTCATGGTCTCCATCACCAAAGCCGCCGATAGCGCCAAGAAGATGTACATTGCTCTTGAGCTCCCCCGATCCCCACTCGTTCCATCACCATCACTCAACGGACTCCCCGCTAGCTGTCCGGCCGGCCGGAGAGGAGGGTTCAAGCTTGCAGACGAAGGTGGACCGAGGAGAGCGCAGCCGAGTGGTGGCACTGAAGATAGTGGGCGTTTCTTCATGATTTCAGGTGCGTTCTCGGTTGATTAACATTTTCCTAGCTTTTTGATTACACGGTTAGACATGATTTTGTCTGTGTATGTGCATGTGGGGGTCCGAGGGATATGGATGGGTGTTTTTTTTTTTTGCTTGTTGGGGGTATTGGTGTAAACTTATCAGATATCTAAACATAGTAAATTTTTTTCTCCTGTAAAGCATATCTGATTCAGTTTATCTAAGTGCTTAAGTCCTATGGCTGCCATAGATTGGGGTTAGTTTTGTCCTTAATATAGGATTATAGGACTACAAACTCTTTGATGATCCTGTTTGTGTGTACCTGTGTATGATTACTTAGACTTTGTAGGAGCTGTTCTGCTATTTTCACATGCAAACTTTTTATCCATTTTTCGCATCTAGAATTATTGGTCAACCATTATTGAACTCATTTAAACTATATGGATCTGAAGTTTTTATACTGAATATACCTCATTAGTTGCCACACAAGGTCATATCTTGTTACAAAGTCAGTGATTCTAAAAATTAATTTGAGCATATCATGTCTGTGGAGTAGTTCATGTTCACTTTTCTTCTTTCGGAATTTGTGTTCTTTGTTTGTGAGACCAACATCTTCAGGATTGATTAAGCTGTTATACAGATATTTTAATCTTTTAGACATATATTGCTTGAAGAATTGAATTTGGGAAAAATGTGTAGTATTTCAGCATCCTTGATTAGGTCACACATGTTTTGACAAAATAATATGTTTTGTAATCATTATACTCAAGCGTATGTGAAAATAGTAAATTCTGGAACATGTTGATCAGTCCGAGGTTGGGAACATGTTAGTTAGGTAACACACTGTCCATCTGCTCTATGTTGTAGGGGAGGAGCGGATTGTTGAGTGGATTCGAGGCAGAGATGGTGGTTAGGATGGAGTGGTGATGTCATCGGAGGTTGTCTCGAATGCTGCAGTCGAGGTGTCTGAACCGGTGAGTTTTTTTAAGCTGATATGAGCTTTGCTATGTTTTTCTTTGTCAGAATAATTAGATTGGACAAATAGTTTATTTGATTTGTTTGGTTTGAGTGGATCAACCAAGAGCATATGTCTAGGTGGAGAAGTGTATTCATTAAAAACTTGTCCTGTTACTCTATATTGGTCGAATCTTGATGCGTTCTTCTCGGTGGGGCTCGTGGACGATAGCAATGTTCCAGAATTTACTACTAAAATTTTAGTAGTATTTCTTAAGTAGGAGGGCAAATTGTGTTTTTATGATTATGTTATCATGTAGCTTCCTAGTGCAAGAATCTAGTCGATAAATACTATAGTGAACAAAAGAATGGAATTATTTCCATTCTGAAATTCTAAACATACATATACATATGCTAGTCTGTAAGTGAGAAAATTTGTCAGGCAGCTTAATTCCTGGACTGAACTGCTTGTTTTCCTTTTTTTTTTGCCCCCTTAAAATGCAATGATACATCTTGTGACTACAAATGCCATTATTAATTACCAGTTGATCATCTTGATAAATGAGACCATTGCTGCTAGCTTGATCTCCAAAATCTTAGGACGCCCAACAAAACCGGTTTGGTGCTCAACAATTCAGAAAAATCCAATTAATTCAGATTATATTCGTATGATAATTGTATGGTGTCGATTATATTAGTTATAATGAGCACTAAGGCAAGTGTTCAAATTGACTAAGAATTCTACTATGATTTTGCTGTCAGGGTTATACAATAGATCATGCATTCGATTCCCGTGTTGAGGGATGTTCTCATGATACTGGGCAGCTATTGTTATGGATTTGTGTTTGATTATTTATTGAATTGGTTACTTTTCATATTCTCTGAATTTAGCCTTGAAGGTTAATCAGCTAAAAATTATCATGTCTGGCTCTATGGATTACCAGAAGTATCTAAACTACTCATTTTTCTATGTCAATTCCTGTAGAAATCTATTTTCCAACTTCGGGAGTGGAGGAGAAACTGGGTTCATGTTTTCACCGCCGCTGGTCGGAAATTGGTAAGGTTTTTGTCATGAAATTACCAATCTTAATTGAATTGGTTAGTTTTCAGTAGTTTGAATTTAGTCTTGAAGCTTAACAGCTAAAGTAGGAAACTCAACCTCTAAATGATAAATGATACTGTTCATATTGATATTTGCAAACATTCAAGTACTGTGAATTTTATTACCTCAAGGTGTTACTGTGAATTTTCCAATCAATATGACACGGTGGTTCAAAAATTGCAGATTAAATCAAATCATTAATTTCATGCTACTATGATATGATCTCATATTAATTTTGTTACCTCAATGTGTTACCGTAATGGAGTAGAACTGCATTAGAAATTCTTGAGTTATATATAAACCTAATGGAATTGTAACTGCATTAGAATTTCTTGAGTTATATATAAACCTAATGGAATTGTAACTGCATTCAGGGTTCAGTTTAATGATAACGTGGAAGTGGCTTGACCCCCGAGGAAGAGCCTCGTGATTTGTATTTTTGTATTTTCTTGTGTGTTTCTATTATTTCTATATGTATGTCTTGCCTGTGATTGTATTCGTGTATGTGTATTTTTCCCCTGCGAGAGAAATCTGTAAAATCGTGTTAGTGTGAGCGCTAAAAAATAGCGGTAGAAATAACAGAAGAAAAGGAAAACGGAGGACTTGCGGTTTGTGGCCTTGTGGGCTTGTGGTGCACCTGGACTTGTGGGTTAGGCTTTATGGGCTTGTCGCTTGGACCCGGGCTTGCTTGTGGGCCTGTGGACAGATGTGGCCTACTGGGCAATGATCACACACAAAAGCGCGTACGGACGAAAAATCGGATCTGTGTAAACTGCGCGTACGGACGAAAAAGCGTACGGACGACAAATTGGTGACGAAAGGAAAAATCCGAATCTTTTAGTTAAGATTTGTCTAACAAATTTGACTCCACATATATATCCCTCATGTTATTTTTTTTGAAGTCAGACCTATATATCATTCACATAGTAGATAGAGTTATATTTCTTTGATAAAAACCATTTGTTGTTTTGGTTTTGTAAAATACCACGTCGAAGTTATAGCAAAGTGATAGTTCAATCGAATAATTGTAATTTTCCAAATTATTATTTTTATAATATCGCAAAGAGTTCAATACAAAGGATGGTCCGCTAAAGATGGTTTATAGTTTATAGTTTAATCAACGAGAGGCGCGGTTTTCCACGGGAGAAAAATGCGAGTGCAAACTGAAGGTTTGGGATGCAACATTCAGCAAAGTCACAAATAAATTATCCAAAGTCAATTCCAAATACAAAAAAAAAATCTAAGTAAGAATTACACGAGATTGCAATGAACGAGCACGTCAAAAATCACTAAGCATAACACTCGCAAAGACCTGACAATCTACAAGACGATATCAATTCGATCGGGCATGCACGCAGGTGCATGCAGCTACGGTGACCATCAGACACCGTACACGAAGACCGGCAGCAGCATGGCCGCGACGGCGAGTCCGCCGGCGCCTAGCGCGGAGGCGGCGCCGCTGGGGTGAGGCGGTGTAGGGGGAGCGTTCGACGGCGGCGGCGGCGGGCTGGCCGGCGGAGGCGCGTCGTGGCCGATGACCTTGATGACCATCCTCTGCCCACGCTCGCAGTGGCCGGCGACGCCGCTGATGAAGTAGAAGAGGCCCTGCCGGTCCAGCCCCACCTCCGTGTCGCCGTTGTTGGAGAAGAAGATCGGGTGCTCCGCCTTGCACTTGTTGTAGTCGTCTTCCGTCACTACCATCACCGAGTCCTTCGCGTACTTGAAATCTGCATCAAATGCAAATCAATGTCGCGTACTTGTTATTTTTATTACAACCGGTAGAAGTTGAATTTAAACTTAAATGTTTATGATGTAATATATTTCATATTAATATATTTTGTCAAAATTTTTTAAATTTTTCGATGACTATTTAGGTGGCATGCACGAAACGATGAATATCCCCTCTAGAGATGAAATCACTTTCCCTGTTCATTGCCGACAGAATTATTCGAAATGGAGATTGATCGATCGATCGAGTGATCTTACGGACGCTGTCGCCGACGAGGAAGCGGTTCTTGGACGCCCAGTCGTTGTACACGCCGGCGTCTTTGGCCGGCGGCACGGCCCAGCCGTGTTCCCCACCGACCTCGAAGGTGGTGGCGCCGGCACGCCGGACCGATGCGCCGAGGAGGGCGAGAAGCAGCAGCAGCGCGGGGGAGACGAGGTGGTTCGTCGTCGTCATTACCGATCGCGAGATGGTGCAATGCAGAGGGCGGAGAGCGAATTAATAGCAGGTAAAGAGCGCGGATGGTCGAGCGGCAAGCCAGGAGCCCAGGTCCCAGGAGGAGGAGGCGGCGGCGGTTTTGGAGTCTTCAGCCAGGGAGGGAATAGTGGAGATTGCGACTACGTGGGCCGCATTGGCGTAGCTGCAATCTTGCATTCTTGCATGTCTAGTATGACTCGGCGATTGGTTGCCTCGTTTGACCGACGTGCCAATCAACTGCCAACTGCTAACTTGGTTCTCACTTCTCAGGCTCTGAGCTGATGGGCGTATCCTGGGCCTAATTGTTGTAGTGGAAGTTGCGGCCCTACTAGCCAACGGCCCAGTGCAGAACGCAGAGCAAAGCGAACAAGAACTAGTTTTCTTTTTTATAACAGGCTAAATATTGATTACCCGGCTTCTGGAGAAAGCTAAAACAAACACATTCTGAAGAACTACTACTCCCTCCATCCTAAAATATAAGAATATAAAATCAGATGAGATAATTCTTAGTACCATAAATATGGACGAGCTATAGGACTAGGAAATGTCTCATCTAATCTTATATTGTTGTATTTTGAGATGGAGCCCGTACACAGCCGTTGTATGTAGACGATGCACTGGCCAGTGGCAGCCTGGCAGGCAGTACGATCGTATCGGATCCAACGGTGTGAGATGCACCGAGCCCTCCTCGCTGGCACCGGATGCGTGTAAAAAGATACTGTAGCCCTAGTACGTTCGAGAATCCGAGCAAGCACGCGACTCCCGTATTGTAGTACTCCTACCCTATCTCGCACCAAGGAGGGACAGTGTGGTGACACCAAGGACAAAGCATGGCGTCCCCATCGGGAGTAGCGGAAGTGTATCGGCAAGCGCCGTGCTCTGTCGGGGCCGGGCGGGCTACCGCGACAGCAGCGGCCGACCTGACCTTCACCTGACCCTGCCCCGGCGCGACCTTCTTCCGCTTGCCGCGACGGCAAACCTGTGTGCCCCGCGCCGCATGTGCGTGCCCGCGAGATCGCTTGCGTGACGGCTCCGACCACCGCACACATGGGCGATGTGTGCGCGACTACTGTACTGTGCGTGCGCGCGCGTGGGCGTGGGCGGGTGGTGCTTGACCTCGATCGCCTGCGCGGTTGAGTGCGCCACGGCGTCCTCGTCGTCATCGTCGTCGCCAAGGCCAGCGCCTCCTTGCGCCTCTCGGCAAGCCAACCTCGCGGCTCGCGCCCACGCCGTGGTGGCCCATGCGGGCCGCGCCGCTGACATTTTCGCCGTACGTGCGGCCGCGGTTCGATCGCCGTTGGTGCCAGGTTGCTCGTTCTCTCACGCTGGTTGTTTGTACGGCTCGGCTAAGCTACTCCCTAGCTATGATTCCCCCATTCATCGTAACCACATCTTCTAAAGTATTAAATGATGCGATTTATACAAAATACTTTTTATATAAAAGTTTTTTTTAGAAAAATAAATGAATCTAAAATTTCAAGTTTGTACTCCCTCCATCCTATAATATAAGAGATTTTGAGTTTTTTTTACATCTTTTGACCACTTGTCTTATTCAAAAAATTTGTGCAAATATAAAAAACAAAAAGTTGTGCTTAAAATACTTTAGATAATAAAGTAAGTGACAAAAAATAATTCTAAATTTTTTTAAATAAGACGAGAAGTCAAACAGTGCAAGCTAAACCTTAAAATCTCTTATATTATGGGACGGAAGGAGTAATACATTAACACATCCGGCTCTATACAAGGGTTTGTCTACCTAGATAATCAAATGTTATTATATTTTACAACAAAGATAATACTTAATTATTCGTGCATTAATGTTTTGTTTCATTTCGCTCGCCAAAAAAAAAAAATCTGAGCCATAATAAGCTGATTGTTTCATTAATGTGTCTGTTTCAACTGGTGAAGTCGGTAAGAGAGATTTTCTTCACAAAGTTCCTCATGGTATACATACAGTATGTATGAAGCCGCAAAATTACATAGGTAGGTGAACAGTTGCCACGGTTTTCCCAAGTTTTTACTGGATTCCACATCTGCAAAAGGGTGCGAATTGCACTGTGTTCTCATATGTGGCAACCTTGACACACAGATAGTAGTAACAGCTGGTAGAAAAAGCACCAAACCACTGCATTTGGCTGAGACACCACCCCATGTTGCCCTGTACCTGTAGAACTGTACTACTTCCAGAATTATACTTGTATTTATACAGTGACATACCAGTATGGCTACGGACGACACACGGTGGAAACGGCTATTTACACGGCGTCTTTTCGGCGGGTCCCACCATGATGCTCCCGAGCTCCGCGTTGCGGAGGCACAGCGCCGCCCGGAACACGCCGTTGACGGCGTCGGACAGCCGGTCCAACGGCGCCGTCAGCTCCTCCGTCCGCCTCTCCACCTCCTGCACCGCCGCCCGCAGCGCCGCCTCGTCGAGGTCGCCGTCGCCGTTGTCGAGCACGGATTTGAGCTTGCCGACGGCCTCGTCGACGGCGTCCACCTCGCTGGGTTTGGTGGCGAGGGCGGCGAGCTGGATGGACACGGCGTTGAAGGCCTCGGTCCACGGGAATTCGCCGGAGACCAGGGGGAAGGCGATCTGGTGGAGGGCGTCGCCGCAGAGGACGGCGGACGCGGCCGCCGCTGCGAGCGAGGAGACGGCGTCGACGGCGAGGAGGACGGTCGCGGCGCCGGAGACGCGGTCGCGGGGCTGGTCGAACGGGAGAGAAGGGAGCGGCGGGGGAGGCGACGCCGGGGCCCGCTCGTCACGGTCGGCGAGCGCGGCGCGCGCGCGGCGGACCGAGGAAGGCAGCGGTGGTGACGACGACGAGAGGAGGTGGAGCGCGAACCGGGACAGCAGGCGGCGGCGGCGGAGCCGGTCGAGGCGCGCGGTGATCCCGTTGCAGGCGTCGAGCAGCGCGACCCCGGCGTCGAGGTGCGCGGCGACGGCGGCCGCGTCCCCCTCACCAGCCAACGCGGGAACAGCGTCAGCGAGGGCAAGCGCGAGGAGATCCGCGAGCCGCGCCAACGCAGCCAACGGCGACGCCGGCAGCGGCAGCAAACTCCCGAGCCTCGCGGACAGCGCGGCGCCGAACCGGGCGGACCCGGGACCACCACCCGCCGCCCCGGGCACCGCCTTGCCCGGCCTCCGCCGGTGATCCTTCACGCCGCCGCCGCTGGCGTGGAAAGGGAGAAGCGCGTGGTACTTGTCGGTGAGGAACATCTGGGTTGCTAAGGGTGATCGGATCGGATTCAGGTGAAGCTCGCGGCGGAGACGAGGAGCGAGGATGTGGCGGGGAGAAGGATATAAAGGTGGCGGTGGCGTCGCGGGGGGTGTGAACGGTGGCGAAGGTGAAGGTGACGGGACGTGAGGCTTTTGTCCCCGGCAAGAATGCGTTTCCGGGAAGGGGGAGATGGCCTCTCTCTCTCTCTCGGCTGTGAAGATGATGGGAGGGCGGCAGCGTGGGCCCGCCGCGTAAGACGCGTATCGGAAACACTTCTGAATAAGAATTCGCCTTTTCACTCCTCCACGCCTCTCTCGTCTCAATTGAGATAACGCAGTACTGCAGACGACATGTGTCCCTCTCGTCTCTCCTTTTGGTATCGATCGAGAGGGGAAAAAGAAAATTCAGAATCTAATTAGGGTTAGCTCTCTACTTGTCCATTTTAATACTGGACTTAATCGAGATTATCGGTAATCCACCACATATATATACTTTTACTTCAAGTATGCGCAATCCACCACATATATATACTTTTACTTCGAGTATGCGCGTGGCGTCATCTACTTTTTACCTTGGCATGACGTTTTCTTTCTGAACATTGGGATCGATTCTTTTTTTTCCCTTCTTGTTTTAGCGATCTTGTAATTGCACAACAGCACACCGTAGGTACTTGGCAGACTGGAATGAACACATACACGTAATAATTTCTTCTCCTACCTTGCGGGCTAAAGATATACGAGCAGAACATACTGGAACGTTTGGCTAAACCTTAAAGATATTTTTTTTCCTTATCGTACCATTAAGGGCATTAATAACTAGACTGGGATCACTGGCTTATTACCCCCACTAATAGAGCTTTCATCTTTATGACATTTGATCTTACAATCTCCAGGCACTCAAGCTCCGTGCAGGGCCGCGCGTTTCCACTGGTGACATCGCATCCTACATCATCGTACAACTACAAGTGCAAGGCTTGCACTCTTCTGCAGTTCACACTGGACTAGTAAGTTACTGTCAGATGGCATATGTGCCGACTCGATCAGCTAGGCTTATAAACAAGAAAATGTACGGGCTAATAGGTAAGGATGGGGCCATAATATTTTCTCTGGGTACATATTGATCAAAGAAAAAAAAAATCTCCTCCGATATGCAAGTTCTACTAGAATGTGCTTCTGCGATTAAAGTCGTAACGAAAATTTCATAGGAAACAGTTACAAAAATCATCTTTATGACATTTGATCAAATCGATTCCAATGCCAGGCAAATGTGGTTTAGTTCCTAACTTTTTCTTCAAACTTTCAACTTTTCTATCACATCATAACTTGTCTACACGTACAAACTTTCAACTTTTCCGTCACATCGTTACAATTTCAATCAAACCTTTAGTTTTGTCGTGAACTAAACACACACCCAAAAGCTGATCGAATCACAAAGTAGCCTAGCCTAGGTTATGACGAGTCCAGCGTGAACAGCACGCCCATTTTATCGTGATTTTTCTTTGGGGTGTGTGTCTGTGCCCATACCACGTCATTTTCTGATTTTTGCCGAGCCATTTTACTTTACTTACCGTGGATGCCACACAACAAACCGTACATCACTTGCAGGGAAGATACAGATATTTTACCCGTGCAACGAACCACCCCGTCTTTGAGGGTGTCGCGCACACGTGTAATGGGTATGTTCCCATGTTCTGTTACGCCCCCATTCTGCATGACGCAACGCTACAAACAGCACACTTCACTTCTGTATCATATGCAATGCAATACCGACATCATCAGATTAGCAGAAGTAGCAAAGGCCATACCTCCTGATACCTCTCCTGTGTCCTGATAGACTCGTTGGGGGTGGCAACAGCAACAGCAACAGGTGATGGCGAAGAAAAATTTACCATGAGACGGGGTCCAGTGCTACAGTTGCCACCACCCTAGCTTCGCTTTGGCTCCACGCATCCGAAACGGTAGGAGAGAAACGTGGGCGCCCGTTTTATTCTTCGCCCATTGGCTGTTTTTTGAAAACCAGGTTCGGGCCATCGACTTTGACCTGCTGAAAACTTGATCTGCACACAACATATGGATAATGAGCGATAATGGTAATTTGAAAAACTTTATAAACCTGAAATTAAGGAGCCGTTGACGCAGACCCTTTTGAATTGACGTGTATTGTAGGTTCAGATGGCCGACTTGGCCCCGTTGATCTTGAAAAGAATGATGTACAAGTGGGATAGGTACATCTAAAGTTTGGCATACATAAAGTATAAACTATAGCGATCTAGCAAGCTAGTGAAAATTCCAAAGTTTGGCTTGTATAAAGTATAAACTATAGCAATCTGGCAAGCTAGGGAAATTCCTAAAGTTTGGCATACATAAAGTATAAACTATAGCAATCTGGCAAACTAGGGAAACTCTAAAGATTGGCATACATAAAGTATAAACTAGCAAACTGGCAAGCTAGGAAAATTGTGAATTCAACGTTTCTGGACCTAAATATGAAAATAAATAAATGCCTATTTAACACCGGAGTATATAGCAAATAGAAAAAAAAGAGGCATTTTGCATGTAACATATGCCTTGATACTTGAGGAGAAAAAACAATGTATTACTCAGAGTGAAAGAAGAAGATAAAATCAAAATTAGAACTTTAGAAGTATGAAAAAAGAACCTGCAGATCAGCACACACATTTGGTTCTCGTTCCACTTTGATGCTTTGATGTGCTTAAAATGATCTCATGAGCCATGACTATGTGGCAACTCATAAGTCCTGTCTACAACTGTAACATATGACTGAAAAACACGGGGGATTTAGTGTGATAAATGATATGAGCATTTTCAGAAAACCTTGCATTAGTGCGTCATAGGCAATAGAATGTCTAGGACAGGATATGGTATTTATTTATTTGCCAGATCAATGTTGGCACACAATGAAGGAGTACCAGATCAACAAAGCTATCCATATAAACTAAAAGAGTTCTCCTTCCACACACTGTATCACACAGGAAGCAAATCAGCTAAACATCACAATCAACACAGCTAATATTTCCTGTTTTTTCAATTTTTTTAATTAGGTAGAGTATGCTAGGAATGTTCTTATCATCTTGCATGTGCTCAAACCAATCCAGGTGGTGGCCCCACAATATCAAACTTTAAGAGTAATCTGTTGTGGCACGAAAGAAAGCATCTTCCCTATCGCTAATCTGGTGTGGAATTTCAGCAAGGTGGAAAGCTGTTGCCGGATTGGCCCGGTCAGCTCTGAAGACCGGAATTGCAAATTCAGACTTCAGCGTTGTGGGTCATATGTGAACCCACTCAGGCGACAAAAATACCTGAACTTCCCGCAAAATAGGGGAGCAAACGATCTGTTTTGATTAGGTAGGGCACACATGGAGTCCATGGTGGTTGAAACTCAGACATAAGATAAGAACAAACTTATCTTCCTTGACAAAAAAAAGGGAGAAAACACCATGGTTTACCAAAAAAAAAAGAAAGATAAAAGGAAGTAGCATGCCAAATGTAATGTATCTAACATAAATTAAGTCTTGGAAAATAAAAACAGTGATGACTGTTATTGGGAAATGCTTGGCTACTAAATCTAATAAATGTGTTAGTTCATAAGTGATGGCCCAATCATACATTATTTTAGTCATTTTACTTGTTGCCTCTTTCCATTGTGTATGTTCAGAATTCAGAGAAATGTCTGATTAACTGGCACACATTTCTCAACTTACAAACCAACCATTGTTCTGTCAATATCAAAATAATAGCAAACAGAAGGTAGGAAAATGTGAGCTGTCGGTCAATACCTGAGCTTAAAAACGACAAGGACAATAAAAAGAAAATACTTACTGTAGGTGGAAAACAGCAAAGCTACTCAATGAGGAAATAGCAGTAAGTTTGTGCTTCCACAAAACCAGTCAACACAAAAAAAGTGAATGCCTCTTCCAGCTCAATCAGATGCTACCAAACTCGAGTTCCATAGGATGAGCTTGCAACTGCTAGCAAATATACAGTAAATAAGCTGAGGAAACTAAGTTCTGAACCATGGTCTGAATATCATGATATGTTTTCTTTAGTTCAACGGACAAGGCACCCATTAAAATTTTTGTAACACTCAAAAGCACCTTCTTTGATTATTGGAGTGCACACTTGAGATTAAAAAAAGCTGCCGCTATACAAAATAACTACCAAAGGCTAAAACCATATTCAAGTCCCACTTTACAGGTACACAAGCAACATATGTAAGAGAGAGAAGTACACAACACAAGAAAGGAGTCTATTTAATAAAGCACAATCAAACACATGCTAAAATATTACTACCTATGTTCTTTTTTACTTGTCGTTTTGGACATTGACACAATCTCCAATGTATATGTCTCATACTCTCATCATTACTTTTTCTAGTTATATATGTATAAAACTTATTAAAAATATAACCATGTGAATGTGTTTTTCATGACAAATCTATCAATGTCATTTTCACATCTTAACCTTTTTTTTTAATTTTTAATGATTATCATATCGAGATTTGAATGTGTTCTCTAGGATGTCATCCTTTTGATAACAGAGGTAGTACCTCTCCAATGGGCACCTCTTTCACTCTTTGTCACTAACTTCAGAAGAAGAATGTACGCAGACCGTAAAATGTAAATGGATTTCAAAAGATATTGAAAAAGGGTACATAAACCACAGATTGAGTTATTTCTCTTAGCATATCAGTACTGATTGAGAGGAAAGTTGTGATTAATGATATCGACAATTTAAGCATTTGTGAGGTTAATGCATGAAACGTATGCTTACCTTGCATGGCATCTGTTTGTTAGGAACCCAAAGGGATGAAATGATGAACATGTCAGCAAGGTAGTTAATTACATCCAATAACAGAAGGAAATGTTTTGATTTTTGACATGTAGAAGTGTGGAGCATTGCCATCCACTGAAATTTCTACTCAAGCCATCAAGCCCTGTCATTTTCCCATTAGTTGTTAGCTTTCAAACGAGTTCATCTAGAACTCTGGAATACACAGACGAAAAGAAAGAGGTAGATATGTAATATGTTCAACAACTTTTCCAAAAAAAAAAAAAATCCTCCATAGAATATTTAGCTAACTAAATTACCTCATTGTTGAAATTGTGATATGCAGTTAGCATCTTCAAAAGAAATAAGATGGTAGGATCTCCCTGAATCCTGATACAAATATCCGCTTCACTCAGGCTCAGTTTCAACTGACAAACGTTACGGTGAAACAGAACCATCAATCCATAAAGTCTTTGGTTGACTGCAGCAACCGTCATTCTGTGACCTATCATGCAAATGAATTGGTCATGATAGTGTAAAGTAACAGAAACGTTGAACACTGGGGCGAAAGTTCCCCACATAGGCTCGTGTCGCTCCAGCCCCAGGGGCGATGCGAGCGCCCCCACACGCGCCGGCCGCCGCCGCGCCTTCCCCCTCCCCTTCGCCTCGCCGCCGCCCGAGTGGCCCACCGGAAAGCCGGCCGGGCGCAAGGACGGCGGCGGCGGGGCATCCCGGCGCCCGTGGCGGCGGAGGCGGCCAGATCCGGGGCTGGGGAGGCGACGGCGGCGGGGCAGAGAAGGTGGCGGCGACGGGGCGGACGAGGCGGCGGCGGCGACGGGGCGGACGAGGCGGCGCTGGCGGCGGCCGACGGGGCGGAGGAGGCGCTGGCGACGGTGGCGACAGGACGGGGGTGGAGCTGGCAGCAGGGACAGGGCGGGTCCGGCGGCGCGCGACGTCACCGAATCTGGCAACCTCCTCGCTGGATCCGGCGCCCCCCAGTCCGGATCTGTCCTCTCCGGCGTGGGAGGCCGGATCCCCTCCGTCGAGGCGGCGACCGGCCAGCATACCGACGACAGTGTGCAGCCGGGTGTGGAGGCGGGGAAGAAAGAGACCGGCGGCTGTGTGGGCGCAGCGTTGGCAGCGGGACCCGCGTGAGAGACGCGGCTTGAGGCCGGCACGGCGCGAAGACAGCGGCATTGGTCCCTGTGCGGCGACGGCGCGGTGCTCGGCGGCGATGACGGCGGTGCCTCCCCAGATCCGCGCCTCTCGACCGGATCTAGAGGGTGGTCGGCTGTGGTGGTCGGCGACGGCGGTCGACTTGCGACAGCTGGTGACGGCAGTTGGCAACGGCGGCGACGGGTGGTTGCGGCAGTTGGCGGCGGCGACGTCGGCCGACGACGCCGGCGGAGGACTTGGCGGCGGCGTGGCGGAGGGCAACAGTGAAGTGGCCGCTAGCAGTGGCGGTGGCTCGCGGAGACGGTGGCTGGTGGTCGCGACAGCGGTCACCAGAGGCATGGCGGCCTTGGACGGCTAGCCGAGGGCGTGGGAGACGGCTGCATTTGGCCGGCGCAGCATCGTCTGGTGGAAAGGTCGGAGACCGGCTTGGCGCAAAGAGGCGCAGCCGATGGCAGTGGAGGCCGGCTAGTGCGAGAGGCGCGGGCGGCGGAGTTAGAGGCCGGCTTGGCGCGAGAGGCGCGGCCGGCGGTGAAGGAGGCGACTTAGGTGTGAGGAGGAGCTGCTGGTGGGTGTAGCGCGGTCTTCGGCGCACGAAGGCTGGCCGGCGAGGGACGCCGGTGCAGGGGTCCCACATGTCGGTAGAGCTTGTGTGGTGGTGGAGCATCGGTGTGTCAGCTGTGGATCTTACCCCTCAAGGGTGATTGCCGGACGAAAGCTCAGTCTTGGCTCCTTTGAGTTTCGACGGACGGCGGTGGCAGTTTTTCTGTCGCTTCTCTTCTTGAAGACGTCGTTTTGGCATCCCCTAGGGGGCAATCTCGGTTGTCCCTTTGTTGGTCTAGTGGCAGCCGGTCACGCTTAGCGGCGGCCGGTCCGATGCTAGCCTTCTCCTGGGCTTGTGTGTTGGCGATGTCGGTGTGTGGGTGGTGGTATTTTTTCCTTTTTCCTGTTTACGACCCTCTAGGGTTGTAATCTTGTAATTTTTTCCTGCTCTATCAATAGAACTTCGCACTGTCTCGTGCGAGTCGTTCAAAAAAAAAAAGTAAAGTAACAGAAACTTGACCCTATCCGTCTTGGTTGATGGGTTTGCTCCAATCATTATAAAATAAACCTTGAACAGGAAATCAGTCTACAATATATACAGAATGCAGTCCTTCGGGTGAAACTCAAATGTAACTGGCAGGATATGATAATATGCAAGTTTCTGATTCATTCGGGAACTGGTGAAACATCATATCATCCCTTTTTTGAGATATCACCCTCTGGGAATTATTAAGCAGTTTATTCAATTATGAATAAAATCTAAGAGAGTATGTGTAAGCTTAAAAGCTGTGGTTAAGTGTATAATTTGTCCATGAACAAAAAAAAAGGAAGAAGATAACATTGAATAGTATAAATAATAATCAGAAGAAGAATGAGTGAGTTTTCATCAATGTTCTCCATTAGATATTTCATACCTTTCGCATTAAGGGGATTCAAGCTGTATAGCTCACCAAAATGATGATTTCCTGTTCATATTTAAGGGAGGTACAAAGAAAATAACAATATTTTCGGGAAGCTAATGGGTTTACAAGGAAAATTGAAATGGTGCATGCATTAGTGAATAAAATAGTCAAGAACAAAATCATGATGGAATCCTGGAAGAGCTCTGAGAGAGCCTAACAGGAACAACCGCCCATATGCTGGTAGAGTACATCATCATTCGTATGGAAGAATATTTTACTGCGCTAAGAGTATCAGGGGTGTTTGATATCTATTTCTGAAATGAAACTCCGTATAGAACACCATAAAGAAAATCAAACATTAGCAGTCTCAGGTAGATTTAAAATAACATACGGGATTCGAAAGAAATGTTTGAGGACTACAGAAATCTCTATTCTGGTGAATCCTCCTGATATAACTAGACACTGCTACGTGCTCAACTCCTGTAAAATCCTTGAAAAGGATACATAAACGCTGAACTATATATCATGTGGTTTTCGAAACGATGAATTCATCAACCAATACATACAAAACAGTAAACAGATGCACGCCAAACCACACAGATGAACTTGAGGCGTACAAGACCAGCAACACTGAGCTTGAGAGTTGAGGCGCGCTACAAACCAATGGAATCAGAGCCTTAACAAATGGGACACGAAATGCCATCTTCCAATCTCCATGTCAATGTACCAAACCCAAAAGTCTGAGCGGTTACCGAAAGCTCACGAGTTGTCGAATTCGTTACCCTAGAAAAAACCGCACGCGCATCCGTACGCAAGCTAAGCACGAGCATACACGCATAGATAGAGAAAACTCGGGGTGAAAGGGGAGGGGGGGAATCCGTACATTACGCGCTGCTGCCCGATCGAGAGCCTCCTTCTCCGGCTCCGGCTCCGCCCCGGAGATGTCCCCAAACTCCAGTAGAGCTCACCCGCACCTCGCGGCTGGAGAGACTCGCGGCGAGAAGCGGCAGCCTCCGGCGGGGAGCTGCTCCCCAAATCGCGCGGCGGCCGGCGGCGAGAGATGGAGGGAGTGTGTTTTGCGTGTGAAAAGCTTCTGGCGGAAGCTATACGATGGTTGGGCCTTAGTGCGGGGCCGAATTAGTAGGCCGGAACGGGACTCCGGCCCACGTGCAGCGTGCGGCCCGTTCTAGTTTGCCTCACGCGCACCGTTGGAAATTGGACGACGTCTTCAACGAAAAATCAATGACATATGATAGCGAAAAAGAGACAATACAATATATACTGGTGAGAAGTGTTATACGTACGAGTAACTCATACATACGACTAGCGACTAGCGTACGTCTTACCTCATCATCAGACTAATCACGTAGCTTGGATTACCTTCATGTGAGTCCAGATTTTTCAGAGCTAGTTATGAACTTGTGGTTGTACACTTGTACGGGAGTCGTATGCATAGTTATTATGTATGACAGTTTGAGGGTCTATTTGGGAAAGTTTTTAGCAGCCGTAGCTTCTCGCATAATCTCCAGCTCTTCAAATAATGTAGACTGTCACTCAGATTATAAGAATATGAAGTTATAAAATCAATAAAATGATCTAGAAACCAGAAGATGAAAACTCGGATTTTCGGAAGCTGGTTATCAACCAACAGATTCTCAGAATCTTAAACTCTCCACACAGGACCTAATACACACTGTACACTGCTAAGAATGATTAAGGACTTTTCTTTAAAGATGATGGAAGAGCATTTTCCCGGCCTCCATATAGAATGAGTAAAACTAACTAGACAGGAATATTTCCATTGTTTCACTAAACTATTCACTATTCAGAATTTTCCCATCCGCCCGTCAGATATACATTTCTTGCCGTGTGAAACTTCCTCCTATTTGGATGGACTATGATGATGATGAAACATCAGCATTGGCAACCTTCTCCCGTAGCTTTTGTACACGAGCCTGAAACAGGGGGGGTTGAGTGTGTCAAAATGGAGAGTTCACAGTGTTACAATTGCCGTGCGTGTGATACAGACACAGAAAACACTAACCCTGAACGACTTGGTCCGGCGAATGGATGGATCAAGGTCCAGGGCATCAGCATAAGCATCCTCTGCAGCTCGGTACTCTTCCATTGCAAACAGAGCATCGCCTCGTGACAAGTGAGCCTGCATAGAGCAGCACAGCCATGACAAATAGGCCCATGGAAAAAAAAAAACAGATAGTGAATTTAAAGACTGGCTCTCTAAGAAACTCCATTTTATCAGTGCATAGAATAGAACGTTATGGTGTTTCAGACTTTCTGTTAGGCAGGGGGAGGCTCCATCTACATTATACAAGTGAATTTCATTGAACACCATGTGCGAACGTAAGCTATATGTCAGAGACATATAAATCAATAGAACTATACTTGCTATCGCCCGTCATCTTTTTTTTGAGAATGCGCAAAAGAGCTGCGCATCTTTTTTATTAAGATTGGGGAGAAATTGTGACATCTTTACAAAGCAACTGAAATAGAAACCGAAAAAGAAAGGTAAGAAAAGGAGGCTAAGCTATAATCTCGTGACATCAATTTTGCGACCACGACAGCCATGATCTACTATGGGAGAAGACCTGCTAGTCTCCAGAGGGCGGCCTCCTCTGCTGCTGCCCTAGCAACCTCCTCCCACGATCGCTGCTTCTGGTTGAAGACCCTATTGTTCCTTTCTTTCCATATGGACCAAGCGCCTAGGACCACCACTGTATCGAAACCACGGCGGAGTTGCTTTGCCACTCCCTTCCTGGATGCCGACCACCAAGAGATGAAGGAATTCTGAGAGGCGGGGAAGAGGTCCGGACGCCCAATGGTATTCATTACAATCCACCAGAATTGCGCGGATTCCGGGCAGGAAATCAGGATGTGGTCTATTGTTTCTTCTTGTTGGTCACAAAGCACACACCTCGCCGGGTGGGGCAATCCTCGGGGCCTCCGTCGATCTGCAGTCCAGCAACGACGATGAGCCACGAGCCACATGAAGTAACGGCAGCGGGGAGGCGCTTTGTGCCCCATTGGTCCATATGAAGGCTGAGGGCACTTGTGCCCCGTTGAATTGAAAATTAAGCATTTCACTGTCATGCCATCCAATGATCTAAATTCTGCAATCACTGTTCACTACTATTTAGTTTGGCAATCATGCCCAGCCATACTGTTTGGTTTTATTGATCATTGTAGCAACCTTTCCTCTCTGCATAAACTACTAGGTAGCCAGGTAGGTAATCTGTATGCATTTGCAAATGTTTGTGGCATACACAACAGTCCGCAGCAAACAAGTTAAGAAACACCAATGTGATAAGGAAAAAAAATATTTGTATTGTAGCAATCAACAGTATGGCTTGGCTGTGGACGAGTAGTAACAAGAAGATGATAAATTCAATTTACAGGGCAGGTGTTTACCTGAGGAAATTTCGGAGCAATCTTTGTTGCTTCCTCGGCATCAGCAAGCGCACCAGTGATATTCCCCATTGACAATCTAGCCCTAGACCTGCACTTAGCATCAAGCATTCATTTCAGTTAACGCAAACTCTCATTCTCACTTCCCAATAGTGCAACGAAGGCAGCATTTCCTAAGAGAAAAACATAAATTGTGAAAAATTAAGCTATCACACATACTCCCAATCCCAAACACTCGTTCTCATAATCAAAGCTACAGAAAGGACCTGCTTCTGTACGCCAAGTGGAGACCGCCACCAGCATTCATCTCGATAGCCTGCAGTGCATACAAGCAAGCAACAAGTTAGAAATTGGAACAGGAACACTACATGATAGTACCTGTAGCACGGGAGATGCAGCTTCCTTGACGCCATTTTCAAGAGAAAAGAAAAAACAAATTGGCAAGCACACTTTGCTTGGTAAGAATGGGGTGAATCCTCTGCAGAGACCTCAGTCAGGAGGGCTTCCGCTTCGGCGGCGCCACCCTTCTCGAGGGCGGCCTCCGCCTTCTCACGCGCCGCGAGCGCGGCGAGCCCCGCCGCCGCGTCGAATCCGGAGTCGCCGAGCAGGTGCTCCAGGAGCTGCGCGGCGCGCGCGGCGGTGCCCACGTGGCCGAACACCGCGGCGCCGCCGCCGGAGACGGAGGCGCCGAAGTTTGGGCCCGCCCCGCAGCGGCCGAGGCAACCGCAGGAGGCCACGTCGACGCGCGGCGGCGCGAGCCCCTCGAGCGCCGCCAGGACCTCGCGCCCGCCCTGGCGCGCGCACGTGCGGTTGGTGCAGACCCGAATCTCCACCGCCGCCCCCGAAGCTCTCGCCGTCGTGGGACTCCGGCGGTGGCGCGGGGAGGCGAAGGAGCAGGAGAAGGCGGTTGCAGCCGCTGCCGCCATCGCCGCCGACGAACTCTGATGAGGCGGGGGGACACGGAGGTGGAGTAAAGTAATAATACGTTTTTTAAAGGGTTTCTTTGCAAATTTCCGCGGACATTTTCCGGGTCCACGAGCCAAACCGGATATTCTGATCTCAATACCGACCCATGTTTTTGGTGGGCCTTACGAAAGCCTGTCTCTAGCGAGCCCAACTTTAGTGGGCCTAAATACGGTTAGGGAGGATGTGCGGCCCATGAAGGCTCGGCCCATTATACTGCAACTAGGCCCAATACCTAGCCATTCAGAGTTTCGGACCTGTGGCTATCGCGGAAGGGAGCGGCGGCGAACCCAGCTCGGTGAGTCGTCGTCGGCGGCGGCGGCGACGGCGACGGCTAGGACCACGTGACGCGGATCAGCTCGGAGGCAGCGACGACCCATCTCTGATCTCCCTCACGTTCAGAGGCGCGACCAAGCGTCGAGGGGGAGCGCTCGACGGCGAGGTACGCGTGTGCAGATCCCCTTCAACTCTAGGTCGCAACGAAGCCTCGACAGTGTTCCCAAATTTTCTTGATTTTTCTGTCACCTGCTAGTTTGTTGATCTGCTTGATTTGTTTGTCGCCTGCTAGTATGTTGCAACTATCGGTGCTAATCGATTTAGGCGATTCTTGCACATCTTTCTGTGTTGACTCGCTGGTGTTAGCCTGTTAGGAGTGATGCTCTCTAGCTGTTCGATGAAATGCCTGATAAAAGCATCTTTCCACGCCAATATATCTATACATTTATTCGCACGATTTGTTCCCCTTTGCTAATGTACCTATCACCATCGATTTGCATGCGATAGGATCATTGGATCATTAGATTACTGGTGAATGTCGTATAATGATTTTTACCATACAAAGTATTGAACAAGAATGCAAGTGGCTTAATGGTTCATTGTTCTTTCTGATTTCTTTTTGGTTTGTAGAGTCATGCAGGGGGCGCGTGTTAATCTGAAGGGGTGGCAACAGGCTGCTGTTGCATTCGGTTCTGCATTTGGGGCCTTGCTTGACCCTAGAAGAGCTGATCTGATAGCTGCTCTTGGGGAGACTACTGGGAAGCCAGCATTTCAGCGTGTGCTTCAGCGGATGAGGAACAGTGCTGAAGGCAGGGTAAACTCATGCTACCCTATATCCCCTAAAAGTGCAGGACGTTATGTCGATGCATCCATTTGTTGTGCTTGACCATCTCTTTATATATAGCCTTTATTACTAGCATATTCTGTAAATAGTATACATATATACTCAGCTTCTGAAACAGTAACAATTTCTCTGCCAACAAATGCTAAGGAGCATATGATGATTATACACCAATACTACGAAGTAGATTTTTTTGTGTGAAGTAGCATTATCCTTTTTACTTGGTTGTTTCAGGGAGCAATGTTATACTGAAAAATGGAATAGTGTAGGTCTTTTCATAAGCTGTCCATTTTTTTTGTTGTTCATTTGTTATTTATGCATTTAACTCTCCAAAATATCTTCCTTGTTTGGCTGCAGTCTAGACTTACCCATTCAATAAATTTAAACCTGCAATTGCTATACTTTGATGATTTTTTCCTTCTTGTTACATCACTGCCATGCAATAGCAACACATGCCAGCTGAAAATGTGTACTCAACACTGTGGACTTCTTTCCCAATTGACTTAACTAAGATACTATTCCTACAGGATGTTCTCCTGGAGCGTCCTCGAGTTATATCCACACAAGTTTCTCATGCCTGGGACATGCCTCAGAACACATTTGGTGCAGCATATGCTCAGTTCATGGGATCAAGGAACTTCTCACCGGATGACCGCCCACCTGTCCGTTTCATGGATACAGATGAGCTTGCGTATGTTGCGACCCGCGCCCGTGAAGTCCATGACTTTTGGCATGTGCTGTTCGGCCTTCCTACGAACCTGATTGGAGAGACTGCCCTTAAGGTCATTGAGTTTGAACAGATGTTCCTTCCAATGTGCATGCTTTCAGTCGTTGGGGGCTCTGCGAGGTTCAATGAGAAACAAAGGACACTGTTTTTTCAGCATTATTTCCCATGGGCTTCAAAAGCAGGTCTTAAGTGCACAGATCTTATGTCTGTGTACTATGAGAAGCATTTTCATGAAGATTTGGATGAAGTGAGGAGGAACTGGGGAATTATACCATGCCCTGATCCCAAAAGGAGCAGTGTTTAGACTTTTAGATCGGTACATTTTGCATGAAAGATGTCTGAACTTGGTTTTCACTTTGTCTACGTTAGTATTAGCTCTTCCCTTTCAAGAATAATAGCAAGAGTTATGCTATTGATACCTAAAAAAACTAGTAATTCTCTTTAACTTAGCATAGCAACTAAGCTTGCAATGTTGATGTTCCCTTTAACAATAGTGTAGATGAGTTAATTACATTTTTATGTGTAATACTAGCTGAATGCCGGTACTTCGCTATGGACAGAAGAAAACATATCATAATATTGTCTGAAATAAATAAAATTATATTTTCCGTGAGATGTGTTGCCCATCCTCTTTTTGCAGCACAAGGTACAACTATCCTTGCATAGTTGCATGTGCAAAAGCAAAATTAGAACCTCATACTGGATCAGAATCAAAATTATTTGGCAGGCCCCTTGTTGCCAGTGGCTGAGGCAAAGGTACCTGAAACCTCCTTGCTGAGTTGCTGGTACACGGCTACACCACCTCTGAAGAGAGAGAACTGCAGATTGGTGCGTATCCCAAAACGAACGGCAGAAGTAAAAAAAACTGAGACCAAATGGTACTAGTAGTAGGTAGTACGTCCAAAAGCTGCACTGTAATTATGGACCAAATCACCTTAAAGTTACAGCAAAAGAACAGAAGAAAGAAAGCATGCAGCAAAGGGACAATGGTGAAAAAAGAAATTTACATCCCCTGTCAATCTTGCTCATCTTCATCTATCTTACTCACACCGCCAACGCAAGACACAAAACGAAAAAACAAAAGGGAGAGCCCAATCAATGCAGTAGATCATCAACTTAATTTACAGGTGAAAAATTAAGGCGAGCTATGTAGTTAAATGCCCCTATGTGATGTGGTGGCAAATCTTGACCAACAAAAAGAAGAATTCAAAGAAGAAGAAGACGTATTACTGCTTGATCCATCATTAGCACAGCCTAGGCAAGCCTCTACCGCCGGTTTGATGGCAGGCGGCGGCGCCGAACGACGACGACGGCCTGCCGCCCTTGGCCATCTTGGACATCTGCCCTCGCATCTCCTTGCACGCTCTCTCCAGCTCCACCACCCGATTCTGCATCTTCTGCAGGTTCAGCTTGAGCAGCTCCTTCTCGTCCATGGCGTCCAGGTCCACGCTCCGGGCGCGGCTGCCGCTGACGATGATCTTCCTCGGCGTCTGCGACGGGTCAGGCCTGCAGCCGCCGGTGCCCTTCGCCGCGGCGGCGGCGGGTCTGATCTGGAGCTTGGACTGCTGCGAGGCTAGCGCCTGCACGGCGATCCCCGGCGGGATCCTCCGGTTCTTGGCCAGGTCCTTGCACGCCTCCAGCGTCAGCTTCTCGTAGTTGAGGCACCGGCATAGCGTCGTCCGCTCCTCGATGGTCAGCGTCGGGTGAGACTGCATGCAGACATAGAATAAACTTCAGTCAAATTTGCACAAAGTTCAGCTAAGTTTCATCAGCATTCAGCAACACTCTCTTGCAGCCTAGTTATTTAATTTGCAGAAAATTCAGCAAAGTTTCATCAGCAAACTAATGCCTTGATCAATGGTACTCGCTGTTAATTGTAGCACAATTAATTAGGCCCAATCATGCATGCAGCTAATCACATTAGATAGTGTCAAGGAGCAGCACGAAAAGAAGAGAACTACTCCCTCCGTTTCACAATGTAAGTCATTCTAGCATTTCCCACGTTCATATGATGATGTCAATATGAACGTGGGAAATGCTAGAATGACTTACATTGTGAAACAAAGTAAGTACATCGCAGAGAGAATTAAAGAATTGTTTAGTTCCTTTTTGCGCGCGCTTTACCACGCTTGAGAGAAAGGCAGTGGATGCGATGGGAAACAGGAAGCACAAACATGTAGGAGAGGATTAAAGAAAGGCCATTTGCACATAGAAAGCACCGAAGCCAGGATAAAGGCAAAATCTGGGCAGACCGGGCACTTGTTAAAGCCTCCCTAGGTTTCATTGCTGATAAACAAATTGGCGAGATCTCAGTTGCAAAAATGATCGGTTGGCCAAGACGAAATGGTCACCAATGTGATGGGCTAACGACAGTGTCATGGATCAAAAGTGAAACGCAGACAGGGAAAAAGGTTAAAGTTTACGTCTGCATGCATGCAAATAAAGCTTGAACGACTATGTCAGAAAAAAGCAGTTGTATCTATCCAAGGGTTGCCAACTCTGCAACTGTGAAGAAACAAAGGACCACAGTCCACAGAAAAAAAAATGTGATGCAGAAGTGCAGAAATGCTGCATGGATTCCTGAGGTAAGTATGTGATCAAGACATAGCGAGTTTCAGTAAGTTGAAATTATCAACTTATGATTTTGAAACAACTTAAAGTTAGCATTTTTGTTGAAATGGGATCAGACTTCAGTGGATAGGACTGGTAGGACAGAGGAATGTATGGTGGCCAAGTGACAAGGTTTCAGATCTGACGAACGAAAAGCTCACACTGCACAGTGCAAAAGGGTTAAAGGCAATGGAATTATGGAAATTGGACAAATGAATTGTTCTACCCATAACACAAAGTACTAGGCGATCTCTCTGTCCATCATTAGCGTCCCATGATAGTACTATCAAACTTTATTCAGTCCTTTGTAAAAGACCAGGCAAGAACAGGCCAACACACAGGAATTATGCAGTGGCTAAGAAAAAAACAGTTCGAAACAAAGTTGTTGCAAAGAAAGATTGGAAAGATATGCAGAGTCCTGGAGGAATGGTATATCCATGACAGAAGTTCCAATCAAAGAAGCTGTATTGAAGACAGAACTGACAAAAATGTAAATGTTGAAATCATAGCCATTACGAAGGTGACCTTCAGGTACAGCAAAAGCGTACTACCAGACTACTACCTAATATCTCTCCAACTATTAACCTTCCTATCACAGTTCTTGCCAGTGTTTATCAACATTCTAACTGCCTATTGCCACCTCCAGGAACTCATCATGGCTCCAATCATAGCGTGAGAGAATGCTCCTATTCACTGTCAGTGTCAGGTGAAATTCCCGGTGCCCTAAACTACCTACAAGTCTGTTTCTACCCAGTCATGATCAATCATTCACGAAGTCAGAAGCTCAGAGCAGAACAAGTAAACCTCAAAATCCAGCTAAGGGGGTACAGAGAAATACAGGATTCACGTCGAATTTTCCAAAATGTAAAATCTGGATGCTTACTAGACGACCAAAATGCCGTCTTGTCCCATGCACAACGGTAAACTTTACCTTGGCAGGCAAAGAATTTTACCACTGCTCCTACTAATCCAAGACTAGACTGGTACTTTTTTTTTTGCCGGGACGGCCAAAGGATGGCCGGCCAATTTCATTAAGATAGGAGAAAAGACTAGACTGGTACTGCCCCTATAATTAGCCACTCAATAGCATCAAGCTTTTTGAACAGCCTATCAATCATGTTCCCAATCATGAATTGAAACAGAGGTAGTACTATCCTATTATTCATAAACAGGTATTACTATTAGGACGAAATTAACATATATTTTGTTCACTGAGCCAAACACTACCACCGAAAATAACATTTTTTTTTGCTGAAAAATATGAAATATAGATTTCATAGAAGGTGATCTCTTTAATTACCTCAAGGTAGATATCCAATGCCCTGTACACGCCGTCGTAGCATTCCCGAGCCGAGTCCGGCAGGCTCTCGGCGACGGCGAGGAACTTGGACACCCTCAGGCCATGGTCCGGCGAGATCTCACCGAGGTACTTGTCGACCAGCCTTCCAACCTTCCTCATCCTCTGCGACGGCAAGTCGGCCTCCTCCTCGGAGCCGACGAACACCCTGACCAGCCGCATGACCAGGTTCACGTCGTACACGCCACCGTCGTCGCCGGAGACGAGGAGGTCGTCGAGCGTGGCCTGGTCCAGCATCAGCCCCATGAGCCTCTCCAGTTTGTGCCTGCACTCCTTGCTCAGCCCCACGGCCGACACGATCCGGAGCACCCAGAAGAGGCCCCGGCACGAGAACGCGGTGCCGCCGACGAGCGCCACGCCGTGCACGGCCGTGTCGGCGAGTCCGGCGAGTCCGCCGCCGCCCTCCCTGCACAGCGCCGGCCTGCGCGTGGCGGCGCGGAGGTAGTGCAGCAGGAACCGCGTCAGGATCAGGTTCTTGTTCTCGATGCCGTAGCAGCCGAGCACCCTCATCGCCTTCTCGATGGTCTGCGGGCACAGCGACGTCATGTCGTCGAACCACCACTCCCTGGCGAAGCACGGCTTCATCGACTCGGGCGTCTTGGTGGACGACGACCGGCCGAACCCGAGCGTGTCCGGCGACGACGAGCACGACGACGACGAGCGGTTCGGCGTCCCGACTGCCCCCGCGGCGACGGGCGTCTCCGGATTGGCGGTGATCTTGGAGAACAGCGCGGAGATGAGCCTCTCGAGGAGGCCGGAGGCGTCGGCCGCCGCGGCGAATGGCTCGCAGCTCTTGACGGCGGCGAGGACGTCGGCCCATGTCCAGTAGTAGAGGCCGTCCACGAATGCCTCTGCTTGGGTCAGGAGGTTGCAGGTGCACACCTCCTCGGTCATCTCCAAGAACACGGCGGCGCAGTGCAGGAGCGGGAGGTTGGACGGGCAGAGCGGGACGCGGCCATTGTTGTAGCAGAACCTGGCCACGAGCTCGAACCCCTCGCCGCCGCCGGGGAAGTCGGCGAGCTTGACGGACAGGCTCTCCGCCCGGCTCGTCTTCCTCTTCTTCTTCTCCTGCGTCACCATTGTCCTCAACCTCCCCGAGAACGCACACATGACGCTCTGCACATGAAACAACACCAATCACTTGTAAGAATAGATGATTCTTGATTACGTGAACCGATTTCAAAGATTTACGCAGGTCGCACGTACCTGATGAAGAAGAAGCGTGTGATGGCCATTGATGTGCACCTTGAGGTCGCAGAGCTCATTCATGGCTCGAGAGAGAAAGAGAAAGGGAGGGAGAGAGAGAGAAATGGAGGCAATGGCACTGCAGAGAATGGAGTTTAATAGTATCTAGGAGCAAGTGAGAATTGGGAAGATTTGGTTGCTTGGTTGCTGCCTCAGTTCAGTTACTTGGGACCTCAAGGCAGATACAGTCACAGCTCACAAGCTCACAGTGTAGTAGACTAGTAGTACCACATTGCTTGAGTGCATGTGTCCTGTGGAGAGATATGGAGGAACACCTCATGATCCCTGAGAAGAAAACAAAAGCAAGTTTTGGTCTGGGTAGGCAACAGGTTCTCTGAACTCTTCACTCTTCAATGCTGGGCTGATGGGCTCTGCATGCAGTTCAAAGAATGAAAGGGAAAAAAAAGCACCCCTGCCTTCCAAAGGCACGAGAGCAAACAAACAAAAACGTCCCCTTGTTCTATTCTAAAACAGAGAGATCTCATATGAAAATAAAGAAAAAAAGAGAGGAAAAAAACAGAGGAACAGAGAGATCTTGTTCATGGCCACTATGGATTGAGTGTTTGCACTGCTCAAGGAGATGATTCAGCATCTGGATGCTAAGATTGCTAGTGCGCCTGGCTGGAATTGATTGGCAACATGTCACCAACTTGACATCAGAGCACGCAACAAACTGTAGCTATGCACCCTTATCCTGTAGTATTACTCCAGTTCATGCTGTGCATATTTGTCAAAGTGCAGTAAAAATTCTGTGGCTAGGCAACGACCAACTTTTGCAGGATGAAAGATGAACTTGTAGCTGTTACAAGCACTGTTAAAAGTTTTCCCCTTCTTTTTGCTCCCTAGTCCCTATACTATCCAGACATTCTATGGCTATAGTACTGTTGAAAATCCTGTGCTGAAAAACAAGCTTAGAGAGTTGAGAGGACATCAGGACACATGGCCCTTACAATGTATTCAATTAACTAATCAGAGAGAGAGAGAGAGAGAGAGAGGTCGTGACATTTGTTCAGGCATGTGTGCTCTGTCAGGAGCTGGTGCAATTGCAGTGGCTCCATCGCTCCAAAAACCTATTATGCCAGGGCTGTCATATTGGCAATTTGATATGGCTTAGGCCACTCAAGGCTTTGGTATTGTCTTCTCCCTAAGAAATGGGCTTTGGAGTTTTACTGGTGCTCACAGTCACAGGCTTATCATATTCCATGTGGGAGTTGGAGAGGAGCCCTCTTTCATGCTTAAATTATCTGTAACATAAAGTGTTCATATGAAAAGATGAGGAGGATGGAGTATGGACCATTGCTACTACCTTTTTGGTGACATATTAATGGATGTAGCTCAAGAACCTTCAAACAAGAAGAAGAACAAACACGCAAAACAACAACTTCTTCTAGTTCAGGCTGAGCTGTCCGCCGGCCATACTAATAGAGGTAAGCGTGGGAAGATTTGCCAAGCGTTTAGTTTTTCATGTTCAGATGTTTAGGATGTCTAATATCAGGTTAGCTGATATACTGATATAAACACATGAGTTAACTAAGGGACAAATCAATTGAAAGGTAGGTACAGCATAGTCCACTATTATAATCTTATGGACAGAAATTCAGAGGGTCAAGACGAATACCGTGATAAGATATTGCTGCATATGCATCCAATCTAGCACGGCGAGAACAGCAGGGAGCAGCAGTACGACTAGCTAAGGAATCCCGCTCACAAGTGCCAGAAGAAATGCCACTCGTGTTAGTTTATCATCAGGCTCGCAGCAACTCCAACATGTGCAGTGTTAATACCACCATCAAGTACATCCAATGTGGTACTGTAGAAATTAACCACCTAGGGAGTAGAAGAGTATGGTCAGTTCGTGTTTGATCAGACAAACCTGGCTCTGAATTGGTTTTGACTGTTTCGGACCAAAAAAACTACATATTTGAACATCGCATTCGAGGAATGCGAATTCGACACATTGTACTTACAAAACTTTAAACCACAGGATTAACACGTCAAAGAAATGCTACTACAATGTATGCTACTCTCAAAATTTCGGTTGGCCTATCTTTCAGCTGAACTGATTAAAAAAACATATGCTACTGCGGCACCTGTTTTTTCGGTATCTTGACAGGTTAATCTACAACCAATAGCAATCAAAATCAAGAACAGTAGCAGCCAGCAACCTGTGTCAAGAAACATATGTCTAACAGATATCCACATATCGCGGCAATTATTCCCGCGGATGGATCACGGGAGAGGGTTTCGGGAGACAACCATAGGTTGGCGATGGCTAAAATACGGGTGTTGGGAAGTGGAGATGAATGTTCTCTTGGCGCCCACTCACCAACTGAAAACGGATAAGCGATTGATTCTCCTCTCCCTGGACGCCACGGCATCACCTGCCGGTGTTGCTCACGAGTGCAAGAGAGACCAAAGATGATAAAGAAATGCCGTACTCACTTAACGGCCACCGTTCTTCCTCTCATCGCCATCAATTCAGTTAGTGAAGAGAACCTAATTGCAGAGGTTAATTGCTACTACCTACTTCTAATTTTTTTGGATGCTTGACTAGAGGGAGAAAGACTTACGTTGTTCAGAGTTGACGATCTAGTAGAAGTATCTGAACTTTGTACACAATCTGTGGTTGTTTCTGAACCGAAGCGCGGAGCGCCACATTTTTATCAGCTTTTCTCTCCCTGCATGTTGAAGAATGTTCAGTCCAAAAATCCAATGGCGTGAGCATTTGAAAAAGATGAATGATCAAGTAAATGTACGGGAGAAAGCCAAAAGCCGCCATGAATGGGAAGGTGAAACGAGCAAAGGAGTTCACCTCACGAGGTAAACGAGATCCGCCTGCAGAGGAATGGCGATGGGCACTACTGGGGTCTGCAGGTCGCCGCGCGTGCCCGCGTAAACCAAGTCACGGATCCGCCGCCCCCCACCCCACCCCAGCCGATCAGTCCAACGCCACGCCGCCGGCGTGATGTGGGCGGCACGCACGCACGCACGCCCTCGCGTCGCCATCCTCTCGCCGCCGCCGCCGGCGACGGCCTCTCACATGCTCTGCAGCTGCAACTCACACGCGGCAGCGAAGCCCATCCCGTCGTCAGGCCTGTCCATGGGCCGAGACAACATCGAAGCCCGCGTCTCTTTCTGTATTGGGCCAGCGAAGCGGAGGACGCGCGGCCCATCTCGAGTCCCCTCGCGGCGGCATCGTCTCGTCTCGCCTCCGCGTCGCCGCCGCCGGCGAGAATTGGAAAGGCGACACGTGATTAGTTTAATCAGGAAGCTTCGGGAGACGCACGAAACCGCGAGCATTTCTGATTTCTCCTCCTCTAATTACCGCCTCCTCCTCCTTCCTCTACGTACGAAAAGCCAAAACCCAAATTCGCTTCCCCCCCCCCCCCCCCAAAAAAAAATTGCTCTTGCGGCGCCGCGGATTCTTCGTCTCCACCACCGCCCTCGACGTCAGATCAGGTATAAAATCCGTACGCGGGGTTCAATCTTCTGGCTGGTTGTTTCGATCTGGTTCCTGCCTTTGATCGAGTTTTGAGGGTGAGGGTTTGTTTTGGTTTTCGCTTGCGCGGTTGCAGGTGGTGCGGTCGATTTGAATCCATGGCGGCGACGGTGGCGGAGGCGCTCGCGGTGACGGACGAACTGGCCTTGCCGCTTCGCGCGGTGGGGGATCTGGCGGCCGCCGCGGGGGTCTCGCGGGAGGAGGTGGTGGTCATCACGCAGTGCGCCTCGCTTGGTGAGCTTCTCCTCGTCTCCTTGCTTCCCTTTTTCCTGCTATCATATGAGACTCCGATATCGATTAGGATTTTTCGTGTTTAGATTCAATAATATGGAACTGTGCCTAACCCTGTTACGAGCGTTTGTTCTTTGCTGGTTAGGATCAGTTCCAACTCAACAAATCGCAACAGTTCAATCGATTTCAATCGATTCATGGTAGAGTTCTTCGAAAAACAGTTTGGAGCTCACCATTCCTTTAGTTTCCGACGACTCCCCTTATGATGCTTCATATGCTAATTCCTATATAGATTCATTTCACCATATATGGGACCAAATAGGTTATGAGACAGTGCTATTGGTTGACGAAGGAAAGAAAAGAGTTTCATATTCTCACATCAATCATGAGGAGAAAATTTTGGAGATCATCTCCCTATATGTTTTGTATTGATTATCTAGATTCATTAGTGGCAATATTCAATTCTCACCCATGACTACTACTCCAAAATTGGAGTATGTTCCAAAATTTGGACCCTACAACCGACACACTGTTTTGCTCTGCTATATGTTCAGTTTCGATTTCTGTTATGCTTTAGTATACCTTATCCTTGTAGTATACATTTTGGTTTGTCATAAGCTCGTTTTGAACATTCCATGTTGGCATGGTTCAGGTGGGAAGTTACCTTTTGATGATGCATCAGTTGGTTCTGTTCTTGCTGTCATTAAGAAAGTGGAAAACTTGGGCGATCTGTTCATAACTGAAATAAGCAGGGTTCTTAAAGCTGGAGGCATGGTGCTTATACAGAGTTCCCCCTCTGATCAGGATGTATGTACTGTTTTGCCAATATACTTTATTTTGTAATGCTTAATTTGCACTCCCTGATCTTCTGATCTTCTCTTCATCAGCCCAATAACTCTATTCAGCGCAAGCTACTGTTAGGAGGATTTGTTGACGTGCAAGCTTCTGCTGCAAGTTCCCAGGATAGCGAGCATTCTGTTACTGTGAGTGATCTAGTGCCACAATATGTGTTAATGCTTCTGTGCCGTCATACTTTCTAGTGCTAACTGAATCACATGCAGATTAAGGCAAAGAAGGTCTCTTGGAGCTTGGGCTCTTCCTTCCCCCTCAAGAAAGCCACAAAGGGTCTTCCAAAGATTCAGATTGATGATGATTCTGAACTGATTGATGAAGACAGCCTCTTGACTGAAGACGACTTGAAGAAACCAGAACTTCCAGTTGGTACTGTTTTATAGAACCCTTCAGCTTTGTTCAACGTCTATAAATTTAATATGTAGATCCTGAAGGTTTGCTTATGTTTTACCAGTTGGGGATTGTGAGGTGGGAGCCACAAGGAAGGCATGCAAGAACTGTACTTGTGGCCGGGCTGAGGCTGAGGAGAAGGTGGAGAAGCTAAATCTCACATCAGAACAGATCAATAACCCTCAGTCCGCTTGTGGCAATGTGAGCATGACTGCTTTTTAATTAAGTGTTTTATTTTTTGCCTTTGGTCCTCTCCCTGTGAAAATCCATAGTTTCATCCTGTGAAATGATAATTGCAGTGTGGGTTGGGCGATGCATTTCGATGTGGTACTTGCCCATACAGAGGTCTACCAGCATTCAAGCCAGGCGAGAAGGTAATTATCTCTCCTGACCCTAAATTCTTGATTCATGAGAACACCCAAGATGCCAGTTGAACTTGTTTTTAAGAAACAACTCACTGTTCTCTGATTGGCAGATTGCCCTACCTGGCAACTTCCTTGCGGCTGACATGTGATGATAGAAGGGAACATCGGCAACAGCAGCAGATAGGAATTGGCTTCTTTAATTTGTTCGTTCGTTAGAATGTTGAAGTTGCTGACCAAGTATGGGTGTGATAGTAGATGGAAAGAAGAGGACCATTGCTGTAGTCCCTGCTAGGGATTGGGATCCAGTGCAGTTGCTAGGGTAACTGCAACTTAAGCAGTTGCACTAGCACCACATGATAACAAATTAATGGTTCTAGCACCTGTATACTGTAGCAGAAATTACTGTTTCACGTGTTTTGTAGCAACAAATCTGGACCATTGGATGAAAATACAAATGGATCTCAATCCCCCTGCTAGTTATCACCACTTTCTGGTTCCCAGGTTTCAGGTGTGAGTGTGACTCGCCTATGCGTTCTGTTTTGATGATATATGTAACTGAGAAAATACTGCACTGTTGTTTCATTGTGAAACTGTCAAATCTCAAATCGCACGTCGCTGCTCTCTGCTGATCTTGCAAGACAGTGACCCCTTAACAAATGGCATGTTAGTTTCAATGCAGTGGGATGTTGTGTTCTTATCTGCTGCGTGCGGCGTGGTGGTGGTGGTGTTACTTTTTCCTGATTATAGCCTTTTATTGCTGTTGTTTTGTTTGTTTTTCTGTTATATATAAATAATATAAGACCTAGTACTATCTTGTGCAGTTCGTTAATAAAAAAAAACGTATGTTCGCAGTATTTTGTGTGGTTTGTTTTTTAAAAAAAGACAAACAAATGGCATGTTCGTGATCCCTGAAAGTGCAAACTGCAAATATAAACTTATCTCTGCGGCATGTAACCCACTTGTATCAACTGTATGTACACAATAACAACGTAGTAGTAATAACACAGTACTAAGCATCCTATGCTTGAAACCTGAATACGACTTGTTAGCAGGAGCATAGGGTCCAAAACAGGAACAGTTCTCTGTACTTTAGAAGTGCACACAGACTAGCGACAAAAAGGAGATAATTTATCATTCGCGACGTTTTGGGCCGGTTCATTTTGATGTCATTTTTAACCTTACCAAATTTTAGTAAAGTTGACAAAAAAATGGCTACATTTAGTTTGCTACCAAATTTTGTAACTATATAAGAAATCCTACCGGTATAGTTGCCAAAATTTTGTCATTACCAAAATTTGGTAAGGTTTTTTTTAGCATCAAAGTGAACAGGTCCCTTGTCCGAGATACAGGATATCACCAAAGTAGGCCTTCTTTGAAATTGAACTAATTTATATGAAAAAAATCATGTAAAATACCTTTGTTCTAAAAAAACCAGAGTTGTATTTTGCGATTACATGGTAGAGATGTACACACACTATTACCAATGCAACGCTACACTAACGTCACGAGTGCGTCCCCTAGCACGTCATGTTTGACATTACTCTGTAACTAAGGGTTGTTCGGTAGTGCTGAACTGCGGTTGTACAACCGCAGCGCTGACGCTTCCCTAGCATCTTTCTTGTGGTGGGACTATACCTGCTGCTGCAAGGCCGTCAACTAGTAGCACTACCAAATACACCCTAAGTTTTTTTTACAAATTATTTGGACCTGAAGTTGTGACAAAATTGATAATATTTTAATGAGTCATTTTGTTTCTACAAATATAAAATCTAAATTACTATAATTTAACTTGAAACTTTAAACGTGGAGGTGCACTAAACATAACCTTAAGTGTTTTCCTTGTACCAGTGTCGCACTTGACCCGGTCTAGAACTTAACGGGGGGTTAGATCATGCGTATTTTTGTATATACATCATACATGTGCTCAAGGAAACAGTACCATATATTTTTTTTCAACTAGAATAGTCAAGCTGCTTATTATTATATAGGAATAAGAATGACACTAATGCTTGATTAAATAGCAATTTTTGAGCTTCATGAACCTCTCTGTTTACCTACAACTTTTTTTTTTTGAAGTTAAGCACCTACAATGAATAATCCTACATGATATGACATGGTAAGCACTACATGAAGTACTCTTTTATAAAAGAGAAAAGGGATTAAGAGCCTCCACCATGAAGCAATTCTTTTTGTTTGGTCTTTTGTACCGTTTAAAACTAACTAACCTCAAGTCATCTTCCCTTAAACCTGTTCTTATCGAAACATATTCTCTCCTCTTCTCCGTCTCCGCCTCTATTCCGAAGTGTAGAGAACCCTGCGAATTTCCCAACCACCGCCTCCGCTCTCTCAAGCCGGCCTCCGCTCCTCCGATCCGCGGGCTCCCGGTCTCCTCTGGTGGATCCGCGATGGAGGAGCAGCAGCAGCAGCAGCCGCTGCTCGAGGTTTGCCCGTCTCCCCCTTTTTCTTTTGCCGCGTGCTTTGGCGGCATCGCCTTGTAGGGGTTCCGTGCTGTTCTAGTGCTCTTGCGTCGAATTGGGTCCATGATTGGGAGCATCATTGCGCCTGATTTGCAACCGTCGGCTCTCGGTCTTGCCTAAGTTTCGCACCCATCTTTTTGGTCTCCGTTGCCAACACGCGAGGGAATTTCTAGCCTATAGGATAATTAATAATGGGTCGGGGCATCGCCCTCTACTTGTTATGTAGATTGTAGAGGTGTTTTTTTTGTTTTGTTTTGTTTTGTTTCTTGGGTAATCTGCGCATCCAGTTGGATCATGAGCTTGGGGTTTATCCTTTTGTGAGCTTGGGTTGTCTATTATCACTCATTCAATTATTGGGTTATTTTGTTAAAGGAGACGTCTGATGCTTGATATCTGGATTATTTGGAGTGCCAAATGCTCTGGGAAGTAACTGATATCCGACGAGTAACCCTGCTGTAGCCTTATAATTGATACGCTTTGGTCTGGATGGTGATTTGGCTTTAGCCTTATAATTTTGTTGGTCGGCCCAGACAACGAGTCTATGACCATGATCTTAAGTTGTAATGCAATTCAGAAACACGGATATTATCTGTGGTAACTGACATGATATTTTACAACTATGTGCTCCGAGAATCACTAATGTACCCTTTTTTGTTGGTAAAACTTCTGAAACAGGTACTAGCAACTTAAAATAAATTTAATTTGTGTTCAGAAAGAACCCAGAGATAGGCAGTTAGCACAGCATAATCAGTAAATTGTGTTGACATTGAACATCATTTATAATACATGATTGCAGTTTTGTTGATTTAGATATGACTGCTAAAAGCTGTGCTTACTGTGCTACAATCTCACGGGAGAAAATCTGTTATAAAGAATTGCTCTTGAATAAAATTATGTGCTCTTGGCTCAGTAGCAAGAATGATATTCCCTAAGTTTCTTGACTGAAATGATAAACAAGTCAAGGTTGTGAGTTACAGTTTGCTGATTGGAAAATGATATGATGAGTTGTTTTAAGTTGGACTAATATTCTCTACAGTAATGCGCTAATTGCAATTGTCCTTCCATTTAGGTAGAGCAATGTGTAACATCTATACCAGAAGATCATGAGGCCACTTGTTGGGGATGTGGACTCCGTCTCATTTTTGCAAGTTATGCTCCTGTTTTTAAGTGTGGCTGGTGTGGAGCAATCACATAAAGTAACCAAACTTCACGAAAACCTGACAGTGTATGCTTTTCTCATTGGAGGAATTTCCGGGACAGGTTCTTTGTGACTGTGCTCATCCTCTTCATGCTCTTCGTCATATGTAGGTTCCGAGTCTATTGTCATCTGCTTTAGATAAAACTTTCCATCTTGATCTCTCCATGTTTATTTGTTTATTCATGCAATTTGTGCTGCTGTTCCACATGACTAAACTTGTTGTCTCACAGGTGGTGGGGTCTGGGCGGTATATCCAGTTGTTTTCTCGATCAGCACATTTTGTGGCATCTTTCACTGCATATTAACAGGTGTACTAGCTGTATTTACCATCACAAGTTATTGCTTGGCCTCTTTTAAATCTGCTGGTGCACCGGCAGACATGCGGTGGGGCAGCTATCCCATGGTTGGGAAAAATGACCTGGAAAACTATACCTTCTGTACATACTGTAGTAAACCAAAGCCCCCAAGGGCACATCACTGCCGATCTTGCAAAATGTGTGTGTTAGACATGGATCATCATTGCCCATTTGTAAGTCAGACAACTCTAAAACTAACTTCCAATACCGTTATTCCTCTCTACTTATTTGACTTGACTTGGTTTGTTTCCTTTTTCTGTGTCCAACTGCAGATTGGGAACTGTGTGGGAGCTTCAAATCACCGTGCTTTTGTATTTTTTCTTATTTCTGTGGTCATCAGTTGTAGTTATGCTGCTGGTATGACCATTTATTCAAGTTATCATATATGGCCCCCACTAGATTTTGAAAATCTAGCATCAACTCACCGTTCAATGGGTTATATAAAGATGCTAATTGAGATTATTGGTACCTTGGCAAGCTCTGCATTCTTCTTGTCAGCAAGGGGTCTTGTTACAGTATATATTGCATTTGCTAGTCTATCAGTTAACGCCGGTATAGGTGTGCTGTTGTTCCAGCAACTTAGTTATATATATGAAGGAAATACATACCTTAACCGTTTAAGTTCGCTGAATGTCATGCACGGCGAGAGAGGCCTGCAAAACCTTATTCGATTTTTTGGGTGCCCCTACTCAGTTTCTAGAGTATTATCGGGCTACTCAAACACTGGCAAGTTACAGGACAATTCGAGTTCAAAACTTCTTTAGAGGTACATAATCACAAGTCTTCAAGCACTGCTTTCATTTCATATGTTGGTTCATGCATTTCATAAGCCATTTTTTATGAACTCCTTCCCGATAGATTATGTATTGTTGGAGTAAAAAAAATGTGGTCCTTAACTAAACCTTCCTTGCCTCTTAAATCCTTTGGCTTGGTCATAATGATTCATCTTGCTGGTTTCAACTACTTATATTTCTGCAAAGTTTTATTTTTACTTTTTCAACTTAAGGAAATGAATAAGCATGCAATCATGCATAATGTTAGTATCTAGGTATTACTAATTTCTCGTCGTGATTTTCTTTAAAATAATTTTAGCCTACTCACTTGAATGAAAAAGGACTGGAGCCAACTAACAGATTGTAAGATGGTTGTAGATGATGTTATTAGTTATTCCACCTGCTTGGTTACTGCACGCAATTCATTCATGATGTTTTGTAATCATTGTAATCATGGACTAAAGCAGAGGTTTCATTTACATGTTTTCAGTGGTAGAATGTGTATATTATCATTTGAAGAAACATTTATGGACCTTCTTGCAGACATAATGGTTCTGCTGCTGACACTAAAACAGTGGATTGACAGTCAATAGCCAGTTAGTTTGCATAACTGAAGCTAGTTGTGAACATAACATTACACAAAATAGTCCACGCAATCTGGTAGAGGACTTCATTTTGAAGGGAAGTTATACTGTCGGCATTAGTCTTGAGCTGGAACTGTTCTCACATTGATTTACTGGATGCAATTTCAGCAGATGCTGAAATACAATGTGGTCCAATATATTCATTGCCTACAGAGTACGGATGATCTTGAGGTGCTGATGGTTGAGGCCATAAATTGCTCTATCCGTAATTGTGAGCATCATCAGTACTTGTTCTGTGTGAAAGATCCCAGTCTAATGCTTCGGTGTTGCAGGAGAAATCAACGTGAAGATTAAATCTGGCAGTGATTTCGGTGTTGTAAAATGCTTGGACCACACCTGTTTGTTGTCGATACATTAACACGGTATATAGGAAAAGGAACCCCACGGCTGCTTTTGTACTATTTACACACTAAACTAGCCTTAAATTGGTCGGTAATCTTATAAACGTGTCATATACTGTTCCATGTGTTCTTGCCATTTTTGTCCAGATTTTATGTAATTCATTCAACTGAGCTTTTTGGCCTGACAATTGTAACGGGACACAGCTCACGTAATTAATATTGCTGCTGCCCTTGTAACCATTTGACCTCATTTTTGTTCCTTACGGAGTATGGCCTTTCATGAAATCATCAAAGTTTGGAATTATGGGAGCTGCCTGCGTCAGTTTGTTGAATGGTTCGTCTGAACATATATGCAAATGGACATGGTTACTCTGGCCATACATGCAACTAACCAAGCTGCATTGATTTCATCATTTCATAGCAACAGTACATTATATTAATATTATTATATACTGATGATTGCGTTGTCCGCCTTTGAATGGAGGCTGGCTAGGCAGACTTGTCTTCAGTTTCAGCTTCAACAGTTTCTTTCTTCTCCTTTTCTTTTGTGAGGGAAGGAATTTGGAGTATGCAAGATTGCCTTGGAGTAAGAACCTTTTTCTTTTCCTTTTTTGTGATTAGAAGGATAAGCTTCAGTATTACTTGTTGGCTTGTTGCATTTTTTCTAACCTTCAAGCTCGTATGATTTGATGTTGTTGTAATGGTCTGATCATGGGCTTTCCTGAACTGCAGATCTGAAGAAATTGCTTCAGCTTCCACTGCATGTACGGATGCCACTTGACAAGGATCTACCGTGCAATTTCACGTTGGATCGGGGAGAGATATTGATCATATTGTTAACTACAAAATCACTCTAAATTCAGAGAGAGAGAGAGAGAATGCGGCTAAGTTAACTGCAGGTATGTATGTCTCTCAGATCTTAATTCCTTCACATGCTTTCCTTCGATCGCAAGCAATTTTATCAATTAATTGCCTGTCCTTGCATTGCATTTGCATGCCCCGTTGTCCCAGCAGCAAGCAGGCTACCTCTCTCATCTCATCTTTCCCATGAATTAATCATCCATCTCTCTTTCTTCCTTCCTTTCTTTTTTTTTCTTTCTCTGCAGCCACATGTCATGTACAGATGTACTGCTATGCCATATACATATGCTCTCTTCTGCAACAGCACAATACGCAAGCTGCCCATTGCTACGTGGCACTACGATTCCGTACACACTTACGAGGTTAAACAATGGCGCATTATTTGATTACTTCTGATGGAATTTTGTGCTCTGAGCTGCACATGCAGGGGCAAGCTAGCATGATTTGTGCATACGATGCATTGTATATTCATCACCGAAGAGTACACAGACCAATCAGCAGCTGCAAAGTCAACATGTAAAATGGCAAAAGAAAAAGCCGGCCATTGCTATGTCCGGCCGGTGGGAGGAGAGACAGTGCAGTGCAAGGCTAAGGCCAAAGCCAAGGCAAGGCTGGCTGGCCGGTCGTCGAATCAATCGATCGATCGCCATGTTGCCATGTGCTTTTCCACCGTTGCTGTGCCGCGGCACTCACCGGCAGCCGCAAATATACTACAGAGACTCTGCTTGCTTAATTGGAGTGGGTGCAAGCAAACGACAAGCTTATTACGAGCTTTGCTCGCACATAGATTACTCCATCCCGCTTACAGCATGACGGGTTTCGGTGCCTTCCTCCATCTTTAAATAACTGATAACTTTAGCTTTACTATTTGAATATTGACTAGTAATTACTCTGAAATGGTTAGAGTAATTGAATAAAAGTTTCATGTTTTATGTTTAGAATATAATACAATTCAATAACATATTATTCCTTTTAGTCCTTGTAAATATTTAGTAAAACGACGAGTGGCTAAATTCAAAAGGGAATAGTGTCCACTATCAGTCATTTAAAAACATAGGGAGTATTTTGTCTTTTGTTTTACATCATTGGCAAGTATGAGGAAGCTATCACTGAATTGAATTGTCAACCAGTAGTAACAATTCTCAACTTATGAAGGGGAAAAGGATGTTTGTTTTTTTATCCTTCGGAGTTCCAACAATCAGGGCCCAGCTAAAGAGGGGGGAGCAGCGAGCGGAAATGGAGGGAAAGCAATCTCTCGTTTCGTTTCGTTTCATTTCATATCAACCTGACGTGCGTGTTGCTGCACAGGGGAATTGCAGAGGAGGAGGCCCGCTTGTCTTTACAGCGCAAAGATTCACTCACCAATTGCCACATGCTCCTCCTGCCTGTCTGCCTCGCCTCATGCTCATCCCATCTTCCTCCATGATCCATCCATCTATCCGGTTCGCTGGCGAGAATTCCATTAAATTTTAGTATTGATAAGTAAATTGATGATAAAATTTTATAACAAATACTTCTTCCGTCATATAATATAAAGGATTTTGAGTGGATGCGACACATCCTACTGTAATGAATGTACTCGTCTGTACAGATTCATGGTATTAGGATGCGTCGCATCCACATAAAATCCCTTATATTATAGAACGAAATGAGTACTAATGATATTGAAGTTTGTCTGGACTAAAAAAAATCTTTCTAGCTCCGTCACTGCATCCATCCACAGGAGAGAAAAGGGCAAGAATAAGAAATTAATCTCAATCGGAAGAAAGGAATAAACAATAATTCTCCATGGATCGATCTCACAGCTGCCGATTCAGGCCTCAGATCCAACAGAAATCCGCTTTTGTACCGTGAATTCGCCGCTCTTTCTTCCTCCTATCGGGAGTACGAACCGGGCTGGGGCCCCGATCCGTCCGTTCATCCTCCCCGCCTTTTCCTTCCTGTTTCCCGCGTCCTTTTCTGAGTCTTGTTTGCCTCTCTGCTGCTGCCGTTCGCCGCTGCTTTTATTGATCGGTCTTTTTTGCTACTGCCCAAGCTGTTGCCGCCGTGCTCTTGCCGTGCTCAATTAACCTGCAGCTAATCCGTCATCAAGAAGGTAATTAACTGGTATCTGAATTGGATTGTCTTTTAATCTGCTCTGCATAATCATCTACCACATGGCCTGGCATTCAGAAAGATTCATCAGAGATCAGGGATTAATTCATTCAGTACGTGCTGATTGATGTTGTAGACTTGTAGTAGCTTTTACTCGTGTGGCTGCACATTCTTTTCTCCTTTTGTTGCAACAGTGGTGGCCATGCATCATCCACATCTTTCTGCAACCCCAATGATATCCCCCTACATGCTTGGTTAATCATATGCCAAAAGCTGTGTACACTGTACACTGCAAGTTTTCATACGCTCATGATAGCGACTGCATCCGACAACAATCTGAGTAGCTAATTAAGCTAAGCCAAATTAGCCGTGAAAGAAAAAAAAAGTTCATAAATCATAGGACGCAGAGTAGTACTTGCCATGTCACTGCAAGAATTCGTGAGCTGCAGTGTCCATCAGATTAACCTCATACTGAGATGAGAGAAAGATCAGGTTTAAACAGTGACCTGACCAAGTGAATTTTCATTTTTTTTTTGGGGCCCTCACAAACAGGGCTTGTCCATTTCTCTGACAGTACATGTGGTCCAGATCCTCCTTAATGTGTTAGTGCGTACAAAAGCCCTTGCATCAACTCGATCAGGGACAGGATTAGCCTGGCAATTGCCTCTAATTGGCCCAATTAGTTTATTTATCAGGGGCATATGCATGCAGCCGGATGTACAGTGGATTATATATGCAGAAGAACACATGGCCATGACGTGATGGCGATAGCATAAGCAATGGAAGATGGATTAGAAAAAAAAAAACAAAAAAAACGCCTCATCACTAGCTGCAGCTGCTGCTAGCACATGGAAGGGACAATGAATCATATCGCTACACTAATCTGCACGACAAGCCATGGTTAAAGAAATTCCTTGCACAACTGGAGGCGAAAGTTTTCTCGACTTCTGTTTTGGAAGAATGTGTGTATGATATTCGGTTGCTGCGTCTCTCTGGCTATCTGCTCGTTCGTTCGATCGATCGCTAGCTCGTGGTTGGTAGCTGGTGAATATACTGTATTATAGCTAGATAGGAGTAGCTGATTTGTTTCAGTCCCAAACTAGCTGCTACTCACCGATTGGTAAACTGTAGCTGATCATTGAGCTCTTGCGACGGCCAGTTGGTACTGCATCCACAGACTGATCGATGATCTGATGAGATCGATGCATCTGCTTGTCCCGGCCGGAGACATCTTCTGACTGATCGATTGATCGAGCATGGAAAGGAAGGAAGAAAGTGAGGGAAGAAATAAAAGAATTCATCGATCGATCGATCACGGAGATGAGGGGGGAAATGTGCGTCAGGCATGGGATGCCTCGCAGTTGCAGATAACAAGATTTGGCCGATTTCATTCACGAAGGCCACAATATCAATCTTTGCGTCGTGTGGAAGATAAGTAGCATGTGTGAAGTGTCCTGGACGACTCCGGCTGCAGCTAGCAGCAGCGACAGCAGCAGCAGCAGCAAGCAAGCAAAATGCAACGTATATCCGTGATCTCATTCATCCATCGATCGAACCACCTGTCACCGGAAAAAAAATTCATGGCGATTGATCGATTGATCTATCGGATCCATAGCTGAGATCGAGCTCTAGCTAGCTAGCCCGTGCACGCAGATGCAGATGCAGGGGCTGTCTCTGTCCGATCGAATCGAGTGAGACCAACCATCCAAGCGTGCATGCATCGGTGGCCGGCAACTAGGCCTCCTAGCTTAGCCCTGCCTTGTCGATCGATCGATCGATGGCCAACGTCATAATAACCTTGGCCGGTGAGTGAGGTGAGAGTTCGTGCGTCTCTGCATACTGCGTCATCACCTATGCTTCACTCCTCCGTCCTCTGACCCCTCTCGCGGTTTGGAGTAGCTTTTGTCCACCGTAATTTACCTTCTTAATATACTGACCTGCAATCTTTTTGTGTGTTCGCCGGGATCGTGCAATTCTCACCGGAAAAGCAGGAGCTAACAACCAAAGCCGGCGTGTGTGTTGTTTTTTTTTTTAACTAGTAGGTGTGGTGAGAGCTGAGATTGGGTGGTGGTGGCAGAGCATGGAATTCCGGGAGTCCCGGTGCGATGCCGGCAGGTGCACGGAAAAGGAGGGGATGCGTTTGCGTGGGGCAGCGTCGCCATGAGGCCGAGCCGAGCCGAGCAGCCTGGCTGGCTGGCTGGCTGCTGCTGCTGCGTGCAGAGCAGAGCAGGACACCGTACTATATACCGGCCCGTGCCACACCATCCTCCCGGTTGGTTATCTCCTCCCGCTATTTATATCCCCCCGCCTCAGTGGGCCGTTGCCCCTCTCACTCCATCCATCTCTCTCTCTCTCTATCTCTTCCTCCTTGCAACCACCTCTGCATCTTCTACTTCCTCTCTCTCTTTCTAGATAGTTTTCTTGCTGTTCTTGGGTGGTGGTGGTGGTGGTGATGATGTGATGAGGTGAGAATTGTGATGTGGGGGGAAAGATGTGCGGGCATGCTTTCCACAGGCTTTCTTGAACTGTGAACTCGTGGGGGTGTATGTGCTCATGTTGGGATTGTGGTCGGTGGCCTCCAATTCTCTGAAAAGAAAGCTGAATTGTCGAGCTCCCCGTTCTGTCTTTGGTCGTCTCTACCTGTTGATGGTTCAAGAAAGCCCATGGAAACCATGCCGCGTCTTTGTGTGCTTCCCGTTCCGCCATCCGGAGAATTCCGGCCACACAGATCCCTGGGGGGGTTGAATTCTGTGGTTTTGGTTCTGAATTTGGATGGTTTTTGGCTCTCTGGGGCGTAATTCTCTGAGAATTCTCTGTGTGGGTGTTCTTGGACCATCCAGTACTTGTTGCTCACTTGAATTCCGCCGTTGCGGCGGAGAATTTTGTTGAATTCTTGGTGTTTGTTGACTTCTGTGGCTTGAGAAAGCCCATGGCATTATGCTGCATATTTACTTTGGTTAAATTCAGCAACAGGATGGTTCTTCTCTTCTGAATTTCGCCCTTCTTAAATGTGTGTGGTCAGGCGCAATTCGGCAAAGGTTTCCTTGCTTGGAAGTCTGCCTTCTCTGGATCTTGGTTTTCCTCGTTTTGTTTCTTCTGCTCGATCCTACAATTACTCTTGCTGCTGATGTACTGAATTCCCTACTCTAGGAGAATTTGGGTTCAACAGTTTGTCTAACATTGACTTGTTCTTTAACACACTGTTTATGAAAATTCAATTCAGCACAGGTTCTTATGAAACAATTGCCTGACGAAACACTAGAGAGCTAGCATCTGGATTCAGCGAAAAAGATCTTCAGATCATACACGCCCATGGAAGTTTGATGAAGCAAATGCTGCGGGGAATTGCTGAACGGTGCGACAGCCGGTGGAGAGAATTCAGATCAGAAGTACGCTCAGAAGGTTTGGCTGAAGCAAATTCCAGATTTTATTTCACTGAAGCAATCTTCAGAATTTGATAATTCAGAACGAAAAACGTACTGGCGTTTTCAGAGTCCATCTAGAATTCATCATGTATCCCAAAAACTACTTTTGCATCCGTATCCCTAATTTCAAAATGAAACCACTACAACCAACGCGTTTAAATTTCAAAATTCACCACTCACAATTCTCATTGGATCTCTCTGTTATTTGCCAGAATCCGAGCCCCGACAGCTCGTACTTGGCCACACGACCGGAAGCTACTGACACTTGGGTTTCCAATTCTAAAACCGGCACGAAATTAGCATACCATGCAAGCTCTCTCCTAATTACTGCAGCATTTACGACAAAAGCCCTTTTCCAAAGTAGCCCCCAACCCAGCCTCACATCCCTGACAAAGAAACAAACAGAAAGGCGAGCTACCTTAGCCTTTGCTGCTTGTCCTCATTAGTACTTCACCACTGTAATTAGAGCTAGGTCAGTTCACTGCACAACATTTATCTTTCCCCCTACTTTGGCAAAAAAAAAAGTTAATTAGAACACTACAAAATTCATGTAAAATTTTAAACTTATCGTATTCCAAACTGCCATTTCTGAGTAAAAAAAATTAAGAGAGAGAGAAATGAAGTGAAGTGAAGGAGGCAGAGGCAGAGCCGCCAGGGCGGTGGTGGGGGTTCTGTCCTGAGCAGGTGGAAATCACGCTTGTGCAGAAAGAGATCTGAAGGAGGCGAAAAGAAAAGAGAGAGAGAGAGAGCAAAAGCAAAACACCGTCTCTACGGTCCTTGAGTAGATACTATGAGGTACTAAAAATTTAGTGTAAAAATTAGTATCTCATGGTACCTTATAGTATTTAGATACCAAGAGGTATCAAATTTATAATAGAAAAAATGGTATCTCATGGTACCAAATGCTACCATCCAAAAGCTAACATAACCCCCACATAAAAGTCATGTGATTCTCCCAGCAAAAAAGAAAAAAAAACCATAAAATCTCACTCGATGGATCCATGATCCGTCTCGCGATTAATTACTGCATCCTCCTGCTGCTGCTGGTGTGCCTGTGCCTGCCTCACCTCACCTGCAGTGCAACAACCCAATCCGGGCCTGCACTGGCAGCAATCAGGGGGAGGATGGAATTTTTCGCGCTTCTCGAGGGGCAAAGCGAACTGAATTTTGCAGCTGCCTGTGATGCCCATTCCATCCAAATTCCCCCTGATCCACGCGATGTTACTGTTACTGTATCCCCTCTAATTTCTTAATTAGTACACGGAATTGCATGCAGTGTGTCCATCAGAATTACATGTTAATCTATGCAATTCTGCAGCTGTTACTACAGGCTGATCTCCACTTGTAACCCTTCTCCTACTACCTGATCTCTGAATGCAGATTACTGCAGTATATTTTCAAGTGAATTCATGCAATGTTATGTCGGAGTGATTAGCTAGCTAGGAGGTAGTAGCATGGTGGATAGTAGAGTTATATGGGAAACTATTCTAATCCCTCGAAGGGATGTTCCCTCGTTTACCTAAAAACCATCTAAACGGTTATGAAAAATTCTGGAAAAATTTAACAACATTCATACAACACATATATACAACTCCACAAAATCTTAATTCCAAACTCAACTCACACGTCGAGATATAAAAAAGACAAATTCAACATATGAATAGTAGCGTACTGTTTATATCTAAATTTGTCTTTTTTGTTTCTCGATGTGTAGATCGAATTTGAACTTGAATTTTGGTGGATTAGTAGGTATCATTATACTCTACATTGTCAATTTTTTTTCAGATTTTTTTATAACTATTTGTATCGAATTTGAAAAAAAAAGATATATGAGGGGATATTATCCCCCTCGAATCCCCTCGAGGGATTAGAATCCATTCCCAGTTATATGGATCACATGACTCTCAATGATGGAGAGGCCGGCCTGGGCTGGCTGGCTGGCCCTGCCTGACCCACGCTGGGCTGTGCAGATCCAGACCCTTCCTGCCCTCCGAGGGGACCAACCAGATCTCCCACAGATATTCGCCTCGCTGTATTCTCCTACCTACACACATCAACCTGACCTAGCTAGCTCGCTACTGCTACCTCCGTCCCAAAATACGACACAGTTATATTTAGATAAAATCAATTATTTTTTCAGTTTCATATCATAAGTCGTTTGATTTTTTTTCTTAGTTATTTTTTAAAAAGTTTGACTAAGTTTGTAGCAAAATAAAGTAACATTTTCAATACAAAACAAACATTGTATTAAAATATATTCAACATTAAGTTTAATGGAACTAATTTTGTGTCGTAAATAATTTTTTTATAAACTTGGTCAACCTAAAAATTTTCGACCGAAAAAAGTCAAAAGACTCATAATATGAAACAGTGGGAGTACTTCATCATTCTCGCCCTCACCTAGCAAAAAGTAAAGGCGAGGAGAGGGAGAAACTACGTACTGGTTCATGCGTGCAACCCAAAAGGTAAAATGATCATGTTATCCTACTATAAGTCGTAGTGCTAGAAAGGTACGCACTTGAAAAGTTGAGAGCCCAGGTAGATCAGATTTGGTTGCTGCTGTGTTGGTTGTGGTAATATTGACAGTCCAAATAATGTAGTACTTGCATTGCTGCTCGGTTCCTAGTAGCTATTTATATGTGTCACATGCATGCATGCGGGCTACTAGCAAAGGCATCTGATTCTAAAAGGAAGCAAGACACAAGGAGGCTACGACATTAATGTATGTGCTACTGCTAGCTATATATGAAGTTGTCATGGTTGAGTGAGTGGTCATGAGCTAGCTAGATAGATGGCTAGCTCGTCGATCAGCTGCATGGTAGCTAGGAGGAGGGGAGCTTGGCGATGAACGCGTCGACCTTGATGTTGGTGGTCCGGGAGAGGAATTTCATGCAGATGGGAGGCTTGACACCGGCGAGGGCGAGCACCGACTGCGGCAGCGTCCAGATGCCGTCGCCGCAGATGAGGCCCGACGCGACGGGGGGAGCGAACGCCTTGGCCCTGGCGCCGTCGAGGCGGTCCCAGACGAAGCGGATGAGGCTGCCGATGCACATGTCGATGCCGAAGTAGGGGCCGAGGTAGAAGGGGATCGCCATGGCCATCGGCAGCGGGAGGAACCTCGCCACCTTGGGCGCCGCGAGGTCCCTGGCGAGGTTGACGGCGATGGCGGCGACGAAGAAGCCGATGCAGAGGTCGAGGCAGTGCTTGGGCAGCGAGCCGAGGCCCTGCACCCCGAGGATGGCCATGTTCCGGTACACCAGCGCGTTCGGCGACGGGTACTCCGACCCCGGCATCCCGATGTCGTGGAACGCCTTGTAGAAGAGCCAGAACACCGACGGCGCGATCACGCACCCCATGGCGGTGCCGATCACCTGGCTCACGAACATGGACCGCGGCGACGCCAGCGTCATGTACCCGGTCTTGAAGTCCTGCGTCAGGTCCGACGCCGTCGACACGATCCCGATCATCACGCCGCACGCCGCCAGCCCCGCGATGATGCCGCCGTCCGACGCGTCCGCCCACGCCCCCACCGTGAAGATGGCCAGCTTGCCGTACGTCGTCGCCAGCGACCAGTCCGTCAGCCCGCACCCGTACGCGTTGCAGAACGCCAGCACCGGCGCCACCACGTACGACACCGCGACGTGGTACCACCTCAGCTGGTGGAAGATGCGGGGCACCGTCGCGATCGACACCACCGCGATCACCACGTACGCGCTCAGCGCCAGCCAGTTCGGGATCTGGTCCTTGAGGAACAGCTCCGTCCGCCGCTTGTCGTCGAACGTCTCCTCCGGCGTCTGCCCGCCGCCGCCGGAGACCGGCAGCGTCGGCTCAGACATCATCGCGCGCACCTGCATCACCAGCGCCGTTGTGGTTCTTGTCATCACCTTCAGAAAGTTGTACAGCCCGTCGCCGAGGATGAGTGAAATGGAGATGAACACCTGCATCGATCGAATCACAATTACTCCATTGATCATGCAACAGATGATCATTTGCAAGAAGCTCGTTCTACCCGGTAGCCGACGATGCCGCGGAGGCTGCTGGGTTTGAGGTCAGCAGGATACCAGTCACCCTTCTTGTGCTCGATGAGAGGCCACATGATTCCCCACGACATGACGCCTCCGAGGAGCACGGAGATGTTGACGAGGTAAGGGCAGATCATCCCGACGCCGACGTACGTCGCAGAGAAATCGAAGAAGAACCTGCAGCAAGAAACCAACTGAAGAATTCAGTTAACTGTTGTTGACTGTCCAGTGTGGCGAGCATCTGTATGTTTCAAGCTAGCATGACATTTGTCTATTTCTTTTATTCAAAATACTTGTATTATTATTGTTTATTTTATTATTACTTGTTTTATCATCAAAGAAATGTAACTTTAACTTATATTTTTAAATAATGTATTATACGAAATATTAACGACGTCGTGTATAAAAAAACAAAGACAATACTTGTTTCTGTAGGCCTCGAGACCCAGCGTCGGGAACGACATGAACCCGCAACCGTCGCCGCCGGTGTAGAACCACTGGAAGAAGCCCCAGGAGAAGCTCATCACGAAGAATTTGCCCAGCATTTTGACCTGCATCCTGCAGGAAAATGATTCAGAATTCAGACAAGAGTCTTATTTGTTCTCTGTATTCACCACATGTACATATCTTTAGCAAACTTTCTTATCTGAAAAAAAAACCGTACTTGGCAAGCTTTGCACCCTGGGGAGTGTGGAAGCTGTTGATGAGATGTGCGGTTGCAGTGCCACTCGGGTATATGAGCTTGTAATCGATGATCATTATCTGACAGAGAAAAATTAACATCATGGTTCAATTAATTTAACTATGTCCTTCAAAGAAATCATATATCTCTGAATTTTAGGAGAAACTGTAACAGCTGAGCTGATGAAATGTACTAAGTACCTTCCTGAGTGGCACAACTGAGAAGAGGCCCAGGAAGCTGACAATGAAGAGGAATCCAATCATCCAGCCCAAGCTGGGGTTCTTGATGTTGTGCTCGTCCCTGGCCTCGCCTGACTGGTCGCTGATCCTGTCGCTCATCGCGAATATGTAGCTGCCAAAACCCCCTGTACCACCAGTGCATAGATCAGCATCTGAAACCATCACCACCCTGACACCAAGCAGAGAACGTAGTGCACAGTGCTCTCTGTGGATGTACTACTGATAACAGGGAGAGCAGTGATAAAAGTCTAGGACGTGAAGAACGGAACATGTATGCTTATAGTAACAAGGTGCTTAAAGAAAGATAAGTTTTTTTTTGTTAGTAAGGATGCAAATTACCAAGTGCTAGGGGAAACAACACGAGGAATGAGTCTCCAATCAAATCATTTCTTTGTAGGTGCTTTCCCATGGGCCATGGCTAGTTGGCTACATTATCCTCTGTATTTAAATGCAGCAATCATTTTTTTTTGCTAAGCACCGTATTTGTCCTACGTGGCAATTAGAAGTACACCTATGTTGTGTACTCCCTTCGTCCCACCAAAAAACAACCTAATATTAGATAAGACATTTCGTAATATAATGAATCTGGACATTAGTCTTTTTTTAGACGGAGGAAGTATGCTCAATAGGCCAGTTTCCAATGGTGTGCTAAAAACATCATTTTGGTTGGAAATTCAAACACCTGAACTTTAAGAAAGGCAAGCACAGAACAAGAAAAAGAATCCAGAAAAAACCTAAGATCAAAATTCATGCTACACACCGAAATGGAATTGTGGCCTGTGGGCCTTGATATACATCCAAAAAGGAGGCCATCGAGGCCTAATTTACGGCCCAAACAAGTGATCCGTCGCCATTCGATTCGACGCAAAATTTGCATCGCGCAATCACTGAATCGTGCAGCGAGCGAGCGATCCGATCCGCGGCGAGTGCGAAGAATGGCAGCGGGGAAACCGTACCGCTGAAGGCGATGCCGGAGCAGGCGACGACGCAGGTCTGGACGACGGTGTTCTCCTGGCGGGTGAAGGGGCGGACGCTGGCGACGCCGGCCTTGTCGAGGAGCTTGGTCCACGACGTGAGGAGGAAGAAGCCGAGGAGCCCCGCGGAGACGTTGAGCGAGGGGATGATCCCCGTCGTCAGGTTCAGCTTCATCACGATCACGCTGAACATGGCGCCCAGCAGCGCGCTCACCGCCAGCGCCCGCAGCGTCACCTGCTCCTTCCACCCCGGCACCACCCTCCCCTCGAACACCCGCTCCACCGACACCACCGCCGCCTCCTCCTCCTGATCTCTACGCTCCCTCCCGCTCCTCGCCATGGCCCGCGAATTGAGCTCTCGCTCTCGCTCTCTCTCTCGATCGATCGCGGTTGCGAGGTGTGGAGGCGAAGGCGAAGGCGCGCGTGTTTCCGGGGAGTTAAGAGTTGTCGTCTGGGCCCCACATGTCAGTAGTACTGGTTGTCCGCTACGAGGGGATGACATGTGGGGTCACTGATGAGTTTCACTTGGGTTCAGTTTGCTAGTGCCACGTGGCAGGGATAGGGGCTTTTCCGTCGGGATCCGCTTCTATCGGCGAGTGTCACCCCCGTCTCTTGATCGTCTTCCCGTCAACGTAGCACTAGCTCGCGGTTAAATTTGGCAAATCAACCGCTTGATGATAGATACGAGCCCGGAATTTGACGACCAAATGCCCAAAATTTCACGAAACATCGTCACACGGACACGTACGTAGTGCAAAATCACATGGCAACCAAAAAATTACCCTGGCAAAAATGGGTGAAAATTTTTAGCGTGTCACATCAGATATACTGACACATATTTAAAGTATTAAACGTAGTCTAATAACAAAATAAATTACATAATCCACATGTAAACTGCGAGATGAATTTATTAAGCCTAATTAATATATCATTAGCAAATATTTACTGTAACACCACATTGTTAAATCATGGAACAATTTGGTTTAAAAGATTCGTCTCGCAATTTATACACAAACTGTGTAATTAGTTTTTTTCGTCTAATATTTAATACTTCGTACATGCCTTAAAAAAAATTTATCGGTGGATCTAAACACCCCCCCCCCCCCTTCCCCCAATCAAACAGGCCATGGCTGGTGGTGCTGATATATCGACAGAAACATGCCATGCCATGACAATGCGGAATGCATCAGCCTCTGCCTGCACCAGACATTTCTGCTCTGTGACTCTGTCCGAGTGAAGAAGACGACGACGACGCTAAAAAGCAAGTGCCACATCTGCTGGCTAGATGCCGCTACATTTTACTGTTGCGTTTGGTGTTGGTGCCCGTGGTGGGCCCCATCTCCTTGGCGATATTCCGGAGCACGTACTTCTGGATCTTCCCGGTGGACGTCTTCGGTAACTCGTCGCGGAAGATCACCGTCTTTGGGACCATGTACCGCGGCATGCGCTCCCGGCTCCACGCGACCACGTCCGCCGCCGTCACCGCGCCGCCGCCCTGCTTGAGGCTGACGAACGCGCACGGCGTCTCCCCCCAGAACTCGTCCGGCCGCGCCACCACCGCCGCCTCGTTCACCGCCGGGTGGCCGTACAGCACGGACTCCACCTCCACGCTGCTGATGTTCTCCCCGCCGCTGATGATCACGTCCTTGGACCGGTCCCGGATCTCCACGTACCCGTCCGGGTGCATCACCCCGACGTCGCCGGTGTAGAACCACCCGTTGTCCCGGATCGCCGCCTTCGTCGCCGCCTCGTCGTTGAGGTAGCCCAGCGTGATGCAGCCGCCGCGGAGCACGATCTCGCCCATGGTCGACCCGTCGCGGGGCACGCTGCGGCCGGTCTCGCCGTCCACGACGTCCACCTCGGCCATCCCCGGCGTGCGCACGCCCTGCCTCGCCTTGAGCCGCGCGCGCTCGGAGGCCGGGAGCTTGTCCCACTCGCCCTTCCACGCGCACGAGAGCACCAGACCCGCGGTCTCCGTCAGCCCGTACCCGTGGCTGACCTCGAAGCCGATCGCCTCCGTGCGGTACAGCACGGCGGCCGGCGGCGGCGCGCCGGCCGTGAGGATCCGCACCTTCCCCGGGAGCGGCTTCCGCACGCCCTCGGGCGCGTTCGCCAGCATGTTGAGCACGACGGGCGCGCCGCACAGGTGGTTGACGCCGCGGCGCGCGATTGTGTCGAACACCTCGGCGGCGTCGACGCGGCGGAGGCAGACGTTGGTGCCGCCCACCACGGCCATCCCCCATGGGAAGCTCCAGCCATTGGCGTGGAACATGGGGAGCGTCCACAGGTACGTCGGCCGCGGCGGCACCGCCCAGTCGACCAGCGAGTCGACGGTGATGAGGAAGATCCCCCGGTGGCAGTGCACCACCCCCTTGGGCGCCGACGTGGTGCCGGAGGTGTAGTTGAGGATCATCGGGTCCCACTCGCTCGCCGGCCGCACCCACGCGAACTCCGGGTCCCCCTTCTCGACGAGCCTCTCGTACGTCAGCGCGGCGGCGGGGGCGGGAGGGAACTCCTTCTCATGGGGATCCTCGACGAGGACGACGCGCGGGGCCGTGTGCCCCGCCGGGAGGAGGCGGAGCGCGTCGCGGAGGACGGGGAGCAGCGCCGGGTCGACGAAGATGAGCTTGGAGCCGGAGTGGCGGAGCAGGACGGACACCGTGCGCGCGTCGAGCCGCGTGTTGATGCTGTTCAGCACGGCGCCGCTCATCGGCACGGCGAAGTGCATCTCGTACATCGCCGGCACGTTCGGCAGGAGCACGGACACCTGACTCAATCCAGCTTAGCTTAGCAACACGAGGAAGGTGTTCGACGAAATGACCGTGGAAGGAAAAAGGATCGATGGATGCTCACGACGTCGCCGCGGGAGATGCCGAGGGAGGAGACGAGCGCGGAGGCGAGGCGGAGGCAGCGGCGGTGGGTCTGCGACCACGTGAAGACGGTGTCGTGGTAGACGACGGACGGGCAGTCGCCGAACACGGTGGCGGCGCGCTCCAGGAAGCCCAGCGGCGTGAGCGCGCACGAGTTGGCCGGGTTGGCGCCGAGCTTGTCCATGGCCGCCGCGTCGATCGCCGGAGCACGAGCTGTCGCCTGTGTGAACGCCGGTGACTCCAGCTATCGCGGGGTGGTTGGAGTGGAGGCGAGGAAAGAGCGAGTGAGGAGGCTGCGGTGATATAAAACCAGTTTGCTATTGACCAGATGACTTATTCTCCGAATCTCAGTCACCTTGATTCCTGCCCGTTGGATCGAGATCAACGGCTAAGGATAGGGCAACAGCGAGTGAAATTTACGCTGGTCAACTATGTCAAATAAGGAGGAATGGATTTAGTAGTAATATATGGAGTACAGTATATAGTACTAATTTCCAATTGCATTTATAAAGAAATCAGTGGTCTTCCATTTAAATAAAAAGAAATTTATCCATATAAATTGGCAGCAGCTTCGTTTGATGGGGACGGCCACGATCAGTTGCAGGCGCAATCTGGATACACGGAATGTATCCTTCCTTAGTCCCAGAAGTAGATAGAAAAAACAAACGTATCGATTATAACACATTAATAATGTGAATCTAAACTTACTACTACCTCCGTCTCAAAATAAGTGCAGCCGTAGAAATCCGTATCCAACGTTTAACCGTCCGTTTTATTTGAAAAATTTATGATTTTTTTTAAAAAATTTAGCCACACTTAAAAGTACTATTTATGTTTTATCATCTAATAACAATAAAAATAGTAATTATAAAAAAATTTTAAATAAAATGAACGGTTAAACGTTGGAGATGAATAGTATAAAACTGCACTTATTTTAATATGGAGGGAGTACTGTGTTAAACTCGATACTAAATTAGTGTTTTATAAGGCGAAGGAGATACCTCATCATATGCTAGTTCATGCCGCAGTAAAAAGAAAGATTGAAGATAATTCATTTTCTTCGATCCAGCATCCCAGCCAACCTCGGAGAACCCAGAGATGAGACAAGAGAACGAATCAAAATACTTTTCATCATATATGAACAGATGGCAGTAGTTGGCAGTAGCATGTTTTTTTTTACTACTCCCCCTTCAACCCCATAGATTTGCATCAAATGTGCATCACATGATCTAGGACCTCTGTCTTTCTGGCACTGTAGATTAACAAACGATACAGAAGATGGTACCTCCAAACTACTGATGTGCAGTATTAAACTTTTTTAAAACTGGTAAAAACAAGACTCCCGTTTCCATATACCCGGAACGTACAAAAGCTTGAAACTTTTCATTTAATTTGTTCTTGACTTATGGATATATGATACAGATCAGCAGCATGACAAATTAATACCTTACCATGATCTGGCGATGTGTATGTACGGTCCAAAAGATGAGTCACGAACCCACGATATCTATACGAGCCTTATTGGTTGACCTAATTAATCAAAGCAAAAGCTAAAAATTAAAATTTTAAACTTGATTTTGAAATTAAATTTAAGATATTTTTAACATAGTTTTGTTTTTTATTATTAGCTTTTAAATCGCTAAAAAAATATATAAAAATTTTATATAAAAATTAATTTTATTATTTAATAAATCAGTGTTTTATTAGGAAATATGAGCAACCGACGAGACTCTACCTATCTCCCATGCTACTCCACTATGACAACTCGTATGCATGTGTCGCTTTCAGAGTTCCGTGCAGGAGATGAACATACCAGTGTATTATCTTCAGAGAAAAGAAATACACCGGAGTATGTAGCACTGTTCTTCACCAATCCTTGGCTCCTTGCAGCTATCTAATCTGCTAGTTGCTACTGCATGTGTCTAATTTGGTCAGTCAATTGCAATGTGCAAACAGGCTAGTCAAGAATGTCTATCTCGTGCCCGGCGAAGAAAAGATTGTCTAGCTCGTCGATCGTTTTCATTGGTAGTTCTAGTCTAGCAATTGGTTTTTTTCCTGATAAAAAAATAGTGCCTTTTCTATGTAGGAGTATATGTCTGACTCATCTTATTTTATTTCAGATTATTGGCTGGACAGTCATCTTCATCAGTTATACTAGTAAAACATTCGTCCATACTCCATAGAAATTTCAGACCATCGTAGGTGTAAAATTTCTTCTGGTCTATTTGAACACATGCACCAGCCGCCTTTCAATTCTTACAATTCTGCGTACTCGCGAACGTGAAATTCAGACGACATCAATGGAATTTCCCTCTTGGCCTTCCGTTTTTTCTCTCTCTAGAAACTGTAAAGCTACCGTGGAGCGAAAAGATGGCTGGTGTGGGCATAATCTAGTCATAATCCACCCAAAGCAACGCTGATATATTTGACTGACCACTGCAAATTGCAGATTGGCTAGACCAACTGCAGCTGGTCATTCCTGCTCTGTCTCCGGGGCTTTGGAATCATCACCATGATGTAGTTTTCAGAGGAGAATCTCCTTCAGTTACAACAGCATGTTATAAGCCAACTATAAATATATTTTAAGAAAATAAATAAAAAGAGAGAAGGCCAGCGGGCCATATATTTATAGTCAGCTGTAGCACGGATTCCAAAACACAGTGTGTATATGACAGGTGGGACCAAGTATTAATAATACAATATATAACTATTGTATGAATGAGCTATTAGATTAGTTATAAATGAATTGGAGCTAGTAGTTGGCTATACTATTGAACCTGCTCTAAGAGCAAGTTTAATAGTATAGTCCACTACCAGCTCCAATTCATCTATAGTCAAATTTAATAGCCAATTCATATAACAGTTACTTACTATACTATTAATATATGGTCCCACCTATCATACATACATTTCATCTAGGAGTTCGTGCTGTAGCTGGCTACAGATCTGTAGCCCGCCGCTTTTCTCTCTTATCTTTTATCTCACTAAAATATGTTTATAGCTGACTAATAGTCTGCTATTATACATGCTCTAAATCGTTTAGCATCCAAGTGTATAGAGGATGTTGCTCTCTGGGCATAAAGATTGAACTGTGCCGACAGGATCGTAGCAGAATCCTAGAAACAAATTCTATCTTCTCCTCTTCGTTCAAATGTATATTCTCTCAATCTCAAAAAAAGACAAACTATAAGAGACAAATCTGGACAAGGAGAGGCATCCTCTCCTCTGTTATTTTTTTTTGAGACGGAGGGAGTATGACTTAATATATTATATCTCTCTTTAAATGAAAATTTAGGTGGGGTAGCTCTCCCTCTGGTGACCAGTCAAAAAAAAACTGAAACTGTTCATCTCCTTAAATATCTTCTAGAAGCGAAAGAAATTGCAAAGAAAAACACTGTCGTTGGCAGCTGAATTCCATCTTGAACCAGTTAAACACAAAACTGAAAAAAAAAACATTATATCGAAAAGACAACCAGTGTGGAATAATCTGTCATATTCCACCCAAAGCAATGCAGAGAGTCATTGGCAAACTGCAGATTTTCTTTTTGATGAAAAGACAAGGTACAGATTTGTTTGACTAATTACAACAATTTATTCTCTATTCTTGTAGAAGATAAAGAGCTTTGCAAGAAAATAAGAATTAGAAAAGGAAGTCGTTGGCAGTTGAATTTCATCTCAAACTAGCACCCTGTTTAGATGGGACTAAAACTTAAAACTTAATCTCTATCACATCGAATGTTTGGACACTAATTATATATATTAAACGTAGACTATTAATAAAACCCATCCATAATTCTGAACTAATTTGCGAGACGAATCTATTGAGCCTAATTAATCCATAATTAGGATGCTACAGTAAACATTCTCTAATTATAGATTAATTATGCTTAAAAAATTTATCTCGTAAATTAGCTTTCATTTATGTAATTAGTTTTGGAAGTAGTATATATTTAATACTCTAAATTAGTATCTAAATATAAGTACTAAAGTTAAGTCACTGGATCCAAACACCACCTAAGCACAATAGCAAAAACATCATGTCACAGTTTTCTGCTTAATTTGAACATATAAAACACACAGGCGTGCACAGCGGAAAGAATGGAGAAATCACGAAAGCTAAAAGAAAAGCTGAGAGATCTCCTATGCCATTCCAAGTACAGAAGAAACAGTGCATGTCCACATCTCAAAGCAGTCGTGGTCAGAGGTGACATCACAGACTCGTTGCTTCGAGATTGCACACCACCTGTTTGCTGAAAAGCAGCAGCCAACCACACACCAAAACTAAAATGGAAAAAAGGAAAGGCAGAAATCAGTCGTCGTCGTCGTGCCATTCTCAGGCCGTCTTGTACTCGACGACGGCGATCTTGGCGGCGGGGCCGCCCTGGATGTAGACGATGGTGAGCTGCGCGCCGGCGTCGAGCCGTGTCATCCACGACGGGAACTCGTACATGTCCTTGGCGTTCGTGCGGGAGACGCCGTAGATCTCCCCGGAGAGCTCCTTGATCTGCAGCTTCAGGTAGGTGATGGCGTGGCCGCACGTGTTCTTCGCCGTCACCACGTGCCGGTAGTAGTCCACGCCGTTTGCCTTCCACGTGTTCGTCACCGTGTGCACGAACTCCAACGGCGACCCACCTGACAAAGAAACGCACGATCACTTGGAGGAGATCTCAATGGTACAAGTTCGATTGCATTGTTGATTTGGTTAATTAATTACCATTTGATGGCGAGGGGGCATTTGGCGCCGGCGTGTACTCCGGCGTGTTATCGGCGGGCGAGGCGGCGAGGCGGGCGAAGACGCCGGACATGGGGGCGTTGCCGGCGAGGGTGGGCTCGGCGTGCTGGTAGTTGCAGCGGTCGTCGTCGTAGGCGTCGTTGGCGTCGGGGCCGCCGACGAGGGCGCCGTGGAGGACGTTGGGGTCGGCGTTCTTGCTGTTGTAGTACTTGTCGAAGCTTTCCATGCACCCGACGGTGGCGTTCATGGCGTAGATGGACGGGATGGACGCGCCGCGGTGGTGGACGTGCGTCGGGTAGTAGCTGCCGTATCCGACCATGTAGCTCATCCCCTTGGGGTTCTTGCCGAGGACGTAGTCGACCTGCGACCTCGCGAACCGGAGGATCTCCGCCGGCTTCACCTCGCCGTCCGGGCACCTGAGCGTTCCCCGCGACTCGGCGAGGTAGTCGGCGTAGACGGTGAGGAGGAACGCCGACGAGCTCACGTACTGCATGTTGCTCCAGTCGCTCACGTACATGAGACCACCTGGATAACCAATCCAATCCACACAATTCAGAACAATCACATTGCAAAATCTATTACCAATTCTTCGAGGAAGTGGATTTTTGTCCCTCGGGAGGACATCCCCTCGTTTTATACATCTCACTCAAAATTTTATCAATTTTTTTTTAAAAAAAAATTGTCAAGATAGATTAATATATGACATCTTTCGTAAACATGCGAGTTAAAATTCAACTTATACAATTCAAAACAAAAATAACAAATTTAACCTTAAATTACACGTTCTATTCATTGTCAAATTTATTATTTTTGTTTTTATTTGTATTAATTGAATTTGAATTTGTATATTTATTAAGAGTGATCTATCCTACTAATTTTTTTTATGATCATGCAAAAATGAGGAGATGTTTTCTTAAGGATGATTTGAGTTTTCCATCCTTGGAAGAAGAAGAAGCTAGCAAGGATGGGATGGATTACCAGGGGTCATCTTGACGTTGTGGCCGTTGTTCTTCTGGAGGCAGGCGCAGAGGAAGAACTCGGCCTTGGCCTGATACTGCTTCAGCGTGTCGGCGTAGCCGGCGGCGCTGCCGCCCTGCTCGAAGAGGACCTTGGAGAGGAGGACCTGGAGGCCGGCGTACTTGTTGTCCCAGGAGAACTCGGTGACGGCCCAGCCGGTGCCGCCGAACGCCTCCGCGTTCTGGGACACGTAGCGGAGGTACTGCTCGTCGCCGGTCGCCTCGTACAGCCACGCCGCCGCCCACAGCAGCTCGTCCTGGTAGCCGGACGCCGACGGGTAGAACTTCTTGGCGCTCTGCAGCGAGTCGTCGTACTTGCCCCTGAACGTGTCCGCGAACGTGAACAGCTGCCCCCCCAAAAAAAAGAGAAAATAACTCATCAGAATGTTGCTGCTGCATTTGCTGATTGCTCTCATACGCTGGCTGCGTTCGACAGCCCCTCCTCCCGTCCCGCAAAACAAAGCTTATATTATTATAAAATTAATTAACTATTAATTATTTTTTTAAAAAAAATGGATTAATATGATTTTTTAAAATAACTTTAATATATATTTTTTTAAGATTAAATTGCACTTTGGTCCCTCTTTTATTTCCCAAGTTTCAATTTGGACCACCCTTAAAGCTATCTTTTTAATTTAGACTGGGTAAATTTACCACTGTTACGGTTTGTACTATCATAAACAACTTTTCTCATCATGTATAACTTCCCTTTCGGCAAACATATGAACCATATATAGAGGAGTTCGGCCGCATACTAGAGTTGATGTGTTTAAGCTCGTTGGTTGTACTGAAAAAAAATCGTTCGTGGTAATCCAAATTACAACAATAGTAAATTTATTCGGTCCAAAGTAAAAATATATGTTTAAAGGTGGTCTAAAGTGAAACTTAGGTAATAAGATGTGGCCCAAAACGTAATTCACTTTTTTTTTATAAATCATACCGTTTAATAGTTTGAAAAGCATGCGTGCGAAAAACGAGGAAGGTGGGTTGGAAAAATGGACGAAGATCACAGCCACATGTGTCTCTGTACCTGCTTGGAGTGGAGGAGGAGGAGGTCGGAGTACATGCGGTCGTAGGGCTTGAAGGCCTTGGCGGCGGCGGCGAGAGCGGCGGCGGTCTCGCCGGCGACCTCCGACCCGGGGTTGTTGATGTCGATCTTGAACGCCGTGCGCGGCGTCGACATGTCCTCGGCGCGCTCCCAGCACAGGTGGTCGCTGTCGCCGTCACCCACCTAATCAAAGAATCCAGAAAATTTTTCTTGAGGGCACTAGTGGGCCGTGTTGGGCTCTTGGTGAGATGGGCCTTGAGTGCGTGCGTACCTGGACCCAGAGGGCGTTGTGCTGGGTGTGGGCCTTGACGAAGTAGTTGGTGCCCCAGCGGATGGCGTCGAGGACGCGGTGGAGCTTGTTGCCGTCGACCATCTCCTTCTCGAACTCGACCACCCCCCACGACAGCATCGTCACCGCGTACGCCATCGGGAGCCCGAACTTCACGTGGTCGCCGGAGTCGTAGTACCCGCCCACCAAATCCACCTGCAAATTCATCCATCCTTCGATTCAATTCGCGCCGCATTACTCAACCCGATCGAGCATTTACCCGGCCTTGCCTTTTACATCCAACTGGATATACACGGCCATTGCAATAGAGAACTTTGTCCCGTGGACAACACAATCTAAAATTTACTTCTATAAAGATTTAAACTCAGGACTTTAAAGTACTACTCTAACGACTGTAACCACTATCGAGCATTTGGTTGATTGAACCGGAGGCGGCGGAGATGTATGTATTACCCCCTGGGAGAAGCCGTCGGTGAGGGCGGAGTCGCCGCGCCACCGGACGAGGCGGTCGTCGGGGAGCTTGCCGGAGCGCTGCGCCTCGAAGAACAGGAGGCACTTGTCGAACGCGCCGGCGTAGTCGAACGCCGACGCCTCCACCGACGCGGCCGCCGCGAGGAGGAGAACCAGCGACGCCGCCGCCGGTATCAGCAGGAAGGTGGTTGCCGGCGTCTTGTTCATCGTCGCCGCCATTGCTCGACCTCGGTAGTGGAATACTGGATTGAGGGAGAGGCCCGCACGGCGGAGGAGTTTTATAAGGTCGCCATGATCGACGACGTGGAGGACGGTGGCGCGCGGCCGTGGCATCGTGGGCGCACGCGATGTGCCTCGCACGTAGCGAGGAGGAGAGATACGACGACGACGACGACGAGGTGAGCTTTTGGCGGGGTTTGAGCCATGCACGTCGTGGAGCCGAAACTGCAGAAATGGTTGCAACTCAAGCGTGTAATAGTTTAATTGGTAATATAATAATAGTTGAAGATTAGTTTTTTTTTTAAGGTAATGGAGTTGAAGATTGGATGCTTGTAGTTTTAAGGGAAGATTAGAAAAAAAATGAAAGGCTGGGTGCCTGGGTCTGATGATCATTGTCTTTTTTTTTTTTTGAGAATTTGATGATCATTGTGTCAACTACCAATTGTGTCGGCTTGGATCGACATGAAGTCCACTCCAGTTACACTGCGTGATCTTGTGTTGCAAATGATTTTCCAATCAATTTTATCACGTTTGTGCCATTGATCTGGATATTTGTGGAAGGTCAACCCAGATATTATGCATATATATTCAAGGTGAGCTGAGCCAAACATCTCTGTACCTTCCTGCTGTTCAAGAGCTTTCACAGCACCATCTGCACTCGATCTCCAGTGCATCAGAACCGAAGTACCTTCCTTGCTCTCCTGTGAATCCTGCTGTATGAGTTTCGGTTTCCTTTATCTCCTGAGACAGGCAGAACTCCGTGCATGTTCTTAGGAAAATGTGTCATTTTCAAAAAAGAAAAAGAAAAATGTTGTGTCCTATAGCCAACTGTTGGCTTGAAATCATCTATAATCAACTTAATAGCCAACTCATACAATAGTTACCTATAAATATATACTACATAATTAATATTTGGTCTCATCTATCATACACACATACACCTTGAAGTCTGTGCTGCAACTGGTTATAAATCTGTAGCCCCGCTGTCATTCTCTCTCTTTTTTTATTTTTTCGAAATGTGTTTATAGCTGGCTTATAGCCTGCTATTGCACCTGCTCTAAGCAGACCAAATGCACAACTGCACACTGGTTTTATTCAGTGTAACTGCACATCGACTCCGCCATGGCACGGCATCGATCTACCATGCCGGCCAGGCCGATTTACTGAATTCATCAGCAGCCAAGAATAAAATTATCGATCACTTCTTTTGGTTGTTGCCACCAGGAGTGATCAGCCGACGACTAGATGTGCCAGCTTTCAGCTCTCGAGCGAAGTGGCAATGGTGTCGGAGCTACGCGGCTCTGGATTTCCGGCGAAGGAGACGGCGCGGCTGACGTAGAGCCGCACCACCCTGGCCGCGAGATTCGAATCCAACGGTGTATGTACGACTACGAGCCATCAGGATAGCGATCTACGGACAGTTTCCACTCGGCCGCGGTGATCCTGAGTTCCTGACCGCTTGATTCGGATCCGACGGTTTCCGTACAGGCCCGTACGGTCGCTAACGATGCGCAGCGTCGCAGCGATCCATGTCGAGCAAGGACTCTAAAGAAAATACTAACAACAAACTGAGGGCTCTTTTGCAAAAGTCACCCTGTGCTTACGCGATCGCAGCCATGAGGTTTTGATCCAACGGTGTCAGTTAATGCCACTCCTCCTCTCTCTTCTTCTTCTTCCCCCGGCGATCTCTCCGTCCCAGCCGCCGCGGCGTCGCTCCGGCAGGCGCATCCGCCGGAATGGGACGGCCTCGTCGTTATCTCCGGTAAACTCGCCTCTCAGAGCCTCCGATCCCCTCACCTCCTCCGCAGCGGGGCCGTCCCAACACGCTCATCGGCCGGAATGGTGAGGCCTCATCGTCGTCGTCTCCGATAAACTCGCCACCCAACACCGCCCTCGCCTCCGCTCTCACCGTCATCAACTGCGGCCCGGCGCCCCAGATCCAGCATGCGCGTCCTCAGAACGACGAAGCGTTGTCGTTTCCTCCAGTCAATCCAACTCGCCTGCTCACCTCTGTCGCAGTGTAATCCTTGTAACGTATGCATCTTTCACTGGTCATGGACTACACCCCCTCCCACCAAAAAAAAAAAAAAAACTTCAAACTATATATTTAGATATAGACTATGTTCAAATACAGAATTAGAAGTTACTCTCTCCATCACATAATATAAGGCGTCCACATATTTTAAGATTCCACCTTCAAAACATTTTGACCATCATTTAGTACAATATAAATTGAATTTTACTTGCTAAAAATTATATCATTGGATTAATATTTGAATTTATTTTCATATGGTTATAATTTTGTTACTACAACCTTATTATATATATGAGAAATTATAAAACAAAGATTAGTTTTGGAGACTAATATAGGATAGAGGGAGTAGTTTCTTGAAGAAAAGAATGGAGGAAGTAGTTGTTAGTCAGATGGCGTCAATTTGAGCCTTGTGTTTAGTGGTCCTGCATATGATTGAGCAAACATACTTCAAGGTGGTGGTTTTCTTTTTGATAAAGTTTAAGAAGATGGTGGGTGATGTGTTCTTTGATAAAGAAGTTTAAGAAGATGTTCTTCTTAACGAAAACAAAGTCTACTTGGGAGCAAAAAAAAGATGATAATGCTATTGAGTATTGGCAACTCTTTCAAACTAGACAAAGATGGTGATTCTATTGACGATGCTTCCAAACTACAATGATTCCATTGCAACTTGAACAACCGGAAATTTAATTAGTTGTTGAGTGATTTTACTCTTTAGCAGGTACAGTGAGGTATCCTTTTTTTATTAAGAAACTTGGTATACCTCTTCTCTTAATACCTCGGCTATTAAGAGATACCAAAATCTACATTAAAAAATTGATCTCTCTAGGTATCCACAATACCTCGGCTATTAAGAGAAACCAAAATAAAAAAAAAATGATCTCTCTAGGTATCCACAAAGACAGTAAAATTTCTCTTGTTCTACATATGGGATATATTCAACTGTCCTACATTCCGACATTCCTCCTGGTGGCAAAAAAAATTGCCTCGCGAAAATAACATTGAGAACATTCAAACGAGCCCATCCTAGCTACAGAACTCTTCTACTATCTGGCATATAAAAACCGCCTGGAGGATCGATCTGCATGGACAAAAATTCCCATTTCAAGCAAGCAACAGCATACACTACAGGCCTTGAACCCATCTGCAGGTACCCAGAAGCAACGCTCTAAGTCTTAAAGGATTTACTTAAAGGGGCAAGCATCTGAAGTCGAAAACCCACGGGCCGAGTCGCTCTTTCAAAAAACCAAAAAAAAAAACCCTTCGGGTGTTCTGCTACCAGTCTACTACTAGAAAGAGCTAAAGCTCATCAACTTCCAGCCTTGGTATGATGGTACCGCGCTAGAGCATAGTCTGAAACTCTGAATGTTGGGACTATGGAGGTGCTTCTGGTTCTAGGACCCATACAGTACAGGTAATGGAGAGAACATGATGTATTTCGATGCCGTGGAGATCATGCAACCATTCAGTTAGACCGAGATAGGAAGAATTCATAGTCTGGATGACGGTTGATAGACTTCTCCCCGTTGGCCTTGGGTATCACCATGCTTGACATAACTGATGCACCATGTCTTAAAGTCTTCAGCCTCTGTTTCAGGACTTCAGCACGATCAGTTTTGGGGCCAACGTCTAATGACATTGGCTTGATCTCTGGGTTTCTCAGTTGAAACCATTGCTCTCCCTGTAAACAAAAAATATAAATAAGGATGAGTTCAGCATTAAAATATCTATGAAAATACTACCAGCAAGAAAACTAAAAGGTTTTTCTAGTACACAAAGGTTTCCGCCATCTGGTATAATAACAGAAAACTTTATATTCCTTTACTAATACAATGATTTTCCATAGTGGATTGTCCACCTATGCACAATCAACTTGGTCACAGACAGATGGGATGAAGATGACGTTTGTCCAACACCATATCTTACTGTCTTAAATTAAGCTTAAAAGGGGAAGTGCACTAGAGATATAAGCAAGCCACCTATGGGAGGTCACAACTTGATTAGTCAAATAAGAAAAAAAAACAAGAATTAAAGTTTACTCATAAAGCTTTTGTTAGATGAAGATGAGGTTTTACATTGAACTTTTAGTACCGTGCTGAATGTGATTAGTAATAATAATAAATTGTGGCTACAAACCTATACTATCCGTACCGATACAAAAAATGATTATTGTAGAGATGAAATATTACCTTGTCATTGTAACTCCAGAAACCAACAACTGGACAAACCAAATGAGTAGGTTCATCAGCCTTGTCTGGAGAGTGAATTTGGGGAACTACTTTGCCCAGGGAGTGGTAAGTCAGGAATGCAGCACGGCAGTTTCCTTGAGGAATTCGGCAAATAGGATACCACGCAACACAAAACCTGGAAATGGAGTCCGGTAATATCATTAGCAAGAGTTAAAAAATAATCAGCACTAATAAGGGAACAAATGGTATATAAATTCAAAATTCAGTGGATAGAAATATCCAATATTAGAACATACCAGGAAGCAGGATGAAGATCGCGCAATTTAAGATTTTCCAACATCTTGGGATCCCCAAATATTTGGCAAGTAGAGAGATTTTCACCACTGGTAAGCTGTTTGATCCTATAAAATATTGTAATGCATAGGAAAAGGAAACGTTTTAAAACAAAATTGCAACGTCCTCATTTTATTTCAGCAGTTATATGCATAAGGAGATAAAAATAAAATGTATCAAGTATCATCAAGAAAAAACATGTGACAGCCCATTAATGACTGGTAAGCATCTAAAAAGTCAAGAAGAAGAACAATGCTTCCTGGCTAAGCTCTTTATGATTTTAAAAGTCAAGAAGAACAACAACAATTCCTGGCTAAGCTCTTTATGAATGATTTCTGATTTATTTTATTTCATCTCTTCACAACTTTGTTTGTTTCGGTCTTTTTTTTTTAAGTCAAGTGTAGATGATTACTACAGTCTGTAGATACATAACATCAACAATAGAAGGCTTACTTCTCAAAAAGTGGAGGACGTGAAGAAGGATGCTCTGATTCAAAATATTCAAACAGGGGTTCCCCATGGTCTTGTACAGATAAAGATGGTTTTGGTAAATACACACCATTTGGTTGGGATAATAAGAAATCATCATCACTGTCAAACTTATGGTCCAAGTTATTCTTGCACTGTTCAAACAATTGAATAGCAGATAGAGAAGGTAAAAAGTAAGCACAGAACTCTGAGACACCACAAGCTGATCTCGTAGAGTTGAGACTTCTATGGATTTCTACTTCCAATCCATAGGATCCAGGTTCCTCATACCATTCCCACACATTTCTCAAGGAGACATCCGATATCTGATATTGATATGGTGAGCTGCCAGCTTGCGGGTCCTGCAAACAGTTGCCATTCCTCATGCAAGATGTCTTAGCAATGACTGGACTTGCAGAATATATAAAAGTCTCAAAATCAGCAAGGGGGTGACCAGAAATCAGATGAACATCTGATGCACCTTGCACTTTGCAGGCATCATTTGCAGCCTTGATCATCTCACCTAATTGCAATTTAGAACTAACAGATCTTTGCTGGTTCGTGTTACAGCGCCCTTCAAAAGCTGATACACCATGATAGCCAACCTCCAAACCACTTTCAGTAGGCCTGGAAGTTTTCCAGTAATCTGTGGTGCATCCAGGGAACTGAGAACCTGAATCTTGGGATTGTAGATGGTGACCTTCCATGCCATGAGATCTGCTCATTACAGCATTATCTACTTTCTTCTGTTCTTCGGAATCAACAGAAGAAACATGATTCAAAACATCAAGAGAACCTGTGCCAACAACATTTTCTTCTCGAAGCAAAATCTGCAGCCCTCCTTTCTGCACAGGACCTATTGGTGTACAAATTTCCTCAGATATCTCTCGGACCGTCACATCAGAAGCTGAACTCGATGCTATCTGACCAACACCTGTTTCTGTTGAGTGTGTAATTCCAGGAAGCATTTTCGCTGTACAGGCACTCTTCTCTTCAATAAAACCACAGTTTGCCACTTCACTCAAACAAGAGTACTTATGTGGTTTCCCCCTACGGTTTTGTTTTGGATCCTGGAGGTGATTCATATTTGCTCCTATCATGTAATCATTTAGTGTAACTTCATGTGGAGTCCATGTGCGAACTTTAATTGGGTGAATGAAATCCTTAGTGGAATCTTTTGATGCAACTTGTGTGCAAGAATTACTTGGTCTAGAAGAAATTTTGGATTGTTTTCCACTTTGACCATGCTCAACACCACAAATATGTTCCACATTACAACCCCCCAAAGGTTGGACCTTTCTATTTTTCCGGGCTCTTTTTCTAGAAATTACTGGGAGGAAATCACCATCGCTACTAGCATTACTGCATGATTGCATTTCTTGTGTACCACTGCTAGCATCAGCACTGTTTCTGAAACAGGAGAATTTATCATGATTTGCTTTGTTTAGCCAACCTTCACTGCCACCACATTTAGAACCCCTGAGATCTGTCACTTTTGACTGAACACACGGAGGGCACTCATTTTTGTCAATCAACAAGTTCTCGGTATCATCACTGAAGTTCCAACTGCTATCTGTGTAATGGCCATCCAAAGAGGAATCAGTAAGAGTGGAAGTGGAGGCACTGTCCAAACATCTGGAGTTATTGCTGTTAGATTGCTCACAGCATTCAAAATAAGAAGCATGCCTAGACAATTCTATCTCATCACTACAAGATGTACTTGATATCAGAGTTATGAAAGAACCATCGTTACCAGTTTCACTATCAGGTCTCTCCGCAGAAACTTCTCTCACTGAAGAATCAGAAGACAAATCCCCAAACAATTTGTCAGCCACATGGTTTGGAGGCAGTGTCAAAGTTTCACCTCCATCAGCCATAGAAGGAAAAGTCTCCTTTCTACACCGCATTTCAGATCCAGCATGAGCCACATGGTTGGATGAAAGTGTCAAGGATTCACCACCAGCAACATCGATGCAATGAGAAGCACCCTTGCTCTGCATAGACTGTGTGTCAGATGCCTCAGATACTTTTTTGCCATGCACTCTTTTGTGCCTCTTGTTTTTCTTTTTGCTTTTCTTTCGTGAAGTTCGCTTCACGTCCACACTCGCGTTGCTGAAGGTGTTGACTGAGAAATCATTATCAGGGGCTTTGTCTGATTGTTGGGAGTCCTCTAGCAACGCCCTTGATGAAGTTAAACATCTTGCCAAATCCTCTGGATCATTGAAGTGAAAAAGTAACAATGATGGTGATGCGGATGTCTCAAGTTCATCTCCATTTTCCACGAGATGGGATGATAAAGACAATGTGAAGAATAAACGACCACCATTGGCTCTGAAAATAACAAACCAGGCAAGAAAGTTAATGCAGTTCTTCAACTAACATGCTGAACAAAGAGTAATAATAACAGCTAATAATAGTGACATGAAATCAATACTGATCAATTATTAAAACCACTAGAAAATGTTCAGTATACTGGAGATAATACAAAACAATGATTTATCAAAGCACATTGATTTTAGAGCACATCAGCGTACCTCTTCCTCTGTTCTTCCTGCCTGTATTCAAGCGCAGCTACTTGACGTTCCTGCAAAATAACAAAACAGAAAAAAAAAGGATAAATAAATTCTCCAAAAAAAATGCACGCTACACCATATCTCTCTTTCCAAGTTAGTACTTACAAACTGGATGTTATGAGGGTTCTTCTTTTCTGTTGAACGCCTAGGCACTATGTGACGATGCTTCCTGTTTGCAATTCTATCAACATCTCCAGAGGTGCTTGCAGGTTGCCGCAGCATATCGTGCTACATTGAGGGGAAACTAATCAAGTAGATGAAAAAGAATGTTTCAAAGACAATTTTTTGCAGTTCGGGCCAAACAACCATGTCATGAACACACTACTCACTGTATTTTTACTTGCAATTTGGACAATGTTTGGCTTTACTTTCTTTAATTATATCTTTACAACAATACTAAACATATAACAAGGTCAAAGTCGAAGTACTTTTGATTAGAAATAAGCTAATCTAAAAATGGTATGAAGCTATTTAAGAAATATATATTTCTGAAAAGAGCATAGAAGACGACAAAAAAATATATTCCGTCCGTTTTCGAATAACTGATACCGTTGATTCTCTCATTCAAATTTATTAGCGGAAACGCAAAAGCTTTGCACGTGAATATATCAGAAGAAACAAATTTCAGTTACACAATGTGCCTACACGGCGGTGGCGCGAAGATTCTCTCGTTCAAATTTGACCGACAATAATTTCAGCCGCTTTGTTTTGTGAAAGAAAAAACACATTGTAAGATTCATTTCGCGCCATACATTTATAGTAGTGCCGAGATCTAAGTATTTGTATATGTATTGATGAAAACACAGTGGTCAAAGGGTCTACAGATTGGTCAGCATTATCTTTTTCACCCGGGCCAGCCTAAGTTTAATTCAGATTGAAGGGGAGAACATACATAGAAATCGACAATACTATCAATTGATAGTGACGTTTCCAATTAGTCAACACTATCAATTACTTATTTACAGTCAGGTAGTGGTGAAGATGCTCCATATTGATCACAGCCACAGATAAACAAATGATAAATAATAGCCTATCCTAGCACTCTACTTGTTGCTGCATCTAAACTCTCCAAAAGAAATCCCAATAGACAGCTAAGCTAACAACAGAAACAGTATGCTTATGAGTTTTTCTCCATTAAACAAAAGGGGGAAAAGCTCTAGGGTGAGCAGCACGATCGACTAAACTAACGAGCTCCACCGAACTCTCATCACTGCCTGAGGCTTAGTGCTCAGATCAGGAAACACGACAAGAATATGCTGGCATAGCGCATCCGATGATCCGATCGACCTACCAAAATCCCCAAAACAGCACACATCTATCTCATCACACCAAGGGTAAAAAAATCCTCAAAGGGCGTAGGGGGGGAGGCCAACCGCTTCCCCTGCAGATGATGTTCCGATCGATCGAGCCGAGATCACCCCGCCTAATCACACCGCCCACAAGAACCCCCCTCGAAATCGGATAAAATCAAAACAACCACCGGAGACGGAGCAGATAGACGCACCTACGCTCGCGGCTCCGCCGAAGAAAAAGGATTGGAAACCCCAAACAAAAAACTAAAAAAAATTCCCCCAAATAGAGACGAGTTATCCGCTCCAATGCGCTTCACATGCGATCCCCACCCTCACGGCGCCGGCCCGCGTCGAGCCGGGACGCGGCGGGGCGAGATCGACGCGGAGAATTCTGGGGGTTTTTGTTCGCCCGCGAGGCAGCAAGGCTGGGTTGGCTGGCTGCAGCAGCGGAGCGGAGGGAGGCGGACGGGCGGGTGGGTGGTGGAGAGTGGTAGGGTGGAGGTGGAAGAGGAGGAGGAGGAGGGGGAGAATGTGGAGGACCAGATGAGCCCGTTAAATAGCCCCCGGAGAAAATGATGGGATTTCTTCGGAGAAAAAAATTATATATATGAGCTCATACGAGGCACGTTTTTTTCTGATTTGCCCTTCGCCTTTGATCTCTCTTTTCTTCTCTCCGTCGTTGGGTTTTGGTGGTTAGGTGCCAGTCCGAGGATTGGCAGAGGCTGAAAGCGTCATTTTGCTTCCAAATGTGACACTGTTGGGTGTCAAGCATGAACCATGAGACGACGAGTTGGTGTCCTGCACTCAAGCTTGTTGAGCCTTTGAGGTTTGGTGGTGATAATGGTGTGGCTCCTCTTCATCGACAGATGTCTTTTTATGGCGATTCTGTTGGGTTGCATTTGTCTCAATGTACCTTTGCCTTTTTTATATAAGATGGTAGTAATACACTACACTCTATCTTCCTGTGTCCTACACTCTCTCTTATACTCCCCTTCGCCTTCCCCTTTTCCTTGGCTCCGATGAGTCGTTTCTATCTCCGACTATTGATAACGGCGGTACCGTGGCATATACTTCATCGTGATCATTGTCTTTTTTTTTTCATCACCCCCTTCTTTCAGGACCCGTTCTTCTTGTCATGATATTGCTGACCTTGCTCGTTCTGGGCCTCCGCTACCATTGCATCTCTTTAGACCGATCTCCGTAGCCTGCTTGTCCTCCTTCATCACGCGCCATTCCTATCCTAACCGCATTTTAAAACTAATTAGCATGATTATATCATCGGTGGTACAAAATAATTTTACTCGATGAAGGTTGCTCGGGTGGTCTATTCAGTTTGGAATAAGGTGAGGTACGGATTAGAAGTACGGATGATGAATATATAGATGTGGTACAAGTAGCCCAGCAAAGTTTTCGTTTTTTTATTAGTGGAACAGTCGATTCGTTTAGTGCTAAGAATACACGAAAGAATTTAGTTACTGTCATGACTTTCTTTTATAAATAGAGAATATTTATAACCGATAGAAAATATATTAATCTCTTATACAGCTGGCTAAAAAAGATCTAAGTTTTACTAAGCCTGTTAGCGAATTGATAATGTCTACAACTGCTCAAATCGATTACCAAATTATTGAATACCTTTTTAAAACAAAAAAAAAACTCCACCTCCCTAATCGTCCAAACAAGGTAGCATTCAATTAAGCAACCTCACATATGATGTACAAATCCGTTTTTTCCGGCTTTTCGCTAACGCGGTTGATTTAGAATTCACATCGCCCTTGCTTCTATACTTAACCATTTCCGTTCGTCCATTTTGTTAGATGCACAGGTTGCTGGCAACTACACCGCTGGCAACATCGAGAGCACTGTAAACAGATCAGGGGTTATGATTCCTGCCTCAAATTGAGAGAGGGTGATCATCAACACGACATATAATTTAGATCGGATTACCTGAACCAAGTCAATAATGAAACATGCTTCTCTCCGTTTCACAATGTAAGTCATTCTAGCATTTCTCACATTCATATTAATGTTAATGAATCTAGCTAGATACGGAGGAAGTATCTTTCTTTTAGGCGCATAATGCAGTTTATCTTGTTCTACCTACCCACACTTAAGACGGTGACGTTGTTTCCTTTGTCAAGGTAAGAGAGGTGATGCAACATGAGGAGAAAACGGTGGCCCCATTCTTTGATGAAATCCTCCCAACAACTTTGGTTCAGAGAGTTTTGTCATCAGCTACTACCCAGTTTCACTTACTGATGTGATCCTGACGTACAAAAGACACGGGCTGCAAATTTGAAAAGAACAGAGCGATTATTTTTTTTAAAAAAAACACGATGTAAACGTAAGCGCTCACAGCACAAGCATACTCATCCTATAAACAAACACGCACACTCTATTTTTACAAATACTTGATGTGTTGTCACAGGTTAAAATTGACGAAGTTATTGCGGACTTCTCATTATCATTTTAGTTTTGACAGGTTTGGTGGTAGCCACTGTTTGTCTGGAGCGACAGGTATGGAATGGTTGCTATCTTGTTTTTTTTTTTTTGATGGATATTGAAACGAGGCAATCCATATCGTTCGTTCGGTCCTCGCAAAACATGCAGCCACGCCTCATCGCCTGCAGTATCCATGCTGCTGCTGCTGTATCAGTGCCGCTGTTAGGTGCCAGTTCAGTTTCCTGATTTCCTCTCCAACTACAAGCACCAAATTGCAGCGTCTCTGGCCTCCTAATGACCTCGATATGGATCGATTGCACAAATCACAATCTGATTTGTTAATTGTCACTAGCTGTATGATTTGATATCTTCTTAAGAAAAAGTGCAAAGCTCCATGTTCAGATCACAGTAGTACAACTAGTACTAGCAGCAGGCAAAGGCAAAGTTGGTGGCTTTGCAGATGGCACGCGATCCGGCCTGGGAGAGCATGCAGGATTGCAGAGCAAAGCAAACGGCAGAAGCAGCCACATCACATCTACCTATGGGCTGTGTGGTGTGGTGTGCTACGTGTGCTAGTTGTGCGTGGCGCCCATGTCTGAGCCATCGTCTACTCCACTTGTGGCGATTCTATATCTGAACTCAGAAGACGGTCAGATTGCTCGCATCAGCGATCATTGGGCTTGAAAACGCCGCGACTCACGCGGTCACGCCGCGTCCGCGCGCCAACAACCAGCGGAGGCTGCATCTACTCGCGCCCAGGAAAACAACAATTATCACGAAGCTGTAACTTGTGACTTGTGGAATGGAATAAACGGACCCTGGAATGGAATATACTCCGCCTGACATCTCGTCTGTAAATCCGTGCAGTGAATATAAATTGATTTTGACCATAGTTACGGTTTTTGGAATAGTAAATGTCTTGGACATAAAAAATGGCGTAACCAGGTTTGTTACAATCAAAGCTTTCATAATAGTGTTAGTACTCTATCGTTCCACTTATTGACGGAATAAGTAAAGTAGTATTTTTACAAACAGAAAATAATTTATAAATAAAAATTTTATATACGTTTTTTTAGCGATATAAAAGCAAAGACTGGAAAAATAAACTACGATAAAAAAAACTCCACAATCAACTTCAAATTTAAGATTGAAAATTCACATTTTGGCTTATAAGGATAAGCATGGGTTAAAAGATGAGGCTGTTAGCCCTTGTGTAAGGCCTAGTTCTTTTTTCTCAACTCGAAACTTCAACTTACTTATTTTCTGTTAGCACGATTTTCAAACGGTTAAATAGTGTGTTTTTATAAAAAAGTTTTTTTAGAAGTTGTTTTTTTAAAAATCAAATTAATCCATTTTTAAATTTATAATAATTAATACTTAATTAATCATATGCTAATGAGTTTTATCGTTTTGCGTGCTCCTGAGTATCTTATATTTACGCAAAAGAGTGAAATGACCAAAGCTACGTTTTATTGACTTTAAAAAAAAATGCAAAACCACTTTTTTTCTACAAAAGAGAGTAGGAGCTAATCTTTTCATAAAAAAAACCAACCATTCATACGATAATTACTGAAATGGTTTTAAATAGGAAATAATCCACCAGCATTATTGACATAAATGGTTACTCCATACCTTATAAAATATAATAACTCTTAGAGTTTAAACTTTATTAGTAAAAGGTGATTTTCCCCACTAAATTATACTTACCATATTAACTCTTTGTTTTATTATATCTTCAACTAGTATAACTCTATAATTTCACCCACTCAAGGAAACTAAGTCTTTTTGGATCTATTCTTAATACTCGTGTTGAAAACTAAAGCTAACTATATATTGGAATAAAATGAGTATACAAGGACCAACTTAATTAAATTGAAAATAAACCATCAGCTGCTATTGCTACAACTCAGCTACATCTATCTCTTTGCATATAAAGGCTGGGTTTTAACTATTTTTTTAACAAAAAAATTGCTATGACCCGACTGCTTTGGCTACTGCTGCTGCTACGGCTGTCTGCCATAGGACTGTATCATTTCGCTTATTGGTGGAATAAGCGAAACAACGTATTTACAAACAGAAAATATTTTGTAAATAAAACTTTTATATATATGTGTTCTTAGTAATCTAAAAGCAAAGGTTGGAAAATAAACTACGATGAAAAAATCCCAAAATAAACTACAAATTTAAGGCTGGAAATTCAAATTTTGGCTTATAAACATAAGCATAAGCCAAAAGATAAGACTGATGGTCAGCAGTTAGGACAACTAATCGGAGTAATCACCCTACTCTTTAGTTCATCCGTGGTGTGAGAGCAAGTTTGATAGTATAGCCAACTACTATCTTCAAATCATCTATAGTTAGTTTAATATCAAATTCATATAATAGTTTCCTATAAACATATACTACATAAGTAATATTAGATCCCACATGTCATACACACATTACGTCTTGTAGTATGTGCCGTAACTGGCTACAAATCTGCAGCTCGCTGCTCTTATCTCTCATCATTTATCTTCTCAATATGTGTTTATAGCTAGCTTATAGTCTGTACCTGCTTTGGTTAGGCCTCTATGGCGAAAGGCTGAGTTTGTTTTCCCTCTTTCTCAACTTGTGCTTTCTTCTTTTTTCATGCACAAACTTTCTAAACAACAATAATCTATACTCGAATAGTAAACCTGCTTGAAAAAATATATATTATTATATTGTTCGAGGTTTTAGTTAATAATTAATTAATTATACTCTAACGAGCCACCCTATTTACGGAGGGATTAGTTATTATCAACATGGAGCTACGAACACAGCCTAAATGGGCTGCTCTGCCGCACCAGCCGGGCAGCCCCATATCGGCCCATATCTACGATGAATCGTGGGCCCAGTTAGCGCTCAACATTGGGCCGTTTCACTATTAAAGGCCCAACAGAGCAGCACCCAAATCAAAAAAATGTTATGGAAAGGAGGCACCAAACGTGGGCCCCACACGGCAGAGACAGCGGCAGGTGCCGGGAGTCCCTTCCGGCGTCCGGTTCGCGCAATCTTGAAGAGGAAGGAGAAGGCGAGCGAACGAGTCGACGACGAAGCCTCCGCGAAAAGGCGGAGGAGTCAAAATCTCCAACCAACGCCCGCAGCCGCAGCAGCAGCAGCGAGGGCGGAGGCAAAATTACGAGCGCTCACGCCCAAATCCGCGAATTCCCACCCCTTCTCCCTCGCCCAAAAAATCCTCGCCTACTCCCCTCCCAAACCCTAGCCTCCTCCTCCTCCCCTCCTCGCGCTTCCAATGGCACGGTAGCTTCGCTTCGATCGCCTCCTCGCCCATGGATCCCGGCGGGATGCTGCTCGAGGACTTCGGGCAGCGGGTGGACCTCACGCGGCGCATCCGCGAGGTGCTCGCCAACTACCCGGAGGGCACCACCGCGCTGCGGGAGCTCATCCAGAACGCCGACGACGCGGGGGCGTCCCGCGTCCGCCTCTGCCTCGACCGCCGCGCGCACGGCGCAGGCTCGCTGCTCGCGCCCGCCCTCGCGCAATGGCAGGGCCCGGCGTTGCTCGCCTACAACGACGCCGTCTTCACCGACGAGGACTTCGCCAGTATCTCCCGCATCGGGGACAGCAGGAAGGTGTCCCAGGTCTGGAAGACCGGCCGCTTCGGGTGCGCCCCCCTTCTCTCTCTCAAGCTTGTTCGAGCTGTAATTTGCAATGCTAAGCTTCATTGGTAGTAAAATCGGCGTGACGACCCGCTTATTTGTTCCTGATCAATGCTATTGTGTTCTGATGCCTTCCCCGTTATAATGTTTTAGGTATCCATGGTTTTGGGTAGTGAATATATCAATGTCGCTGCGACGTCCCGCTTATTTGTTGTTCTGATGCCATCCCAGTTATAATGTTTTAGGTATTAATGATGGGTTTGGTATAGAATATATCAATGTCGCCGTGGTGTCCCGCTTATTTAGTTCCTGATCTATGCTATTGTGTTCTGATGTCATCCCCGTTATAATGTTTTAGGTATTGATGGGTTTGGGTAGTGAATATATCAATGTCTAGGCTCCTAAGTTTATTTTGAACAAGCACCCTGGAATTGTCAGACATGCCACTAATGATTCAACAGATACTTACCTTTGTTCTTAACTGGTTATGTTTCACTGTTTAATGTTCACCCTGTAATAGCGCATGATTTTATTTATTTATTTAGTTTTGCTGTGAGCGATAACTCACGATTTCTGTTTCCGCAGGGTTGGTTTTAACTCGGTGTACCACTTGACTGACTTGCCATCATTTGTGAGTGGCAAGTACATTGTCCTGTTTGATCCCCAGGGTGCTTATCTTCCGAATGTGTCAGCTGCAAATCCTGGAAAACGTATAGATTTTGTCAGTTCTTCAGCAATTACACTATACAACGACCAGCTTTCACCCTATTGTGCATTTGGTTGTGACATGAAAGCACCATTTCAGGGAACTTTGTTTCGCTTTCCTTTAAGGACTGCTGAGCAAGCATCTCTTAGTCGGTTATCGAGACAAGTGTACACAGAAGATGATATCTTATCTCTGTTTGCTCAACTTTACGAAGAAGCTGTATATAATTTACTTTTCCTTAAAAATGTGCTGTCACTTGAAATGTATGTATGGGAATCTGGTATGAGTGAACCAAAGATAGTGTACTCTTGCTCCATAGGGTCACAGCATGACAATTTGCGCTGGCATCGACAAGCCCTTGTCAGGTTTTCTGGCACTGCTGCTGAGTCCTCTGAGAAAAAGATAGATTCCTTTTCAATGGATTTTGTATCAAAGTCATTTTTGGGTGAGAAGTTTGAGAAGAAGAGCTATACCTATTTTATTGTACAGGGAATGGCATCTGCATTAAGTAAAATTGGTATTTTTGCAACAACTGCTGCCAAGGATTATGATCTTCACCTACTACCTTGGGCTTCTGTTGCTGCTTGCATCTCCAACGTGGGACCTGAGGTAATATCTAGTTCGTTTTGCAGTTCTCTTTATTATGGCTATTATCACCAATTTTTTAGCAACAGTAGGGCGTTGCCTATTGTTATCTGATGCTGAATATTTTTAAAATAATCATTAACAATATGACCATGGTTATTGATGTGATTTTTTTTTCTGGTTGAACAAACTTTGTACACTGCATAACTTAATTGATTATAATACCTTTGACTTAAAAAATGTGTGTTTGATTTATGTTATCTAATGGACTTCATGCTATATCAGACGTTCTTCAGAACGTGGTGCATCATTTCAGTGTGTTTTTTACACCTTAGCATTTGCTGTGGTTACTCTATGGTAATTAGTAATCACTGAATTTGCAGGAAGTTATTCTCAGACAAGGCCGCGCATTCTGTTTTCTTCCTTTGCCAGTAAAGACAGGATTATCTGTGCATGTGAATGGTTACTTTGAAGTATCATCCAACCGACGTGACATTTGGTATGGAGCTGATATGGACAGGGGTGGTAAGCTTCGCTCTGACTGGAATATGTTATTGTTAGAAGATGTTGTTGCTCCTTTGTTCAGAGAACTGCTGCTACAGTTGCGTACAGTTTTGGACTCCAAAATATCATATTATTCCTTATGGCCAACTGGTTTGTACGAGGAGCCCTGGAGTATTCTCGTGGAACAAATCTGTAAATTTATTTACACCTCTCCAGTATTTCACTCGGAGATCAAAGGTGGGACTTGGATAACACCAGCTGAGAGTTTGCTTCATGACGAGGGATTTTCAAGAAGTGATGATCTCAGTGAGGCTCTTGTGATGTTAGGCATGCCTGTCGTTCGTCTACCAGGTGCGATTGCTGATATGTTTCCTAAGTTCCATTCGAAGTATATGCTCAAAATAGTAACTCCTGCTACAGTGCGACATTTCCTCAAGGATTTTGAAAATCTTGGTACATTAGAAAAATCTCAGAAGCTAATATTATTGGAATATTGCCTTGCTGATCTGGACAGTGGTAATATCGGCAAATGCATGAATGGCCTCCCATTGATTCCATTAGCAAATAAACAGTTTGGGATTTTTTCTGGTATTTCACAGGAGAATCAATATTATGTCTGTGATAGCATAGAGTATGAGCTTCTTTCTGCTGTTAGCGATAGAATAATTGACCGAAGCATTCCCCCTGTAATACTAGACAAGTTGTATCAGATAGCCAGTAGTTCTCAGGTTAACATTTCACTTATTGAAGGCCGAATATTTCTTCAGTTCTTTCCCTGGCTATTTCCTCCTGGATGGAAATGCCGAAACCAAGTTCCCTGGGATCCAGAATCGGGTGGATCATCTCCTACAGCAGCCTGGTTTAAACTTTTCTGGCAATACATTGGGGATTGTTCATATGACCTTGATTTGTTTAGTGATTGGCCTATATTACCTTCTACCTCAGGGCACCTTTATAGAGCATCTACAGTCTCAAAATTAATTAATACAGGCTCACTGTCTAATTTGATGAAGGAACTCCTGACCAAATTAGGTTGCAAGATACTAGACACAAAGTATTTGAGTACGTGCCAGCATTTGTCTAATTATGTGTATGATGGTGATGCATCTGGAGTACTCCATTCAATCTTTGGGGTTGCCTCATTGGAGGGTGTTGATTTGCAAGCTTTGTTTCAGCGCATCACTCCTGCTGAAAAAAATGAACTATATCAGTTTGTTCTTGATGCAAAATGGTACTTAGGACCCCACCTTTCTGATATGAGCATAAATCTATGCAAAAAGTTACCCATTTTTAGGGTATTTGATGGAGGGTCTCCCAGTTCTTATGGTTTCTCGGATTTATCCACTTCAAGAAAGTATCTGCCACCTCTTGGTGTTGCAGAGCAATTACTGAATGATGACTTTGTCTTCTGCATATCCCCAAGTGATGAAGATATAATAATGAGATATTATGGTATTGAGCGCATGCCAAAATCAAACTTCTACCAGAGGTACGTTCTGAATAGGTTAGATGAGTTGCAAACAGAGTTTCGTGATTCAGTTCTACTAACCATCTTGCAAGATCTGCCTCAGCTGTCCTTGGAAAATCCAAGGTTTAAGGAAGCCTTGAAGGTCCTTAGATTTGTTCCTACGACCAATGGGGTCTTGAAAAGTCCTCAATCTCTTTATGATCCTCGGGTGGAAGAGCTCTATGCTCTTCTCCAGGAATCAGATTGTTTTCCCCATGGCTTATTTCAAAACCCCGAAGTTCTTGATATGTTGCTCTGCTTGGGGCTAAGAACATCTGTATCTATTGATACCATAATACAAAGTGCTCGGCACATCGACTCACTCGTGCACAAAGATCACCACAAGGCCCATTCAAGGGGTAAAGTGCTCCTTTCATATCTCGAAGTTCATGCTCACAAATGGTATGTACATAAGCCATTTGATGGCCGTAAGAAGGTAAATATGCTAGCTAAAGTTACCACCGTGCTCAGATCTCGCGATACATCTTGGGAAGCTGATCTTGAAAAATTCTGGAGTGATTTGAGAATGATTTGTTGGTGTCCTGTGTTGGTTACTGCCCCAAGTCCAGCTTTGCCATGGCCTTCAGTATCATCAATGGTTGCTCCACCTAAGCAAGTAAGGATGCAGGACGACATGTGGATTGTTTCTGCTAGCTCACGCATACTTGATGGTGAATGCACTTCGTCAGCCTTGTCGTATAGCTTAGGTTGGTTGTCTCCTCCATCTGGAAGTGTAATTGCAGCTCAATTGCTTGAGCTGGGTAAAAACAATGAAATTGTGACTGATCAAGTACTCCGGCAAGAGTTAGCGTTGGTGATGCCTAAGATTTATTCGCTACTGAGTAATTTGATTGGATCTGATGAAATGGATATAGTGAAGGTGGTACTTGAAGGCTGTAGATGGATATGGGTGGGGGATGGATTTGCAAAAACTGATGAAGTAGTTTTAACTGGACACCTTCATCTGGCACCTTACATTCGCGTGATTCCAATTGATTTAGCAGTATTCAAGGACCTGTTCTTAGAGCTTGGCATAAAGGAGCAACTTGACCCTGTAGATTATGCTAGTATTTTGACCAGAATGGCCACAAGGAAAGCTTCGACTTCACTACAAGCTGAGGAACTTAGAACAGCTGTCTTGGTTGTGCAGCATCTAGCTGAGTTTCGGTTTCAGGACCACCAAACACAAATATATCTTCCTGATTCTTCAGCTAGGCTCTGTCTGTCTTCTGAACTTGTATTTAATGATGCCCCTTGGCTTCTTGATTTTGATGAGGACATCACTGGGAATGCACCAAGCATTGCTTTCAATTCGAAGAAGTATGTTCACAATTTTGTCCATGGCAACATTTCTAATGATGTGGCGGAAAGGCTAGGTGTCCGCTCTCTCCGCCGTCTCTTGCTTGCTGAGAGTTCGGACTCAATGAATTTGAGTTTGTCAGGGGTTGCTGAGGCTTTTGGACAGCATGAAGATTTGACTACACGACTTAAGCACATCGTTGAGATGTATGCAGATGGACCAGGGATTCTGTTTGAGTTGGTACAGAATGCAGAAGATGCTAAGGCTTCTGAGGTTGTGTTTTTACTGGATAAGACCCATTATGGTACTTCATCTATTCTATCACCTGAAATGGCTGAATGGCAGGGGCCTGCTCTCTACTGCTTCAATGACTCAATTTTTAGTCCCCAGGATCTTTATGCCATCTCACGAATTGGTCAAGACAGCAAACTTGAGAAACCTTTTGCAATAGGCAGGTTTGGTCTTGGCTTCAATTGTGTATATCACTTCACAGACATTCCTGGGTTTGTTTCTGGTGAGAATATTGTTATGTTTGATCCGCATGCCTCTTATCTGCCAGGAATATCTCCATCTCATCCAGGTCTAAGGATAAAATTTGTAGGAAGGAGGATCTTAGAACAGTTCCCTGATCAATTCACCCCATTCTTACACTTTGGTTGCAACTTGCAACAGCCATTTCCAGGCACACTCTTCCGCTTCCCTCTTAGGAACGAGGCTGCTGCTTCTAGAAGCCAAATAAAGCGAGAACAATATACACCCCAAGATGTGGAAATGCTTTTCTCTTCCTTCTCTGAAGTTGTATCTGAGGCTTTACTTTTTCTCCGCAACGTAAAGAATATAACTCTGTATGTCAAGGAGAGTGACAGCCAGGAGATGAAACTTGTACATCGTGTCTCGAAGCATAATAGTTATGAGATGGCCAAAGAACCTCATGCGCTTAATACGATGCTTGCATTTATAAATGGAAATCAACCATCAGGAATGGATAGGAATCAATTTTTCAATAAGTTGAATAAGACTAAAGATAGTGATTTACCTTGGAGTTCTCAAAAGGTCTCTATCTTTGAGCAAAGCCCTGCTGCTTGCTTGGTGCATTCATGGATCTTAACAGAGAGTATAGGTGGGGGCCATGCTAGAAAGTTGTCAACTGCCTCTGGTAGTAAGTCCCACTTCTTTGTTCCCTGGGCATCTGTTGCTGCTTATCTGCATTCTGTGACTGTGGACAATACAAAAGAACTGTCTGGTGAAGCTGAAGTCAACCTTGATGATTTGGTTCTCAAGCAACTGTCTCTTGGATCCTCTAAGGACAGGAAATTTTTTGAGGGTCGAGCCTTCTGCTTTCTTCCTTTACCAATCAACACTAGCATGCCAGTGCATGTGAATGCTTATTTTGAACTATCTTCAAATCGAAGGGATATCTGGATAGGAAATGACATGGCTGGGGGAGGAAGAGTACGATCAGAATGGAATCTTGCACTGCTTGAAGATGTTGCTGCTCCTGCTTATGGTCACCTGCTTGCAGCCATTGCACAAGAGCTTGGTCCCTCCGATCTGTTTCTCTCATTTTGGCCTACTGCTGTAGGTGTGGAGCCATGGTCTTCCATGGTGAGGAAGCTTTATGTATCTATCGCAGAACTTGGACTTCATGTTCTGTATACAAAAGCACGAGGGGGACATTGGGTGTCAACAAGGCAAGCTATCTTTCCTGATTTCAGTTTTTCAAAGGCCATTGAACTGGCAGAAGTTCTTTCTGAAGCTGGTTTGCCTGTGGTATCTGTATCCAAACAAATAGTTGACAGTTTCTTGAACGCATATCCTTCAGTTCATCTCTTGAATCCTCATCTGCTGAGGAATTTGTTGATCCGACGGAAGCGTGGCTTCAGAAATAGAGAAGAAGCAATACTTGTTCTGGAGTACTGCTTGAGTGACATGGGAGATCCTTCCTTTCCTGATAAATTGCAAGGGTTAGCTCTTCTTCCTTTGGCAAATGGATCATTCACAACATTTACCAACCGGGGGGAGGGTGAAAGAGTATTCTTTTCTTCACAAATGGAATTTGAGCTTCTGAAGGACTCTATACCACATCTTGTTGTTGATAACTCTTTACCGGATGCCATTTTGAAGAAGTTATATGACATAGCTTGTTCTGCACGGTCAAACATTTACTTATTCACATGCAATTTTCTCCTTGAGTTGTTGCCTAGGATCTTGCCACCTGAATGGCAGCATGCTAAGCAGTTATTTTGGTCTCCTGGACATCAAGGTCAGCCAAGTGTGGAATGGATGGTGTCACTCTGGAATTTCTTGCGACATTCATGTGAAGATCTTTCAATTTTTGCAAAATGGCCTATATTACCACTGGTAGATGGCAAGCTTATGCAACTTGGCAATGCTTCAAATGTAATAATAGATGATGGGTGGAGTGAAAATATGTACTCGTTGCTTCAGAAACTGGGATGTTTCTTTCTGAGATCTGATCTGCAGATAGAACATCCGCAGCTGGCAAATTTTGTTCAGGAAGCCACTGCAGTTGGTGTTTTGAATGCTGTGCAGTCTGTTGCTTCTAATTTTCAGGATATCAAGGAATTGTTCATGGGTATTTCACTGGCAGAAACACATGAGCTACGCAGTTTTATTTTCCAGTCAAAGTGGTTTTCAGGAAATCACATGAACTCTTCCCATATGAATACAATCAGGAATCTTCCTATATTTGAATCCTATAAATCTAGAGAGCTTGTTAGCCTGACAAGTCCTAGAAAATGGCTTAAACCTGAAGGTGTTCATGAGGATCTGTTGAATGAAAGTTTTATAAGAACAGAATCGGCAAAGGAGAAGTCAATTTTGGTATCATACTTTGCTATTAGGGAACCTCAAAAGGCTGAATTTTACAAGGACCACGTGCTTCCTCGAATATCCGAGTTTCTATCACAACCAGCTGTTGTTTCAGCAATTCTCCGTGATGTGAAACTATTGGCAGAAAATGATACTTCTGTGAGAGCTGCATTACATGAAACCCCTTTCGTCCTGGCAGCGAGTGGTGCATGGGTACATCCCTCCAGGTCTCTCTCTCTCTCTCTCTCTTGCGCGCGCGCGCACACACATATGTAGAAGTGTATTTTGTTTAGTAGACCTCTTGATTTTATTGTGTGCTGCATCATCTGCTATGTGCACTAGGACTAATGTTCATTTGGCAGATGCTTTGTCTAATCTGTACATCAGCTTTTCCTTTGATATTTGATGAAACAGCATGCCATGTAGAAGTAAACCTTCATAATGGAAACAAATAACTGGAACCTATTTGATGTAGGAAGTTTTGTATAATTCTATATTGGATGTAATCTGCAATTTCTTTTTATTTTCATCAATAATGAGCTTGTTACGTCCATGAATACCATGGATTTCATTTTTATATTTTTCTGCTTCCCTTTACTATCTAGATTTTGGTACATAGAAATAACTTATATTTTCCTTCAGACTTTATGATCCTCGTGTGCCTGAGTTACATAAGTTGCTGCACAAAGAAACCTTCTTTCCTTCAGAGAAGTTCATGACGACTGAAGTAATTGAACTGCTTGCAAGCTTTGGACTTAAAAGTAAATTGGGTTTTAGTACTTTGCTTGACATTGCGAGGTCAGTTTCACTGCAACAAGATGATGCGCTTGAGCATGGGAAAAGGCTACTTACCTATCTAAATTTTCTTGAATTCAAGGCTTCAAACATGGAGGATAAAAAAACCTTCCATGGGGATGACAACCAGGAAGCTTCTAAGACTGATGGAAGTTTTGAAGCAGAAAACGATGGGGATGGGTATGACCCAGAAGAAACTATTTTATCTTTGTTCTCAAACTTCGATCATGATCTACCAGAAGACGAATTTTGGTCAGAGCTGAAAAATATATCTTGGTGTCCAGTCCATGTTGCACCATTGCTAAAAGGACTTCCATGGTTCATATCTGAAGATCATGTGGCTCCTCCAATCACAACAAGGCCAAAATCACAAATGTGGCTTGTTTCATCAAAAATGCGGATTCTTAGTGCTGATTCTTGCTCCATGTATCTGCAAAGAAAACTTGGTTGGTTAGACCCACCAAATGCAAACATTTTATCTTCCCAGTTAGTTGAGATCTCCAAGTCTTATGATGAACTCAAGATGTTTTCTGAAGACAGTACCAATGATGCCGTTCCGCAAAAGGAAATTCAACTGATCTACTCAAAATTGCAAGATATTATTGACACAGCCGATACCAACATTCTAAAACGGAATCTGGATGGACACCCATGGGTTTATATAGGTGATAGGTTCGTGCCACCTCAGGCACTTGCTTTTGATTCACCTGTAAAATATCACCCTTACCTTTATGCAGTTCCATCTGAACTGTCGGAATATAAGAGGTTACTGTCGGTTTTGGGTGTGAAGCAGACATTTGATGCAGCAGATTATCTGAATGTACTTCAGTGTTTACAAAGCGATGCCAAAGGAGAGCCATTGTCTACAGAGCAACTAAGTTTTGTTCATCGTGTTTTGGAAGCATTTGTTGATTGTTATCCTGATAACCAAGCACCTGATATGATGGTGAATTCATTGTTGATTCCCGATTCATTTGGTGTTTTGACACCTGCCAGAAATCTTGTCTACAATGATGCACCCTGGATGAATGCTGATCCTACTTCAAAGAGCTTTGTGCATCTTAGTATTGGTAATGATCTAGCTAATAGGCTTGGGGTTCGATCTCTTCGTGGATCATCATTACTGGATGACGAGCTAATGACGGATTTGCCATGCATGGAATATGCTAAAATAAGTGAGTTGCTGGCTTTATATGGTGAGAGTGACTTTCTTTTGTTTGACCTTATAGAGCTAGCTGATCATTGCAATGCGAAGAAAGTGCACCTTATCTATGATAAACGAGATCATCCAAAGCAGTCCTTGCTGCAGCAGAGTTTAGGTATGATAGAAATTTTCTCCCTAGTCAGCTATTTTACTGATATTTTTCTTTTCCAATCATAATTGTGCAAGTATTTTGTTTGTCTTGTTCTATTTTCTGTTTATGTTTATATAAGTAACATATTTTTATTTTCCAAAAAAAAAATCTAGGTGACTTCCAGGGTTCTTCATTGACAGTCGTCTTTGAAGGAACGATAATGAGCAGAGAAGAAGTTTGCAGCCTCCAACTTCCTCCTCCATGGAAATTGAAGGGAAACATTCTTAACTATGGACTTGGACTTCTTAGCAGTTATTTTGTGTGTGATACCTTGAGTATTCTTTCTGGTGGCTATTTCTACATTTTTGATCCCTTGGGCTTGACTGGTGGCACGACTTCCATTGCTACCTCATCCGCTAGATTCTTCTCATTGATAGGTGTGTTTTTACTTAAAATCATGTTTGTTCGATTATTAATATTATAAATATGACCATAATTTGTTTAGTTTGTGCACACTGCGCATGATGAAACCACATTCTTTTTGGCAGAAGGCCTCATTGAAGATCAAACCTTAATAAAACTCATTACTCACTAAAGCTTATTTCGTATCCATGTTGGAAAACATATCAGTCCAAGTCTGCTAAATGTATTATTTATGTTACTGCAACTGTTGCATCTCTGTTTGCAACATGGAAATTAAAATCATGTAATGTGAATCTTCATGATAGAACTATGCCTGCATTTTGTATATATTCATTTATTTCCTTTTTTCTGGTGAGGGAAAATAGATCGAAGTCCTTAAATGCTATTTTCTTTTCAGGAAATGACCTGGTCGAGAGGTTTCATGATCAGTTCACACCAATGCGTGTTACACAGGAGGCTTCACTATCTTCAGCAAATTCCACAGTTATTCGTATGCCTTTATCATCTAAGTGCCTGAAAGAACTTGAAGCTGGTTGCAATAGAGTAAAGCATATTTTTGATCGATTTACACAAAATCCATCCAGCACTCTCCTATTCTTGAGGTCAATCATTCAGGTGATAATTGTTTTCGAAAACCATTACTGTGTGCTAGGCTCCACTCTCAGTGGTTTGTGTTTGTGTGGTTAGCACGTGGTTTTTGGACGTGCACTTTGGTGCACTTCCGACTTCGACAACTTATGTCGTGTTTTTCTTGTAACTTTACTCCTCCTTAATACATTTGGATGGCCTCCTTCGGCCTTCCTGGCGACAAAAAGAAAACCATGACTGTACATCGGTAGCTTTCGAATTTTTCTCTGAAGTATGTTTTTAGCCTTTCAATTTTTTACACTGCCATCATATGAAAGTAAATTAATTTTATAGATTTAAACAAGACTTGTTGCATGAAATACATTTGATGAATTAATCAATTTATTATTAATTGCTGGACAGCAAAGATTTGAAGGATTATTGCATTTCTTTTGCAATAATATTATTGATCCAATGCCTTTGTGTCCATAAGATATATTCTACGCTTTTTATATTTTACAATACACATATAATCATATTTTTGCATAGACATTTGGGTGTGCACATATTAATATGATCTACATGTATCTGTTGTTTAGATTTAGAAAGTGCAAAAGTGTGAGATCCAAATAATTAAGAATGTGGGTGCAGAAACACACATGACTCATACTGCAGCATCCCATGCTAATAACTGACAACACAATGTGTGTGCTGGGTACCAGTTTTCCAGAAATAGTAGTGAGAAAGTTTTATTGGGTGATTCTAAAGCATAATCTTAGAAAAAAAAACTGCTCCACGTCTAATGTGTTGTTGTGTGATTTTGATCAGGTATCTTTATCAACATGGGAAGGTGGAGCTTCTCAGCCAACTTTGAACTACTCTGTACTTGTTGACCCATCAGTAGCCACTTTAAGGAATCCATTTTCAGAAAAGAAATGGAGAAAATTTCAACTATCCAGAATATTTGCAAGTACAAGTGCTGCTATTAAAATGCAAGCTATTGATGTGCATGTGATTGACAATGGCTGCAATTATATTGACAAATGGTTTGTTGCCCTTTGCCTTGGATCAGGGCAAACACGAAACATGGCTCTTGACAGGTTTTGTCCCTTTCAATCCATATAGTTCAGAATCTTTTGTACTTTTGTAGTTACCTACATTCACCATTTCTCACAATTCTACTAATTAATAATGTTATAAACATGTGAATTGGTCAAAGGACCTCTGGCATAATGCTTGTTGATTTTTTTCTATTTCAGGCGGTATCTCGCCTATAACTTAACCCCTGTTGCTGGAGTAGCGGCACACATAGCTCGAAATGGAGTATCAACCAATATACATGCATCCAGTTGTATATTATCTCCCTTACCACTATCTGGGTCTATAAGCATGCCAGTCACAACTCTAGGCCATTTTATTGTGAGGCATAATGGTGGGCGGTACATTTTTGGCAGCTCACATGATAAATCTCTGTCAGACCTTGAAATGCATAAAAACAAATTGGTTGAGGCATGGAATAAGGAACTTATGCTATGTGTGCGTGATTCATATGTTGAGATGGTCCTGGAATTTCAAAAGCTTAGGAAGGATCCTCTGTCTTCTGCTATTGAATCAAGGTCTGCACACTCGGTGAGTACAATTTTACAGGCTTATGGTGATAGGGTGTACTCTTTCTGGCCCAGATCGAAGCAGCATCCTGCTTCACTCACTGGGTATGGCTCTACTGTAACTAATGTGAATTCACCAAGAGCATCTAAAGCAGATTGGCAATCCTTGGTAGAGCAAGTGATAAGACCTTTCTATGTACGCTTGGCTGATCTTCCTGTTTGGCAACTTTATGGTGGGAATCTTGTTAAAGTGGATGTGGGTATGTTCTTATCCCATTCAGGGAGTGGAGATGATGATAATCTGCCATCTGCTAGTGTCTGTAGTTTCATTAAAGAGCACTACCCTGTATTTTCTGTACCCTGGGAGCTGGTTAGGGAAATTCAAGCAGTTGGAGTTAATGTAAGAGAGATCAGGCCCAAGATGGTTAGGGATCTACTAAAAGCTTCTTCATCCATTTTACTCCGATCTATTGAAACATATATGGATGTTCTTGAATATTGCTTCTCAGATATGGACCCATACCGTTTCTCAGATTTTCATATACATGAGGAATCACGAGTTAGCAATCAACAATCTGAAATAATGAATTCTTCAATATCAAATTCTATGCCATCTTCAAGCAGCTCTGTGTCTTACCATAGAAATACACAAAGGCAGGGTGCTTCTGGGGGCGACGCGCTTGAAATTGTGACATACTTTGGAAAAGCTCTCTATGACTTTGGTCGGGGGGTTGTTGAGGATATCAGCAAGACTGGTGGCTCAGCATCCCATAGGACCCAAGCTGCTGAAAATAATGTGCTGTCATCTATCATCACAGAGCTCAAAGGAGTCCCGTTTCCGACATCGACAAAATGTCTAACAAGGCTGGGATCTACCGAACTTTGGATAGCAAGTGAGGAGCAGCAGCTATTGATGCGCCCATTCTTGCATCACTTTATCCATCATCAATGTTTACAAAAGCCCTTCTTGGAGCTATTGCTCACCACTCAAGTTATTCATAGACCTCTAAAGCTAAGAAGTTTTTCTCCTCACTTGTTGTCAGGCCATTTGAAGCACATATTTGATGAACGTTGGGTGCACCTTGCAGTAGAGAAGAAGTCTCCATGGATTCCTTGGGATAATAATGCTAATTCATCAACTGCTGGACCAAGTCCTGAATGGATTAGGCTCTTCTGGAAAATATTTAGTTCAATGAGTGGTGACCTTTCACTTTTATCTGACTGGCCCTTAATTCCAGCATATCTAGACAGACCTGTTCTCTGCCGTGTGAAAGAATGCCATCTAATATTTGTACCACCAGCAGATGATTCAAATCCTGATAGTGGAGATAGTGCAGCTAGAGTAGTTGACACGTCTGCCCACCCAGGAGATGAGACTGGAGAAGCTGAACTGAACAGCATACTTGATACTGCATTTCAGTCAATGAACTCAGCATTTCCATGGTTACCTGCTCTGCTTTACAAGTTGAATATACCAGTTTTTGATTTATCTTTTCCAGAGTGTGGTACAATATGCAATTTGTTTCCTTCACGTGACCGGACTCTTGGACAAATTATTGCTTCTAAACTGGTTGCAATAAAAAATGGTGGCCATTTACCTTTGCCACTTAGTCTATCAAGTGAAGACTGTGATAAACTGTTTGCATTGTTTGTCTCAGAGTTCAGATTGTCCAGTAACCACTTATATCAGAGAGAAGAATTGGATGTCCTGAGAGAGCTTCCAATGTATAAAACAGTTACAGGAACATACACTAGTCTGTCAGGGTCCGATCATTGCATTCTTTCTCCCACAGCATTCTTTCACCCTGCTGATTCTCGGTGCCTTTCTAGTACAGCTAATGCAGATCTATTTCTTCAGGCTTTGGGGGTTGAACAATTGAGTGACCAAGAAATACTAGTAAGGTTTGCTTTGCCTGGCTTTGGAAATAAATCAGCTCAAGAGCAAGAAGACATTCTAGCCTACTTGTATTCTAACTGGAAAGATCTGCAGCTGAACTCTTCTGTTGTAAACACCTTGAAAGAGACTAATTTTCTGACAAGTGCAAATGAGTTTTGTACAGAGTTGTTCAAACCAAGGGAATTACTTGACCCTTCAGATGCTTTGCTTACTTCAGTATTCTCTGGGGAGAGACACAAGTTCCCAGCTGAAAGGTTCTTGTCAGATGGTTGGCTTGTTATACTCAGAAAAGCAGGTCTTCGAACATCTACAGAGGCTGATATGATAGTACAGTGTGCAACAAAAATAGAGTCCATGGGAAATGATATTGTGTCATCTTCAGAAGATCCTAGTGACTTTGAGGCAGACTTTTCAGGCAGCAAAAACGAAATTCCTTTTGAGCTTTGGTCTTTGGCAGAATCTGTTGTTAATGTGATTCTTGCTAATTTTGCTACTTTGTATGACAGTTCTTTTTGCGAAAATATTGGCAAAATCGCATTTATTCCTGCCGAAAAAGGTTTTCCAAGTATTGGTGGGAAGAGAGGGGGTAGAAGGGTACTTGCCTCATATAGTGAATCAATTTTATCAAAAGACTGGCCATTAGCATGGAGTTCTGCTCCTATTCTTACCAATCAAGCAATTATCCCTCCTGAATATTCTTGGGGAGCATTTCGACTAAGGAGTCCTCCTGCCTTCACAACAGTTCTGAAGCACTTGCAGGTCAATGTCATAACATGCTTATATGTTTCTATCTTATGAAAATGTTCTCTTATTTTCTTTTCTGAAACAAAGCAGAGTGTTGGGAGAGGCAATGGTGAGGACACACTGGCACACTGGCCAACTTCATCAGGAATAATGACGGTGGAAGATGCCTTTCTACGGATCTTGCAATACTTGGATAAAATATGGGGAACAATATCTTCTTCAGGTAGTGCAAATGCACCAAAATTATGTTACCTCCCTGTATATGCCCTACATTTGTTGCCACTGGGTAACAATAGCTTATGTTATTATCATTTTCTCTTTCCTTGGTTTTAGTTACTAGCAGCGATTTTTTTTTTCACTGGAAAACACTTGATTTACTTACGCTTCATTGCATGGCCATATTTGAGTACAATCATGCAAAGCATCCCTGTAGGATTTAGGATAAGGGTTGAACTGACTAGATTCATATGAAGGGTCAAATATGTACTCCCTCCGTCCCAGAGACATCATTTTTTGCCTTTATTTGTCCCACAAAGGCTTCATCATTGAGACAATCAATGCATTGGAGTTTGAGAAAGTGGGGGACAAATGCATTGAAATTTGAAAAGTGGAGGACATTCTAGTCATTTGATTTTGTATTGGGACGGAGGTAGTAGCTGGCTAATTGTGCCAGGCCGGCCCAAGATAGGCCAACCAGTAGCTGGTTAATTGTGAGGAGTACCAACTTTTTCTTGTGAGTTTGCATGTTTTGCTCCTAGTAAGAATTTTGAAATCTTGAACCGATTCACAATGCACTCACTTGAAGTGAAGTTCATTAAAAAAAATTTTCATACTGTTATTCGTCTCGGGATGTTAAAAGGGAAAAGGGGGTAAATTGTAAGCTTGTTCAATTTAATATTTTGAACAACAGTTGTCTGGCAGATCAAAGCATTTCACATTGATCTTACTTTCCTGAGGTTTTATTTTGAAAACCCATGGAGACAACATCATCGTATTGAAATTGACCTGAAATGGGCATGCAATCTTCCAATAGAACATCCAAATTTGATATTTGGGAACAGCTTTGTAGACTCTTCATTTTGATATTTAAGATGAGGTATTTAGAGTGGCTTGCACTATGTATACAAGCTCAGTCTTGATTCTTTTTTTTTTTGGCAAGAATTATTATGTTGTTACTTCTTCCTGAAGAAATAAAGATATATCATGAACAGGTATTATCTTGTCAGTGTGGTCATGTATATTGACGATTCCTATAAGTAATTATAGTAATTACTATGTCATGCCCTGTGCATATGCTTTTTTATTTGCTGTATAAATAATTAAAGATAGCCACACAGCGGAAAACTGTAATTAGTTTTTGTTGCTTTGGAAAGAGATATATCAATACTCTAGTTAAGTTGTATTTCTTTCTTTTTCAGAGAAAAATGAGTTGCAGACCCTGGCTTTTATACCAGTTGCAAACGGGACTCGCTTAGTCACAGTGAAATCACTTTTTGCTCGTCTGACAATCAACATGTCGCCTTTTGCTTTTGAACTTCCAAGTCTTTATCTTCCATTTGTCACCATCCTCAGAGAAATTGGGATGCAGGAAACCCTTACAAACACTTATGCAAGGGAACTTCTTTTGGATATACAAAAAGCATGTGGTTACCAACGCCTGAATCCAAATGAACTCCGCGCTGTGATGGAAATTTTAGACTTCATGTGTTCTGGTGTCAACCAAGCCACAGATGGATCAGAAGACATATTTGATTCAGTAATACCGGACGATGGTTGCAGGCTGGTATCAGCTGTATCGTGTGTATATATTGACCCATATGGTTCTCATTTACTGAGTAACATAGATACATCCAGGATAAGATTTGCTCACCCAGATCTTCCCCAGAATATTTGCAACACGTTGGGCATAAAGAAGCTTTCTGATGTCATTGTAGAGGTACTACTATTATAGGATCTTTCTTTTTTTATGGCTGTAAGTTTAATTAATTTTGTATTTTTCAAATAAACATAAGTTTTTTCCCTTGTCAGGAACTGGATGGAAAAGAAGAACTAAAGATGGTGAATAGCATTTGCTCTGTTACTCTGGACAAAATAAAAGAGAAGCTGCTTAGTAAATCGTTGCAAGATGCGTTAAGGATTGTTATGATTGGTGTATCCAATCATTTTCCTTCATTTGAAGCACTCAATCTGGCGCAGATAGAAAGTGTACTAAAGGATATATCACAGAACCTGCAGTTTGTTCAGCGTCTCCATACTCGCTTTCTATTACTCCCCATGCTCCAAGACGTTACAAGAAGCAGCCAGCGTCCTCCATTTCCTGAATGGTCAAGCAATGGAAAGCACAGAAGTGTTTGCTTTGTGAACAAATCCACGGGTCAAATTCTAGTTGCAGAGCCCCCAAACTTTTTGACAATACACGATGCTATTGCTATTGTTGTTAGTTACAGATTAGGGGCACCCGTGATCTTGCCGATTGCTTCAGTATTTGCATGCCCAGATGGCACAGAGAAAGAGGTGCTTAAAATACTCCGTCTGGGCACTGACATTGGAGTTTCAAAACGTGAAGGAAGGTACAATGGTTCCCTGGGAGCAGAGTTGTTGTCCCAAGATGCTCGCCAGGTTCAATTCCTTCCTTTAAGACCATTCTATAGTGGAGAAATTGTGGCATGGAAGACGGGGAAAGAGGGTGAAAAGCTCAGATATGGCAGGGTCCCTGAAGATGTAAGGCCATCAGCTGGCCAAGCTCTTTACAGGTTTCCAGTAGAGACTTCTGCTGGTGAAACTTGCATGCTACTTTCCAGTCAGGTTTACTCATTTAAAAGCGTTTCAATGGCTGATCTCTCTCCTGCACCATTGCAACTGGATAGTGGTAGAGCTGCAGGTGGACAGCAGGGCTTCTCACCCATCAACACAGGAACTGAAGCTGCAGATGATGTGGTTAGTTTTATTTTTGTGCAAATTCTAGTTTTGCTAGCTGTATGTGTTGTCGTAATTTTTGTCGTACTTCGATTTACAGGCTACTGGCCTTGAATATGGGAAGGTATCTTCAACCGAGCTGGTACAGGCAGTCCACGATATGCTTTCAGCTGCAGGGGTAAGGATGGATGCTACAAAGGAAACGCTTCTACAGACTACTCTTTCCTTGCAAGACCAGCTTAAAGAATCTCAAGTGGCTCTACTCGTGGAGCAGGTTTGTCCACTTCGATATCTTCTTGGGTTGTTTTATATTCATTTTTATTGTCAACATCAAGAATATGTTTTGATCAGTTCTGTATACCATAAGAGAGTAGTTGTGACCCGTAATCTGTAGCGGCACCTAAAGAAAATTGATGTGGGGAGGCATTTGTTGTTGAACGTCATACTATTGGATGCTGCTGCACACGCTGTGTTCACCATGCTTTCTTTGAGATGGAGATGAGGGTGGGTTAAGAATTTTTCTAGGATCTTCAGGCATTCCTTTTTATGTTCATTATTTGCACAGAGAATGTATACTATCAGGTTATAAACAAGCTACCAATTTTAGGGAGCCCCAAACTTCATAATTTGCATTGCCTATCATATTATATTGTATCGTATCATATAATTACTTTCTTAGCTCTTTCTGCTTATGTTGTATGTTGTGGGTATTGAAATTTGTTTTAATTGTCACTACAGGAGAAAGCGGAGGCAGCAGTTAGAGAAGCTGATGTTGCCAAGTCAGCATGGTCATGTCGTGTCTGCCTGAATGCGGAGGTCAACATGACTATAATACCATGCGGTCATGTTCTTTGTAATCGATGCTCAAGTTCGGTTTCACGATGCCCATTTTGTCGGACGCAAGTATCTAGGATGATGAAAATATTCAGGCCTTAATTTCTCTTTCTACAACTTTCGCTTTCTATTAGTATGTATAATATTAGACACGTTAGTTTTTTAGCTGTAAAACTATAGGGCTGTAAATCGAGGGTGTAAATATACATTATAGTCCATGTACAGCTACGGTGCATTTTACTGTGCCGATTCTTTGGAAAATCGAAGTATTCGGTTCCAGTTTGAGGCGAAATCTATCTTTTTAAAACTGGGATGTCTCAAGACATCTTAGGTCCCGCTCTTTTTTCTAACAAGAGTTGGATTAAGATTAAGATTTTCGTGGCACGTTTTTTAAACTACTAAACGGTGTATTTCGTGTGAAAACTTTCTATATGAAAGTTGTTCTAAAATATCATACTACCTCCGTTTTTTAATAGATGACGCCGTTGACTTTTTCTCACATGTTTGACCATTCGTCTTATTCAAAAAATTTACGTAATTATAATTTATTTTATTATGAGTTGTTTTAGCATTCATATTACTTTAAGTGAGATTTATATCTTATGCATTTGCATAAAATTTTTGAATAAGACAAATGGTCAAACATGTGATAAAAAGTCAACGGCGTCATCTATTAAAAAACGGAGGGAGTATTAATATATTTTTTAAGTTTATAATAATTAAAACTAAATCAATCATACGTTAATGCCACCTTGTTTTGCATAAAAAACTTAATCTTATTGATCCATATAGCGGTGTTAAATTTGAAAATAAGAAATTATGCATAAGAAAAAATAACCAATAAAAAAAGAAAACAAATCCAATTTCTAATACTTTCAAATTATCTATCCTCTGTAAGATAATATATTACTATGTTGATTTTCTAATATATAGTTCAGCTAGTTCTCTAGTTTTTTTAAAATACAACGTTAACAACTCGGTATTTTTTTCCAAACATAACTGCTCGATCAGCGTATGTTGCATTTTTTTTTTAGCAAAATTACTGCAGTTAGGGAAGCTGATGTTGCCAAGTCAGCATGGTCATGCCGTATATGCCTTAATGCAGAGGTATCGTGACTATAATAACATGTGGTAACGTTCTTTGTAATCGATGCTCAAGTTCGGTTTCAAGATGCTCATTTAGCCACCTTGATTTTTTTTAAGGGTCTGTGTATACAACTTTCGCTGCTACTTGTATGTAGTCACGGTAGTTGCTTAACTGGAAAACTATAGGCCCGTAAATCATGGGTGTAAATATACATTATGGTCCATGTACAGCTACGATGCATTTTACTGTGTAGATTCTTTAAAAAATTGAAGTGTTTGGTTTCAGTTTGAGGCGAAATATATATAGTTATAAGCCGCTCAGTGGAGGGGCAAAATTCAAAACAGCAAATTTCGAAGTACAATCATTCTCTTAGCAAATTGTTGCATGGTTGGTCCAGGCTATAGATGGCCAAACGAGCTACCCGATCCGGCACGGTCTAGGCACAACCCGGCTTGGGTCGAGGTCAGTTGGGCTGACACAACCCGATCTACACGCCGAGCTAGGCTGTGCCATGTCTACCCACGGGCTACACCTACGGCCCAAGCAGGGCTGTGCCGGTCCGGTCCGAAGGCACAACAGTTCATCGTGTTTCTCCATAGAATAATTCTGTTTTTCTTCCCTCATCTCTTTGGGTTTTGTCTTATATGGCTGAAATTTGTATTCCTTGTCTTTGGGCTGCGACTTGTCTGGCTGAATTAAGTCTATTTTCGATCCTTGTAGTATTTTTATTGACTGTGCCATGCCGGGCCAACCCAACATGCCAAGGCATCAGCCCAGGCACAGTCCAACTGTTGGACCGGGGCCAAGCCAAATGGACGTGCCGTGGGCCGTGCCGTCGGGTCCGGCCATATGGCCATCGATAGTCCAGGCGTTGCCGCAACCGGGGCAAACAGCAAGGGGAAAATATCTGTGCCAAGCAGCAAGAGCAAAAAGCGAAAAGCGCAACGCCGCCGCGAAATATCTCACCTCACGTAGCTCTCGCCCCGGAAGACGCCACCCAGCGATCACTTCTGCTGTACTACTGGCCAGTGACCAGTCACTTACTTGCTCTTCTCCCCCATTAATTGAGCTCCAGCCGTCCGGGAGACGAGATAATTCCGTTCAATTTCAAGTTAATCCCGCGGCAGCCATGGCTGCGCTTCTCATGAACACCGGCGCTGTCTCGATGCCCTTCCCCACCACGCGCACCGCCGCGCGACGGCGAACCAGCAGAAGCAGATGCCAGGCTTCATCTAGCGGCGGTAGCAGCAACGAAGGAGGCGGCGAGAGCTACCGCGGGAGGAGCGGGCGCGGTGGGTCGACGACGTGGGTGACGGAGTACGACCTGTACGGGCTGCTGGGCGTGGAGCGGTCGTCGCCGCAGTCGGAGATCAAGGCCGCGTACCGGTCGCTGCAGAAGCGGTGCCACCCCGACGTCGCCGGCGCCAAGGGCCACGACATGGCCATCGTCCTCAACGAGGTCTACTCCCTCCTCTCCGACCCCGCCGCCCGCCTCGCCTACGACCAGGTACGTTGCTTCATCGATCGATCTCTCGCATATACGTACGCACACCAACTGTTCGTACAATTATTGATGAGGCAATCGATCTGCACGGAACGCATGCAGGAGCAAGCGAAGCAGTCGGAGTTCGTCGGGTACACGGGGAAGCCGCTCTACTCGGCGTGGTTCGGCGGCGAGGCCGAGCAGCGCGCGGTGTTCGTGGACGAGGTGAGGTGCGTCGGCTGCCTCAAGTGCGCGCTCTACGCCAACAAGACGTTCGCCGTCGAGTCCGTCTACGGCCGCGCCCGCGTCGTCGCGCAGTGGGCCGACGCCGAGGACAAGATCCTCGACGCCATCCAGACATGCCCCGTCGACTGCATCTCGTAATCCAACACACCTCTAAATCCCCCAATTAATCCGTGTTCTGCTTGTTGATTTGTCCTGATTTGTTCATCTCCATGGTTGATTTGGTTCGGTTTGTACGGTTGATTAGGATGGTCGAGAGGTCAGATCTCGCGGCTCTCGAGTTCTTGATGTCCAAACAGCCGCGCGGCAGAGTCCGGGTCTCGGAAGGCAACACCGTGGGCGCTCGCGCACCCGACATCTTCAACGAGGTAAGCAAGTTTCAGAAGAGGTTCCAGGAGATGAAGCAGAAGTCTGCCACGAGAGAATCCGAGGTAGTAAATCTGATGATTTGATCCAGTATTCAAGTAGCCTTGTGATTTCATAAGGGACTCACTAATCACCATTAACAAGCAGAGCTGAAGCTGAGCACAGTAAGCTCGGGTTAACTAATCTCGCTCGCTCGCGTGCGTGCAGGAGTCGGAGGCAGCAAGGCAATCGAGGAGCTCGGCAGTTCAGACGATCAGGTCGATCTCGAACTGGTGGTACTGGCAGCCGTTCAGAGCTCCGGCGACCACCGTACTCGCTTCTCTCCACCTGCCGGCGCCGCCGCCTTCTCCTTCCATGCCCGCCGACCCGGTGACGGACAGGCTCCAAGAAGCGGCAGCTCGACGCAAAGCGGGAGGCGCGACGGCGGCGAGGACGGTGGCTTCGTACGCCCGCCGCGACGACTACTGGACTCCGCAGCTGAACCTGCCGTCCCTAGCATCGCCGCCGGAGCGACCTCACCGGAGGCAGAGCGCTTCTCCTCCCCGCAGCCAGACGCGGCGAGCAACCCCCACCGGCGATGGCGGGGTGACATTGGGCAGCATCGACCTGACGGCGCCGCTGCTGATGGCGATCATCTCGGCCGGGTTCGTGGGTTACAACAGGGAGGAGGTGGCCGGAGTCGGCGGCGGCGGCATCCAGGAGCACGTCGGTGGCGCCGCCGCTCTGGGTCTCGTGAACAGCTTCGAGCTCAAGATCGTCCTAGCCTCCGTGACATGGTTCATCATCGGCGCGGCGATTGCCGGATTCATTCAGTTTCTCGCGAGGAGCGAAGTGAACTTCAGGAAATGAAGCGAATACATGATTTATTCACGATGACATAAAGATACATAGGATAGATGAAGTATACATAGTAGTATAGATGCATGTATATAAAGGTTACTGCAATTAAGGAATTTATTAGTGGTGAAAAAATGAGATATAAAGTAGAGCAAAATGAAATGTACGAGACGTATAGCATTCAGCTTATGTGGTTTGGACGAGAAATCAGTTCTCTTGTAGGGTGCAAGAACTGCTGTTTTTTATGAGGCAGCGAGTACTGAGTACTAACTAATGAGATGATGCAAGTTTATAGGCATCATTTATTAACATAAAAACGACTACTGCGATTGCCACAAGATGATGAGAGCTCACAGAGGAAAACAGAGCAACCACAGTTAAGTTATTCATTGTTGTCTTCAACACCAGAAAATTGCAAGTGTCCCGTGTAACCCGATCTAAAGTTACTACGCAAATAAGCTGTTGTGCTTACAAAAACATCTGGAGTACTGTCATACCATGCTCAGCAATCAAAAAGTACTCGGTCGTCGCAATTGCTAGTTCTGAATGGCACCTGATTACATCTAACAAAATGATATAGGGGAAGACGGATGATCGTTACTTCAAACTGACCTATGGTCTACTTCCGTCAGTCTCACCAAAACAAAAGATCGCACTTGGGGGCAGCTGATGCAGATTTTCAAATCAATTGCCCGTCTCCTGTAGGAACTCCAATACGTTTTGACTTGACACAATGTACCTCAAGGTAATAGCACCAGATACTAACCAAGAGATGATTCCTCTCCTCAAGACCTATTCTTCGGGGGTTTGACCTTGTATATGCGCACTATCCAGTTCGAAGTTGTGAATGCCTCCTCCAAGTACTCAAGCTTAATGTCTTTGTTGCCAATCTCCACTCCTCGTACTCGATCGTATCTACATACAAAATAAATAGCAGAGCTAGCATCCATTACCATATCAAAAACAGGCTTGTTATACAAATAGGACAATGCAAGCTACAACCAGCAAATTATGGTGCCTGGCTTATTAGGGAAACCATTCATAACCAAAATATAATACAGAGTACAATGTAATATCTATTTAAATAAATCAATGAAGTAAAAGCAATAACAATGGCAAGGATGTGCCATACCCTGGAGGTTTTCCATATTCTGTGGTCAGTTCTCCAAAACGGTAATAACAAAGCTTGTACCTGTCAAACAAGAGAGGAAACAATTAGAGGTGATGGAAGGATAGAAGTAACACGGATAAATAACAAAATAGTACATGTGTTGACAAATAAGTCTCATTAGTGTGTTTCATACTTACATTAAGCAATTCAACATTTTTGGTGCTGCCCCCTTGTCGACACGATACTCCCCATTAACAAGGTAATCAGGCTCTTTGATTACAGGAAAAACTCCACCACCAATGCGCACCATCCATAAGAACCTGGAAATAAGCAGCTAAGTAAGAATCCATTTTGTAGTTCAGTTTTTGAAAAAATGTTCAATACTAATTCGAATAAAACCAATAACATCGATTTATTAAAATTTGCTCTAGATTCAGTGGATAAACTTACTTGTTAATGTCATCTGAAGAATAACCAGTAACACCACCAAATACGACAAGCACATAATTCACATCCAGTGACTGCATTATCTCATACGCTTCATCTTCATAGGATGACATTGCACGCCCAACTGTAGCTATATGTGTATTATTCCATGTGTTGTTATCAACAATAACAGTTCTGTTCCCCATAGCTGTGATTTGGTATCCATAATCCCACCATGACATAATCTTTGCATCAGAAGGAGTGTTCTGACGAAGCCAATAATACGCTTCACGATAATCATCAAATATGACCCTGCCTCCATTATGACCCCTTGCGGCCAGAACAATGGAAGGAGAAGAGTAAGCTTCAGATGTCACCCAAGTGCAGTGTACAGCATATCTACTAAGCAAGTAGAAAGCACCCAGAAGTAAAGCAATGGCCACATTCTGCTGGAAAGGCAAGGATTGATCAACTGCACCCTGTTTACACAAGAAACCAAGTCAGCTTCTGAGTGATGTGAAAACCAGAAACTTAAAATAATTGATACAAGCAAACTGAAAACCACAAAATTATGTGCAATTGAACCTACTGGAATTAGAATTGTCAGAGAAAAGGCGCAAATCCTTTATATTCTTATCAGCCATGCACATGGTAAACTGGAAAATTGCAATCCAGCATTTCAAATGGCACAATACTCTGGAGGGTATTGATTGGCGGAAACAAAGGATTTCAATTGTACCACTTGATTTTATCTAAGTATGTTTCAGATTTCAAGCTCCATCAAATTTATTTATTTCAACTATCCATATACAAAATATAAAGCATGCAAGCAAGCATAGACAAAAAAAAAAAAGGGAATACCTTTGCAGCTGCCTTTGAGCCAGATGATTTTCCAGAGACAGTTTGTGGACTTTTGCTTTTTGTCCGAATCAAGGTAGTCAGATTTTTTATTGTAGCTGATGCTGCAATGGCACTAATAAGGCAAACAGCTGGCGCTGCAACAAGAATTAACCGAACCATCACACCAGCAAAGTACATACTCGTGAGGCCATACATAACTATAAATATTGTGGCATCTGACAAGCGCTTGAAACAGAAGTAGAGGCCTGCTGGGAACAGGAAAAGAAGGATGTGGAAATCAAACATGAACGAAGACCACGCTGTTGGTTGATGCTCAGATACTGATGCAATGATTGGTATATGGTCCTTTGCATAGGTTGGATCAAGCAGGGAGTAAAACCGCCCTGTCCAAGGGGAGATGTAACCTGACGCGGTACCAATTCCAAGAGCTAGGGTGCCAACAGTTATCACACATGTCAGGGTGATTCTCAGGAATGACTTGAATAGTTTGGCATCATTCAGCAGGTACTTCACCCAGTCCAAGAAAAAGAAAACCTGCAAAAAGAGGAAATGGTTTATGATAGCTCTCTTATACATGTGCTATACTGCTCTATCTATACAAAGTACACAAAGTACCTCATAATAGAATAGATATTTGTCAAAGCATTCATATTAACAAATAACAAAGGTACGCTATGTTTGATATATACACACAACAAACACAATAACGACATTGAGTTATGTTGGCTGTGGGACATATTCAAGAGTAAAGAGTATAGCATCTCACATTTTACAGCCAGGCATAAATGGGCCACCAATCACACTGCAAACATACAAGAATTCACAGTTCCATAACATGTCTACCCAGTAAACATGATCTATCTGAAGAGGCAAAATGAGAGTAGCAGCAATCTGACACAAATGCCAATGTTCCATCTAATCATCTGGGTTATATGAAACTAACAATAAGTACTAACAGGTCATTTGATCTTAACTGTTCTACAAAATTACCTGTCCAATTTACTCCATAGTTTGCCTACAAACCAAGATCGGGTTGCCTTCAATTAAGTGTTTCGCCCTTTCTCAGTTACAAATAATCCTAACTCATTTCCAGGACAATTAAGACGGGTGGTGCAAATTTCCTAAAGTGGCGGGACTTTTCATCTGAATCATACCTTTTTATGTCAACTGTTGCTAATTTACTAAACTAGCCATCTAATAAACCAGAGCTGTAACTAGCTACTAATCTTAGAAGGCACTTTCATCGCTACGGATGAATTGTTACATCATTTCATAACAATATGTGTAAGAAATACCTGCAAAAGGAAGAATACTCCCATAGCGGCCATGTGCTCCCCAGACTGGACGTGTTGGAACCCAACGAACCGGATCTGCATCGCAAGTAGCATTCCAAGCACATACGTGGAATTGTAGGCCACGTAGAGCCTCTGCGAGTACCTCCCCGTGACGAGCAGCACGAGCACGTACAGCGGCAACAGATTGATGATGAAGACATAGCCTCCCCACGCGGAGACCATGTAGAAGTAGCCGAACGCCGAGGCGAGCGACCATGCGAGAGATCCCGTGTTGACGGCGCGCACGAAGAGGTAGAAGGTGAGCAGCAGCGCGAAGATGGCGACGCCCTCGTTGTCGTAGGAGCCCGCGACGGAGCGGGAGATGTAGCCGGGGCAGACGGCGATGAGCGCGGCGGCGACGAGGCCCGCGCCGGAGTCCCAGATCTCGCGGCCGAAGGCGTAGGCGACGAGCGTGGTGTTGGCGGCGAAGAAGGGGGCGGTGAGGACGCAGACCTCGCGGATGTGGACGGCGAGGGAGAGCGCGCGGAGGAGGCGGTGGAGCAGCGCGGCGGTGACCATGAGGCCCGGGAAGAGGGTGCCGCCGACGACGCGGCCGAGCGGGTACCAGCTCTCGAAATCGAACCAGTTCCAGAACTCGCTGAATCCATGGTCGGAGAGGAAGAGCGTGGTGCGGTAGTTGAAGTAGGGATCGAACTCGTGGATCATGGACTCGTAGCGGAGCACGGAGAAGAGGCGGACGACGAACGCGAGCACGTAGATGAGCGCCAGCGCCGAGACCCGGAGCAGGAGCTCCTGCTGCTTCGTCTTCAGCCGCAGCGACCGGAGCGGCGCCGGCAGCGAGTCCAGCGCGGTGGCGGCGGCCATGGCGGCGATCCGGATGCGGGAGATCTGGCGCCTCTCGCTAGGGTTTCATGCGCCCCGCGCGTGGAGCGGGAGAGGTTTTAGAGCGCCGCGGCCGCTTGGTTGGGTTCGGTTTGGATCTGGGAGATCGAGGAGGAGGAAGACGAGAGCAGAGTCAAGCGCACGGGGATGACGACGCGATGGTTACACTGACATGTGGGCCATGCAAGTGCTGACGTGGGAGCCCCCACGTAGGCGCCTCTGTGACGCTGGAAACTGGGCCCCACTTGAATCGCCGCAGGCCATTGGCTGGAGAGGGCGGGAGACACGTCGCTCGCGGCTCGCTGCTATCAGTAGATTTTTACTGTATCTAATTTTTTCAAGAACAACATCAAATCTCTCCAAAAAACAGATCCTGAAAAAAAAAAGACACTTGAGATGGCAAGGTACTGAAGATACAAACAATGTGAGTACACGGAATTCCCAGCTAGTTTTGATACAACCACAATGCAAATTATCCATTGAGGTTTCTTGCAAGTTCAGTTATTTTCTGAATTACAATCCCCCAACGACCCGTACTTGTCTTTATCTAATCTTCAGTAGATTCATCCCATGAATCAGGCTCACATTGGTGAAGTCCATTAACTGGAAGTACATTCTGCCCACAGCTTCACGGAATACAAGTAGGAACAACATGGCTGAGAATCCAAGCCCTGATGGTTTGTTATTACCTCGATCCAGAACCTGAAACTAAAGCTGGTAGATCTGCTGCTAAATTTGATAACCAAAACGCAAAACACAAGATAACCAACAAAAAGATAGAACAGATGATGTTTAAAACCAAAACACTATCTTTCTACATGATGACAGATAATCAGAACTTCAGAGGTCCATCAACACTGACAACTCTCTATGACTATCCCTCTGTCATCCATACAAAGACGCTATCGGCCTTCAGTGACACACTGGTGTCTGTTGAAGTAGCTCCACGCTGGCCTGGAGATCTTCCTTACAGCGAACCAGCCCAACTGTTCAGTTATTCACAACAGCACACATAACACGTAAGATCTGTACAACTGACACCCAAACCATATAAAGTCAACAAGGAGAGCATATATAACTCTTGACAGATGATATCCCAGAAGACCAGAACACTGGATAAAATTCAATTCGAAACCCATAGCCTAGCAGCCTTATTTAATTCATTAGTTCTATCTAAAAGGCATCATGTTTTATTTCGGCCATACTAAATGGAGTAGTTAATTCATCGTTATTAGCAGAGTTAAGTTTCATTGTATATTCACTTTTAAAAAGATAATTGTATATTCTTATAATATACCTGAAAAATCAATCATTAATACCTTTGAAGCAAAATAGTACTAGAGTTTTAGTGTCAATCCTTGATCAAGAAAAAGCTTTCCTTGTGACTTAAAGTTGATGTAGCATTTATACCAAGGAGGAAGTATCGCCTACTCTGCAGTAGCAGGACAACAGAAAGAATTGAGCTATATAATTATGCCATGAATTAAGTAACAGCCAAGTCAGTATTTCCTCCATGATGGGAAAAAACAGATAAAAGTAAGTATTAGTAGAACACTACCTGATTTAATTCATAAACACGGAGATCTCTTGCTTTTTTGTTAGGACTAGCTCTACCAAATCAGACCTTGCCTATAAGGATCATCAGGTGGAACATCCATGATTATCCGGGATTGCATCTAACTGCAAATGAATTAGTCTTCAGCGCTTGCAGTTTGCAAAATCAGGTCAAGCGAGTGGTTTCTTAAAGGAGCATGTATAATGCAAGTGCTAGACAAGATGGGGGGAAGATAATGAGAATGCAACAAACCAGGACTAGAAGCACGTTTCATGACTAACACTTCCTCTGATAATTAGTGAAACCAGCTGTTCCTAAAAAATAAACACAATTATCATTTTTGCGTTGGATCACAAGGATTGCATGGTCAGAACATATTCATTGGAGCACCAACAAGACTACAAGAGCCAATGCTTTTTACTGGAGGTACTGACCTCCTGGATTACCCTATATGAAGTTCTAGGAGCAAGCTATTTATCTGCTCCCACAACTCTGAAGACTGTCAAAGTAACACCATAAGACAAGCATTGGACAGGATCACAAGCACATGATCCCACATTTATGAAGGAAGAAAAAGAATGCCATGCAAGTGGGTATTTATTCCAGATATGCTTTATCAAAAAAATTATAACACCGGGGCTTTTACAGCAAGTACTTTACAAGTGTTGGCTGACAGATTATATCAGCAGAGTATATTAATGAAAATTTGCATGACAAAAGCAACAGGAATTTTACCTTCATTGGCTATTCACTGATAGTACATGTCCAAAAACAATGCCACTACCATGTAAAGTAGTGAAAAAGACTTGGCAGACCTATGAGCACTCTCAAGTTGTCCCTTTTTTTTCCTTAACTCCAATCAAGCACTTCCAAGTTATAAACACATTAAACAGAAGGATCACCCAATTCCAAGCATCCTATCTAATACAGAACACAGCTGCAGCATTTCTGTGCATTCCCCTGGACCCTTTCTGCAGAATGCCTTGATGACATTAGCAAAAATCCTACTATCTAATAACAATCCTTTTTCTAGCATATCATCAAACAACCTCAATGCCTCACGAACATTTCCACTCCTAACCAACCAATACGCCAAGCGTGCAACAGGCTCAACAGGATAGCCATCATCAATATGTCTGATCAAATTGACAGCCTCGGCTCTCCTCCCTGACCTAAAGAGGCAATCAACCAGCGTATTGTATGTGATCGTATCTGGGGCAATTTTACCCGCATTCACATCAGCGAACAGAAAACCAAGCTCATCCTCCTTCCCGGCCTCATAGAATGCATGAATTAGAATGTTACAAGTCACAGTGTCTGCCATGAACCCCTTGCTGCTGAACACAAACTTGGCAAACTGAAACTTTCCAGCTCGGCACAAGCATGAAATAAAAATGTTGCACGTTTGCACATTGGGTGTTATGGGCTTCTTGAGAAGATCTGTGAACAGTTTTAGAACACGCAGCCATTTCCTCTTCTTGCAGAAATGATCCATGACCGTATTGTATGTCACGACATCTACCACAAAGCCAAGCTCCTGGCATCGTTCCAGCACCTCCTTGCCTGCCCACATATCAAGGTCCTGGGCAACATAGTCGAGCAGTATGTTCAGACCAACTACTGTCGGCTGTAACCCCATCGTTACCATGATTTCCAGCTGCCGGAGTGCCTCTTCGACATACCCGAACCGGCAAAGCCCAGCAATGTAGGTGCTGTATGTAACTGCATCTGGCACCCACCCATTCCGGCCACTCTCATCAATGGTCCTCTGGACAGCATCAAAATCCCCAACCTTACATAACCCATTTACGTAGATGTTGTAAAATACGACATCGGGGTGGCATCCAGTGGAGCGCATGGAGCTGATGAGCGCATCAGCCGACTGCATATCAGCATTGGCACAGTACACCTGGAGGATCGGTGTGTAGCTGTGCAGGGTGAGCGGGTAATTGAGGGCGCGCATTTCGTCGAGCAGCTGGAGCGCGTCCGGGAGGCGGCCCGCGCGGCAGAAGGAGAAGACGAGGTCCGCGTAGTCGATGGGAGTCGGGGGAAGGCCGAGGCGGGACATCCAGACGAGGACGGAGTGCGCGGCCGACGGGAGGTGGAGGTGGGAGGAGTAGACGTGGAGGAGGAAGGAGAAGGCGCACCGGTCGGGGGCGACGCCATTGGCGAGCATGTCGTCGAAGAGGGCCGCGGCGTCGGCGGGGCGGCCGGCCTTGGCGAGCGCCGACATGGCGGAGGTGTAGGAGGCGGCCGTGGGCGCGCACGCCGGGGAGGAGTGGCGCATGCGGCGGAGCACCCGCAGCGCCGCGTCGCCGTCGCCGTCGCGGGCGAAGGCATCCAGGAGGCGGTTGTAGTCGTGGAGGGTGTGGGGAGAGGAGGAGAAGGCGGCGGCGGCGGCGGCGGAGGGTTGGGGGCGGGGAAGGAGGTGGCCGAGCGTGCGCATGGCCCCGCGCACCGCGGCGGACAGTGGCGCGGAGGTGGCGGCGGCGGCGGCGGCCGGCCATGCGCCGGCCGTCATGAATGATTAGCGGAGGTTGCAGTTTGCAAAGGCATAATAGTGAAGGTGAAGTAATTTGGAGATTTGCTTTGCCAAGCGAGATCTGCATCAAACGGCCATGGATTACGAAAGAGGCATATGTTTCCTGAGTTTCGAACCTTTAAACAAACTTTGGTGGTGTTCTTTTTCTTTCGAAGATGAAGATTAAGTTTTTTTAAAAAATAAAAAATAAAGTAGTACTAACGCATGATTGATTGAGTTTTAATTATTGTAAACTTGAAAAATACTTCCTCCGTTTCACAATGTAATGCATTCTAGCATTTTTCATATTTATATTCATGTTAATGAATCTAGATATTATATATGTTTAGATTCATTAACATCAATATGAATACGGGAAATGCTAAAACGGAGGGAGTAGATTAATATGATATTTTAGAGTAACTTTCATATAGAAAGATTTCGCACGAAACACACCGTTTAGCAATTTTAAAAGCGTGTCACAAAAATCTTTATCTGCATCAAACTCTTATTGGAGAAATGAATGGGACCTTTATACTCCCTTCGTTCTAAAATAGTCATCGTTTTAATTCAAAACTTATCTTAAAAAGCTTATCACCTTCAAGTACTCCCTCCTTATCAAATTGATCATCATATATGTTTATATATCAAGACCAAGTATAATTTAAATCACATTAATCAAGACACCATACACATTCCAAGTCTAATTATCCTCTCATTCTCAATCTTATATCATTTAATAGAAGACATTGTAGTCATTTTTACTAAACCTTAGTTTTTTAAATAACATAAAACGGCAACTAATGCAGGACGAAGAAAGATATTTTATTATTTTTATAATATCACTTTAAATTTATTTTTAACTTTATAGTATTTACTAACTCATTTGTTGGTGCCTTCAAATAATTATCAACCTATTGAGTCATTATTCCAAAAAAGAAGAACAGTGCCATAAAAAGGGCCACACACTCACTACAAATCACAATTTCTGTAGTGACATAACACATAACGAGAACTCCTTATAGTATTTTATATTTAGAACGGAGGTAGAACTAATCTTCATCTTTTTACCAGTTGCATTTGTTTGATACTACCAGTAAAAACTAAAAATGAGCACATCTAACAAATTTAACATTCTAGACAAAAGTCTAATTTGCCCTTCTCCGTTTTCGCTCCACCTCGCCGTCGGCAGGCTCTGGCACCACCCGTTCCACAGTGACAACATTGCGATGGTCTGTCTTGCAAACAAATTCAGTGGCGACTCGATGGCCATCCACGTAATGCTTCTTCTCGTACTCATCAGCACAAGGGTCTGAAAACGCCAGATCGTTGCCAATCTCTAGCTTTGGGGTGATCACCATCTGCTCGAGGGTCATGGAGCTGCGAAGGATGTGAAGTGCTAGCTCCACCTGGTCTTTGTGGCCAAAGAAACCACTGATGCGAACGCGTTTGAGATGAGCGTGCTGGTGTGGAGGACCAACAATCCTTAGCTCACCATCCTCTTCGCGATACGGTTGATGCCGGCAGTTCAGCATCCACATCTAATGGGGAAAAAGAAATATTGCATGCATTAAAACGTGGAGTTAGTACATGGATCAAGGCAATAATATTGTTTCTGAAATTCATGTGACCCAAAGGGTTGCCTTTGAGTGTTCACCTGTGATGCACCGATACGGCAGTTTGCCGCCGTTCCCGTATGGGATACGTATCCGATACGGCGATACGTGGGATACGCGAGCGATACGGTATCGGAGAAGTATCGCTGATTTGTTAGCCAAAAAAATAAAAAAAAATGAGCGATACGGCATCAATACATGGTCGATACTTCCCTCGATACGGCGCCCAGTATAAGGAATAAGTTCACTCCATGACCCTCAAATGTGATCGAAATCTAAACCATGACCCTAAACTACAAAACCAGATATCTCGACCCCTAAACTTCTAAAACCGGTGCAATTTGACTCCCTGAGCGGTTTTGCTGATGTGGCGCCACGTGGCGCCTACGTGGCAATATTGACCGAGTCTTTGTTACACGTGGCGTTGACGTGGCACCTACGTGGCAGTAGAAATAAAAAATATGCGTAGGACCCATTAGTCATTCACACAAAAAAAAATGTGGGCCCACTAGCATGTGGGGCCCACATGTCAGTCCTCCTTCCTCCTCCCTCACTCCCTTCTCTCTCTTTCTCTTCCCTTCTTCCCCTTCGCCGCCGCTCCCACCGCCACCGCCGCCGCTCCCTACCACCGGCGAGCTCCTGCCCCTCCCCCGCGCGCAGACAGCTGGCGAGCCCCTCCCCTGCGGGCGGACGGCCGGCGAGCCCCTCCCCCGTGTGCGGACGGCCGGCGAGCCCCTCCCCGCGCGCGGACGGCCGGCGAGCCCCACCCCGCTCGCGGACGGCCGGCGAGCGCCTCCCCCGTGCGCTATCGTCGTCGCCGCCGCCACGACGCCTCGGCGCATGGCCGCCTCCCCCGTGAGTTCCTCTACTGGGCCGCCTTCTCGTTGCCATCGTCGTCGACCCCCCACTCCCTCCGCACCTACTGCCTCCTCGTCCACCTCCTCTCCCGCACCGCCGCCGCCGGATGCCGACGCCGCTCGTTCTCGTTGTCCCAGCACGCCACCGGCCGAAGGGGAAGAAGGGGAGAGAAAGAGAGAGAAGGGAGAGAGGGAGGAGGAAGAAAGTCTGACATGTGGGCCCCACATGTCAGTAGGCCCACATTTCTTTTTGTGTGAATGACTAATGGGTCCCACGCATATTTTTATTTCTACCGCCACGTAGGTGCCACGTCAACGCCACGTGTAACAAAGACTCGGTCAATATTGCCACGTAGGCGCCACGTGGCGCCACGCCAGCAAAACCGCCTCCCAAAACCGCTCCGGGAGTCAAATTGTACCGGTTTTAGGAGTTTGGGGGTCGAGATATCTGGTTTTGTAGTTTAGGGTTATGGTTTAGATTTCGATCACTTTTGAGGGTCATGAAGTGAACTTATTCCAAGGAAAAATGGCCTTAGGATCGAAAGCGGCACAAGGACAAGGAGAGATTTATTTTTAAATTTTTCATTTTAATTAACTCTAAATTTGGTTTTTGTTGTTTTAAAATTATTTCTGGTGCTTTGAAAATTCAAGTAAAAAATTTAGGGACCCATTTAAAGCATGGAGGATTTAATAAAAATACTCCAAGCCACTTTTGAATTTTTCTTGCACGTATTTTAGTGTTTGAGATTTCTTTTAGACTTTTAATAATTTATATTACTCATTTTAGAAAGTGATTTTTAACTTGGGATGAATTTATCAGGATATGAAAATGTTACCCCCGAAGGTGAATTCCCTGTTGTCATCTTTATTTTGACTGTTTCATGAAGTATGAAGTATGTACGACTATCGTTAGACGAACTCTAGTCCCTCCGCTCTAAAATTAAATCAACATAATACGAGATATAATTAGATTTGTTTATTTTAAGACGGATGAAGTATAATTTATCAACAGTAGTCGCACATACTTAATAATTCGTGAATATCCCATACTATATTAGTTTATTTTATAACGGAAGATATTATATATTAGTTTATTTTGGTACGGACAGGAAAGGGTAGATAGATAGATAGATAGATAGATAGATAGATAGATAGATAGATAGATAGATAGAAATAGTTGCGCTTGCTACATGTGAGGGAGATTGAAGAGTGGACGTGGACTGACCGTTTGAAAAGGTTGATTGACAAGAAATAGTCTCTTCTTGACAAGAAATAGTCTCTTCTTGGCTTTATATTTCGTGGTGTTAGGATAATGTCGTATTTTTATATTAGATTGGTTTTTTTTTGACAGAGAGAGTAGGATAGATAGATAGATATAATTAAGTCGCACCTGCTACAGTTTTTTAAACACTGTTTGAAACAATTGAGTGACCAGCAATAGTTTATTTCTGTCTTTCTTCCTAAAATAAGGATGTAATATAGCTTAACACTATAAATCTAGATGAAGAGATGTCCAGATTTATAGTATATGATGTGTCAAGTCTACAAAGGATGGATTAGATATCTCTTGCTCGGACGATAGAGATAGATGTCTGTCCTTTTTCTTTTGGCAAGAACAAACTTTAAGTCGGGTGACTCCGTTAGGATTTATTAACAGCATAAATGGCATTGCATATTTTGTATACTAAATGATGTCCCGTGCTTTGTTGCGGCCGGATATATGTTAGATATTGGAGAAATGATGAAATGATTTGGATTGAAATATTATGAAAATGATTTGAGAATGATGATTTAGCGTGTGTATGTTTAGTTTTAAAATGAAATAAATAGTAGATATAACTATTATATGCTTGTATGTTGTGTTTTGTATACTAATGGGTTGATGTGACATACTTGTGCAATATGTAGGTTTTTAGGAGTGATAATAAATACTATGCTTGTATCTTGAGTTTTAAGTGTTTGGTGGGTATTAGCTTTCTATAGAAGAAGGAATGACACATTTGATATTTTTAATCAGTCCGACAATTTTAAGATTTTTTTTCAAATAGACTAGATAAACATTTTTTTCCTTTTTACCGAATTGAACGTAGACTCGTTTTATGCATGTCAACTATAAAGTCATAAAAAATCTTTAAAAATGGAAATATATATTAACTTGTGATATTTCGATCTATAAATATATAAATTTAAATTTGATTTATAAAGGTAGAAAAAATAATATATCTTAATTTGATTTATATTTGTAATTTGTGTTTCTATTGTGTATATGTCGAATTTGAATATGTATATAGGAAGCCCATTATAGGCCCATAACTATTTAACCCTAAATTCTCTCATCTTTTAATTTCTCCATGCTGACTGGTGTTACTGTCCACCTTTTTAGTTTTAATCTACCTGTGAATATTCGATTGAAATATGATGCATGATTATATTTTGCATCTGATCTGTTATTCTGAGCTATATCTAATCTGGTCTGATCAGCAAGGTCATGACGCTAGCTTGCAGCCTTCAACACGGACTCAGTTATTCTTCTTGTGGAACTTATGGTGATTTTATTATGAAATGAAGCCAGGTTACCAAGTAAACGTACTTCATTGTTCAACCACAGTATAATTCATGATTAAATAGTCAATGCTTTCATATTCAGATACTACTTAGGCATATTTGAAAAGTATAGAAATGTTTGGTCTTTGAAAAGTATAATCTATTTTTACAATATATATATATATATATATATATATATATATATATATATATATATATACACTCGCTGTATCGACGTATTAGTGTTTTTGAAAATTTCCGTATCGCCGTATCCGTATCCCCGTACCAGTATCGCGTATCCGTGCAATATAGGTGTTCACTAGCCTAAAAAAAAAGAACTTTGGTTGTTTAGAAGTTCCCCCCTTTGTGAATACACTACAATCATGACTTAACTTCAATCTGAACCAAAGTTTTAGGTATGCTCATATGCGCAAAAGACAGAATCAAATATTCTATTCAATAAAAAAGTTAAGAAATAAACTACTGCATGTCACTATGCGCTTTTTAGCATTACCAACTGCCCCAACAGATAACATAAATAGATCACTATTCTTGTAATTTTATTGTCATTGGCATTTTTTTTTTTCCACAACTTACGAAATCTGTTTGCGAAGCCACAATGAAATAAACTTACAGACAACTCCAGTGTTTCCATGAAAGGAGCAATCTTCAGGATATAAGCATAATCAAGGGCATCAGTCTTTCTGATATTTCCATGGCCACAGAGAGCTAATTCCAACCTCAAATTCCGAAGATAAGTAAATTTGAAAGGCCCTTCTGGTACGATAGTTCTCTGCAACAGAAATGAAAAAAAAAATTGGTGAATTTGATCTTATAGTGATATATGCACAAAATATGGCCACAAAGGACGACATATCACGAACCTCACGTTCTCCACAATGTAAGGTCAGAGTCTCGAGCCTTGGCAAAGTACTGGGGAATCCAGTAATGATATAGGAAATAGCAGATTGGTAATTGATGAATACAATACTAATATTTGTCAGCCTGGATGTTGAAGCAAATATCAAAGGAACCATGGTGCCACTGTACTTAAGTGTTGTTGGACTACAATTCAGTTCTATCTCTTGCAGATTAGGGCAGATATCCACTACCAAATGCTTAAGCCGGTCCAATGGATGAAGCATTCGTATGCTAGTAACCATTTCGCAATATGAAATCTCCAAAAACTCCAGAAGATTGCATTTGGATAGCATACGCTGAACATCTTCATCTGTAATGCTCATATCTACTAAGCTAAGAATCTTGAGGTCCAGAAATCCTTTGAAATCAGCAGGCAGCTGCAGAGACACGGTCGTAAGCTCGAGACACCGCAAGTATGAACCATAATTGAGGCCAAGAAGCTGTGGAGGCAAATTATATGGTGGTTCTTTGATTATCCGTATGCAATTGCTATGTGTCAAATCTGTGAAAAATGAGCCCTTATCCTGACCTGATAAATCAACAACCAATTCCTTTGTTTTTGATGCAATTGCAAAGTTCACCCATCTATCAATATGGTCTGCGTGCTTACTATGCAACCGAAACTTAATTTCCATACGTTGAACCCCCATTCCACTGTGCTGACGCAGGACCGCATCAACCCTTGTAATAAATTCGTAGTCCCTGAGCCATCGCCATCGATATGGAGTCAAGGTCTTGACATAAGGTTTCCTCATTGTACCTTTATTAAGAGTAAGATTGGTGTGGCTGCACCAAAAATATTTCCATTTTCTTGACAATACACTTGTCCTTATAGCGTCATTTATTGGCAACTGCGACAAGATCTTTGCTAAAATATCCTACATCAGGAAACAACAGCATTATAATAATTTAAGTATTTGACATAAACAGCTAAATAGATACCATCGCTGTACAAGATTCATCATATTAATACGTGAAAACACATTGTCTTACACTTAATTTCTGTATGAACTCACATACCATTGGGAGATTGCTAAGTGAAATTTTTTGTACTTCTCTTCTTTTGACAATTCCCCCATGCAGGCCTTGTTCTGAATTCCTCATCATGCTCTGGTTGTGGCTGAACTCTTTTCAGTAAAGAAGAGCCGTCCTACTGTTCAGTACATACAAGAACATCAAGCACTAGAAAAAAATAATTTCATGGAATTGATAATCTTAAGGTAACGACTCAGATGAGTATTTCAACTTTGTTACATGATAGGAAAAAAAGAGTCTGTCAGGGCATGTACGATGTACCCTTATTACTTTGTAAAGGAGAACATAGTTTGAAAGATGTTTTCTCTTATATAAAAGAATTTCAGTGTTTTATGTCAACTCTGTTTTTTTGTATGTTTCTTTTTATATGTATAAAAGCTTATCGATACAGGACCATAACCAACATGGCTAAACTACTTTTTGAGCCCTTATTCCAATGTGATGAATGGACTATAATGATAGTTGATTGGCTGCTTGAATTGTAGTTAGATGATATATTGTGGATGAATTGAAGAACAGCAGCACATTATTGTGTCTCGGATGGGCTAGCTAAAATAAGAGCCCCCCAACCCCCATTGGATTGGATGGGTGCACTCCATTGGAAGGGCATCTCACCTTATAGGGTGGTGTACATACAAGAAGTGAAGGGTAAAAACCTAGTGGATGCTCGTCGCCGGCGAAGGTCCCGACCAAGACGTGCGAAAGCGGCGCCGGTCGCGCTGTCGTCGTAGCCCACGCCACGAGACAGAGCAGGTCAAGGAGGGAGAAAGAAAAGAGGAGGTGAGAAGTAGAGATTAGTATTATGTACTCCGCTTCCTCCACAACTTCGCTTCCGATTCTGTTTCCTCTCCCCGTGCGCGAGGGAGAGATTCTGTTCCCGATTCTGTTTTTTTTTTAACGTCAAGAATATAGTCTCTGAATGAGACTACGAGAGATCAATGAACGAGAAATTGAGGCTACGAGAGATCAATGAGCTAGGAGATTGGTTACTCCTACATATAAATCCTCCGGTACCTGATGAGATTTTTTTTTTAAACTGTAGATGGTCATTGGTGATACTTTCTGACGCATACTGCAGCTTCAGGGATTTCAGAAAAGAAACTGAACTTGTAAACAGTCAGAATTCCGAAACCCAGCATGGGTGCTCTTGCCATTGAGCTCGCCTGTGGCCACCAGAATATTTCAGGGTTAGGGACAGTTTGCTCTGTTTATTCAATCCCTCAACTTGACAAGTTTCTTAAGCATAGATCTAGCAGAGATCTTAATGTAGGAATTTAACAAGGATGAATAGCGGAGCATGAATTTTACCGTTGAACACAACCACACAGACACAGGAGCAGATTAATTTACATTGTTCTTTGAACAATGGCGCCACAATTTAGACGCAGATGGCCTCTCGCACAACTAAAAAAGGGCACGACTAAAAAAGGTCCCGCAAATTCAAACCATATCAGGAAACAGATAAAAGCATGTGATATCAGGTTTGGTTAGAGTCTGTACAAATGTGGCATATCAGGCTATCAGCAGCTACTTTGTCATGTAAGGTATCCGGTGGCCACCATGAGCAGCTCGGGCATCGCAAGCCATTGCAAGATACCTCAAATTGATTTAATGGCGTATCAAGCCAGCCGTGTCGAACCTTGTAAAATTAACAGAGCCAGCCATGTCGAACCTTATAAAATTAACAGCGCCCTGTGAGCTATCAGCCGATGAATAAGTTGTCTCTTTTGACAATAATCATGTCAAGTCCCGTACAGAAGCCTCACAGATTTTCCAAGATCCATCACTCTGTCTCCTCAATATGTACTGAACTTCATACATACTGCAATTGTAACAGTATAAAGTATCAGTACCGTGTTACTTTAGAGCACAACAGGAAAGCGTGATAAATAGAAACATTATCTTCTGAATTACCTGTAATAGCTAGGCTTCTTGGGCTGGGATTCATCAACAAGCTCAGCCGCTTCCTCAAGAACAGCACCAATTTCTGCAACTTCACCAGTGCCAGACTCATCCAATAGTATCTCCGCTCGAACAACAGAGAGATTTAACAAAACAAATCTCCAATAGCAGGACTGATCCTTTGCTGACAATGCCAACTCTTGCCACTGCTCGACAAGTAGGTCTTCCATTATGGACAATTCAAATATTTAAACATGGAAGTCTATATGTAAGTACACCATGGATAAAAAGGAAATTACCTTCGAAAGCATTGAACCGTCAAGAATTTCAGGGAGCATATCAATTTGATAATCAGGGCCAAGAGCTTCAGATTTGATGTCTTGCCACTGCTTCACAAGTGTTTCTGCTTCTTGAAGAGCCATACTTTGCTTGCATACTGTAGCAGCCACTGCATTAGCAACAGAAGATAGGTCGCTTTCTTCGCTTCTTGAATAAAGCCTATTGTTTAACCAAAGCATCTTGGGCAGTTTTTCAAAATGTTTCCTGACGCTGCTAGTAATAAAAGAACCTTCCAACGTCGATTCTTCATTCAGGGACTGTGTGGCAGCAGAACCCCTACTTGCGGAGGCAGGTTTCATGTGACCAAACTGAAGTCTGAGCAGTTTTAATGTACCAAATAGGGCAAACCCAATGAGTGCACTATATGCAAGTTTCCCTACAATATCACCAGTAAGACCCCACGATTCCAAGGTTCTTGCAGGATGCGATACAAGATTGCGCTTCAGGGGAACAGATGTTGTGGTTGAACCATTTGCTGGCCTATCCATTGAAGAATGGACCCCCAGGTTGTTTGGTGCAAGTTGCTTTACAGCTTCCCCCAAATGGCTGGTAGAATTTAATCTTGGCGTCTGCTCCCCTAAAGCTCTGTTGCATGGTGACACACTAGAAGATGGCTGAGAACTCAAACGGACCATTCTTGTGGCTCCTAATTTCTGCTTGGAAGTGCTAAGGATGCGCTTAGGAGCCCCAAAGAAGTTGGCCTGCCGTAAGAGAATAATGATATGAAATTAGTCTGTAGAAAAAAATATTCATGGGTTTCATTACTGAAAATAGTAAGACACAGACCAAAGATGGTGAACAATCTCTTGTATCCGCAAAACGAGAAAGTGCCATATCCTTCAGCCACAATTCCTGTAAAGATACGCTATTTGCCATGAGAAAATTTTAACACAATGGAGAAATATAATATTCAGTAATCTACAGTAGCACAATTTATTTGCTCCAAAACATACTACAGTGAAATATAACATACCAGAGACTGACAGACAGTAACCTTGTCATTGCCGTCTTTCTTTTTAGGTAACCCATAATTTCTTGAGTTGGAATTCCCATTACTTTGAAGCTGCTGAAGCTTTTCAAAAACAGTGGTGCCAGATTCCTGAGAGCAAACATTTAGTTATGATAATGTAAACTAGTAAAATTTTTGCAGTTCAAATCAGCTTATCACCTCTCCAAGGAGATACAAACAAAATGATTCCTCAAATTTCAGGTCTGTGTTTTCAGATGCAACTAAACAATCGCAAATGGTTTTGGCTTTACTGATCTGCATAAAGGAACTGTACGTTAAATAATGCATAAATAGCAAAAATGATAGTTTACTACTATTGAGAAGGAGAAGGTACCAGGTCAGCCTGCCGGGTTGAAAACCCTAACGCAAAGTGAGCAAGCATCGCTACATGGAAACAATTGAAGTCAACTACTGCCCGCTGGCTCTGGGATTCCAACGATTTTTTGTTTTTACGAGTTGTAGCCAAAGTATCCCAAGAAAGTAGATCCACAATTTCAGTGGCTAACAACTTATTCATTGCTTGGCCCAAGAAACAAGGCCAATCATGAACTCTACAAGAGGATTCAACGTCAAGACCCTGTCTAAGCAGTTCACAGAGAGCTGCAATAGCACCCTGCCTGCGTTCAGCGTTTTCAGGTGTCTGAGGTAAGCTTAGAAGCTCCAGAGTGCAAGCAGGTGCAAGCTCTTCAAGTGATTCTTCAATCTAGTTCATCCAATGAAATAAGTTAAGGGCATAATTCTACATGTAGAAGAATCTGTAGAGCGATAACAACAAAAATTAACCTGTTCAAGAAGGGGCAACTTCTCCAAAGACGGTTTTCTCCTCAACAGGTATTGAGCACGTGCTAGAGCTTCAAAGCCAAGAGACACTTTACTTTTCTCAAAGCTAGCTTTTGCAATAGAACACTACAAGAAAATGCATCAAATCATTGCAAAATATACCAATTTGTAGTCAGTTATTTAAAATTTTGTGTGCTTCTTACTTCAGCTAGTGCCATTGCAAGAAGCACATCATGAACATATGGCCTAGAATCTGGGCGTCGTAGAGCCGCCTGACCAATTTCCAAAACTAGCTTCTCTTCTCCAACCTGAAATGAATATTGTAGCATGTAATACACCATTTCATTATGATAATGGTACATTCAATTTTAATAAATTCAAGCTGCTAGGTGTCTTGTATTCATGATCACTTAGAACTCACAAACATCATAATGGTGACTAACCTGCATCCCCTGCATTTTACGCTACCCAGTCCTAAGAAAGGGCAAAGTTTAAAACCTACGCGCTCCTCACCACATTCCTAAGGATAATTTACCCTGAAGTTAGCATAAAAGTTTTCTTTATTAGTTAAACATTATTGATCCTAAATCTTCTTGATCCCTTTCAAATCATTCAGTGAATTGAGAATAGTATTCTGACAAAGAATAAGGCAGACCTATAAAGAAACATACCGGGCATGGTCATGGTGACGACTATGACTATGTCATGTAACATAAAAGGTGACAAACCTAAACCAAACTTGGTGGTTTTCCTTTATTTGTTCACAATAATAAGGATGTCTGTGTTACACATTACCTCCTGCAAGACACAAAGTGCAGCAGGCAACCAACTCCAAGGTATATGAAGAGAGGATCTGGGTGGAAGCTTTTCTTTTATGCTTCCTGCGTACTCCTGTTCAAAGAGAAGTTTGTCTCTCACATCTACCAGCAGAGCCTACCAAACATGAAAGAAATAAGCAAAGATTAACCACATGAATTCTGCATTCCCTACATTAAACAAAGCAGTATATCCAAATATATTTCCAGAATTCCTTGATTCAGCGAGCAACCTGTCTGCAGGTAGACACCTCTGCCATGTACCCGTCTTCAATTTCTGCATTTTTCAGCTCCATTGCTGCTTTGACAATCTCATCTTTCTCAGCCTTCTCTGTAACACCAAGAATCTGCATTGGCCATTTGAAACATGTCACTCCAAAAATCAGGGAGGCGTGTCACGCGTGTGAACTACCAGTGCAAATTACAATAGGCATCGTGGTGCAAACACTAAAGTTGAATTATGGTCAAGAAACGACTATCTAATCTGCAACTGTATCATTCGAACAGAGACCAGCCGAGCTAAACTAGATCCATCGACGATATAAGACCACATTTCCAAAATTCGGATCCATAAACAGTACGAGTGGCCAAAAAAAAAAAAAACCTGATAGCAAGTGACGGGGATCTCCACCATCGGCGCGGCGGGGGCCTCCTGCCTGCTCCCCTCCGCGGCCACCGGCGGCGCCTCCGCCACCCTCGCGCGCGCAACCCACGCGGCCGCCCCTCGCCGTCCGCCAGCCAGGCATCCACCCCCGGCGTGTGCGGACGCATTGCCATTTCCCACCCCAACACGCCGCGTCGAGGACCCACATGCGACCCCGGGGACAACCGCCGCCGCCGCGGCCACCGTCGGCATCGCCATGGCTGGCCTGAAGACCTCACCCCCCCAACCCTAGCCCACCCTCGCCAACGCCACCATGTGCGAGCGGATGGATGCTTTAGGGTTTTGGGAGGCGGGCGAGTCGTAGGCCCCCGCGAATAAAGGGACAAAGCGTCAGCGAGGTGGAGGAGGAGAGGCGTCGTGAAGGCGAAGCCGGAGGCCGGAGAGAGAGAGAGAGGAAGGTCGATGATGGCGATGGACTTGGTCCATGCGCTTTGTGCTAGAGCCTAGACGTTGACAGGTGGACCCTCCCAGACGCCGACGCGTGTCCTTACCCAATGGGCTTCGTTTCTGGGCCTACATGGGCCAGGCCGAAAACTTGCTTGGTGTGGTGAAGTGGGCTGAATTCCAGGCCTCACAAACGGAGGGGAAAAAATCCGCTTCGTCGCGAACAAATCTCGCGGAGGGGGGAGGGGAACTGGTGGCCGGAGTGGCGCCTTCGAGAAGATTCCTCATCCCCCTTCCCTTCTCTTCCCTCTCATGGCGTCCGCACCGAGCACCACCGCGTCCGGCCTCGCGCCGCCGCCGTTCTCCTCGGCGCGCGGCGCGCGCCTCCTCCCCGGCGCGCTGCTGCGCCTCCCGCCGCCTCCGGCCTCGGTGGGTAGCTTCCGCGTGGTGGGGCCCGCCGCCGCCCCACCCGGCGGCCGCCGCATCGCCAGCGCGCGCGTGCGGTGTGGCGCGGCGGTGAGGTTCATCGGGCAGAGCGAGTTCGAGGCGGAGGTGTTGCAGTCGGACCTGCCCGTGCTCGTCGACTTCGTCGCCGACTGGTGCGGGCCGTGCCGCCTCATCGCGCCCGTCGTCGACTGGGCCGCCGAGGTCTGCTACTTCCTTCATCATTCTGGTGTTACATCTTGTCTGAATAGCTTAGAATTGAGAATTAATAAACCACCATGGACTCAAAACGATTGAATTTTTGGTGTGCTAAATAATTACTAGAGATATCAATTCCATGGAGACATCAGACATGGACTATAGACTAAGACTAGACAGCAGTGACGATGCCAATGTTACCAGCTACCAACCGCTGTCTGTGGGTTTTAGGTGTTCATCTGAGAACAACAAAAAGCTTTCAGATCAGTCTATTAAGTCTTACTATTAGAGAGTAAAAAGATCAGTCTATAACAAGTATACTTCTGTTGTGATGTACACTCTTCAAGTTAAGTGCAAACGCATACCTCCTTTATACTACCTACATCCCAAAATATAACATCTTTTGGCTACGAATCTGGACATGTGCATGTCTAAATTCATAGTCATAAGTGGTTGCTATGTTTTGGAATGGAGGTAGCAGTTCAAAAAATGGCATATAGGCTACACCATTTCAGGGCAGGTTTGGTGAATTGGTGGGATGATTTCAGCAAATTCTAAAATTGGCAGTTGCCAGGACTTGCTATCATGGCCAATTAATGGGAGGACTTAGTTTGCAAATTCTAACTTTGATATCTTGATGATGGAAAAGGGTCTAATGAATCAACCAATGTGCAGATACATTCATATATAAAGAATTAAGTTCTACTCAAGCGAAATAACAGTCCAAAACAAGCAGTGCAACCTTGGTCAGTCATGCAAAACTGCACATGGTTGGTCGTATGGGAGTTTGTTCTCTATGTTTCAACAGAAATAGGTTCTCAAGTTATGTTAGTTGGACTTTGCATCTCTAATTGTTTAATTTTGGTTGAAAATAGGAATATGAAGGGAGATTAAAGATTGTCAAGATTGATCATGATGCCAATCCTCAACTGATTGAAGAGTATAAGGTTTATGGTCTCCCATCTCTTATTCTATTCAAGGATGGGAAAGAGGTACCAGGGAGCAGAAGAGAAGGCGCAATTACAAAAGCCAAGTTCAAGGAATACCTCGAACCTCTCTTGTCAACCTCAACAGTTGCTTAATATCATCATCTGCAGTATGCATCACTGAATCTGATGTCTGGAGGGTGCCAATGCACAACACGACCTGCATGTTGAAGTTTTTTCCCCCCTCCATGAACTCCCCATTCTAATTTGTAATTACCTCAAGATCATGGTTGCATATATTTTTCATTATTGATGGTAAAAATTAGTATGTACGAAGGGCTATCTGAGGTGCAGTTTGACCTGGCACAATTCCTGAAATTGAACTTCTGCCAATTAGTTTCTTGTACAATTCATTGTTAATACCCACAGGACCATGCTTATATGAAAGCATTTTTCAAATGTGATTGAGATGGAGTCAGCTAAAATAAGATGCTTTTTAGAGAGGCAAAATAAGGTGTTTTTGGAATAACTATTGGTTGAAAAAAAAATTGAGGCTCAGCGTGTGTACCTTAAGAAAACAATAGAAGGGGTAATTGCTAAGCAAGTTCAAATGATAATATTTGCCCTACTGAAAACCAATTTCGTTTACGAAGGATTAAATTTTTACATTGTATTTGTTGGTCAGGTGCAACTTTTTACCCACGAGGTTATGCAGAAATCCATCGAGCCAAAAATTCCATCATTTGGACAATCAATCAACTTATCTCTGTAGACCGTAGGTGATGCCTACCAGGTGCTTGTACAAAGCTTGCCTTCTCTCAGCTTTTCTGACATGGAAATAGGAAATTGAAAGTGTGCCTGGCAACAGTTCTCAGGCATGGACTCGAACAAAATAGAGATGGGCAGCTTCATGGCTTCTCTGTCCCCTTGAGTCCTTTCACCTCTGCTGCCATTATGTATGCTTAACAGCAACAACTACAAGCTCAAGTGCATGCTTTACATCTCGTCTGCCTGCAGTCTCGTTGCTGTGAAGTTGACAAGCATCATCAGATCACATCCAAAATTTCAGGCAACAACTCCAGGGCGAAATGGCATCCGAGAAATCAGCTCTTCAGCCTCTTCGATGCGACCTGCCTTTGTGAGCAGATCGACCATGCAAGCAAAGTGATCCTCGCCTGGCTCAACACCAAACTTGTCTGCCATGGCGTCGAAGTATATCCAGCCTTCGTCCACAAACCCACCTTGGCTGCAAGCATACAGGACAGAGTAAAACGCGGCGTGGTTCGGTGCCATGCCTTCCAACAGCATGTCGTCGAACACCTTCACAGCCTCCCTCGCTTGCCCGTTCTGCGCAAACGCCATGATCATCGCCGTCCAGGACACAACCGACTGTCGCTGCATCGACTGGAACACCTTGTGTGCACCGGTTACTGATCTGCACTTCGCATACATGTCGATCAGAGCATTGTTGACACCCACATTGGAGTCTCCTCCCAGCTTGATCACATATCCATGGATCTTCCTTCCTTGGTTCAGATTGGCAAGGTTCGCGCAAGCATTGGCAGCAGCTACAATGGTGTAGTTGTTAGGCCTGATTCCATCCAGGATCATGTCACTGACAACTCTGAGGGACTCAGCAGGCTCTCCACAATGTAGGAGACCTGCAGCCAGCTCTGTCCAGGACACGACATCTCTATGGCGCATCTCGGTGAATGCTCTGATGCCGGATTCCAGCTGTTTGTTCTTCATGTACATCTCCAGCAAGGAGTTGCCCACGCAGACATCGTCGACGAAGCCGCTCTTGACAAGCTGCGCGTGAACTTGTAAGCCGGTCGCCGCCACGTTCGCGCTTCCGGACAACCCAGACAGCACGGTGCTGAAGGAGAAGCCGTCTGCGCTGACACCTTCGATGGCCATCCTTCGCCAGAGCGTGCACAGGCGCAGGGATGAACGGTGCGCGAACGCGGTGAGCAGCGTGTTCCACGACACGATGTCCCAGGCATTGGCATTGTCGAACAGCCGCACCGCGTCGGCGAGCTGCCCGTGGCGGACCATCGCCGCGAGGAACGCGTTCGTGAGGAAGACGTTGGAGTCGAACCCAAGCCGGACGGCGAGCGCGAACAGCTGCCGCGCGCGGCCAACGCCGGCGCCACCGACGAACGAGCTCGCATTGAGCGCGCTCACGAGCGTGAACTCGTTCGGCGGGAGCCCGGCGCGGCGCAACCGCTTGAACAGCGCGAGCGCCTCGCGGGGTTGGCCCCCTTGCGTGAGCCCCGCGATGGCGGTGGTCCACGAGACGGCGTTCCGACGGGGCATTTCGTCGAGCAGGCGGAGGCCGTGGCGGTGGAGGCGGGACTTGAAGCAGGCGATGAGGAGGTGGTTGCATAGGAAGATGTGGGAGGAAGCGAGGAGGAAGCCCCGCTTGAGGAGCGCCGCGTGGAGGGAGACGGCGAGGCGGGGGTCGGAGGTGGCGGCGCTGCGCCGGAGTAGGGAGGCGTAGGAGTAGATGCCGGGGATGATGGGATCTTGATGCCGCTGGTGCGCGGCGGCGTGGAACGCGCGCAACGTGGTGGAGGCGAGAAGGCGAGGACGCGGCACGAGAGATGGCGCGCGCATCGTGGCCGCGCCGCAGAGTGCTAGCTAGTTGCGTAATTCTTCAAGGGAAGTCACAAGGCGGCGGCCGAATTGCCTGCGACAGCAGCGAGGGCGCGAGTATACGCCGATATGCGCGCGCCGCGTCTCGGCGCGGGCGGGCACATCATGAAGGGATTGGGATCCTCTACTTTCAAAGTGACTATGTCTTTGTCACAGATATGTGTGTCCGATGGTTAGTGTACATCCGACTCCTATACTACCATGACTAGCTGTGAAAAAACTGGATCTACATAGAAGTAAGCTGAGCAATGTGATTAGTCTTGAGACGTGCGCATGGGCCGTACGTATAGCACTTCTCTTGATAAAAGCGCGTACTTTGAAGGTAGAGGAGTACGATCTATGGTGAAGTGGTTTATGGCAAAAATGCATTGTTAGATTGTTAATGTTACCGGTACGTATTTTATGGCAATTGGTGAAATGATCGATCAAACCAACTCTCATCGGTGCACATATGCCTTCAATTCAAATTTCGGTTTGTGATGGAATACATCTTTGGCTTGAACATTTTATCAAACATGCAGTATTTTGCGTAGGAATGTGCAGTGGAGCGAAACCAATATCTCGAGTGCCTATATACACTGTGAAAATTAGTCTAACACATTAAAATATCTGATTAGCTAGTTGTTTGTTTTCCTTTGTCTTTAAGACAGTAGTTTAGAGTTGTTCTGGAGCTATTTTTGTTTGTTTTTTTGTTTTTTTGAGGGAACACCGGGGGGAAGGCCCCACCTGAATTGGATTGCCCCTTTAAATCATAAGATTGAGAAAACGTAGGAATAGAAAAAACGTAGGATTTTGATAGAAATGTAAGTGTAAAACAGAGGATTGCAAAACGCAGGAAAAACACAGGAATGACCATCTGATTGAACCACGGGAAAAACACAGGAATTGAGAGAGATAGACTCAAAGGAAAGTTAGCAAAAGGTTGAAGCTCTTGCTAAATTTCCTCTAAAATTTCTATAGGATTGTCCATTCCATAGGAATTTCAAAAGATTAGATAGGATTCAATCCTTTATTTCAAAGGGCTTCATAGAAAATTTTCCTATATGATTGAAATCCTCTAAAATTCCTATGTTTTTCCTCTAAACCAAAGGAGCCCTTAAAGAAGTAAGAGAATTACAAAAGAACTGTACAAAGCCAAGGCCAAAATAAAAAGGAAAAAACTAAAAGCTACATAAGAGCTAAAGAACAGCAACTACAGAAGAGCAAGAGAAGCATTAAACAGCGATAAGTTGGTTAGAAGCTATCTTTTGGTACCCCTTTTGCTGTAAAACCTGACTTTGTTTCCCCTGGGGCTTAGGTCCCTTCCTTTTGTTTTTGCTGTATGCTTGATGTAAAATGGGTCTCCCCCCCATAATGGGTCTCCCCCATAACGTTGCTGTATTCGGCTTTCAATGTAAGCCGGGCCTAAGGCCTTTTGATGATTAAAAAAAAAAAAACCCAGCTCCATCGTGTGCTCTTCAGCCTTATCAGCCGCAGGCATCGTTTATATTTTAAAAGCTTAAATCTTAAATTTAGAAATGATTTCAATGTCGGTTTCATTGCAGTTTATTCTTTGTCGTTGGCTTTTAAGTAGCTAAAAATACATATATAAACAGTTTTATTCCCCAGATTTTTTTTCTCTGAACGACTTTATAACCTGCTGTAAGCAAAACGATTGGACTGTTCTATCTATCAAATCCAAACAGCTACTAAATTAAATATATCCGATCATCTTAAAAATAAATTCTCTTCATCCCCAAGCTGGTTTATACTCTATTTTCTTAGCAAGCCAATTAACACTGCTATTATTTCTGTTATTATATTATCCCGATCGGTAAGATCTGAACTTTTGTCGATAATAATATCAAGCGTGCACTTAATCGAACAAAATAAGTCCAGACCAATGTGGCGAACTGGGCCAAGAAGAGGCACGAAACCGCAATTCTGGGCCGTGCAACCCATCTTCCACGCGCGGCCCGATTCTCTGATTCTCTCCTCGCTTAAGCCCTCCTCCTCCTGCTTCTGCTTGCTCCCCACGCCGACCCAGTCTCGCCGCCGCCCTCGCCGCCGCCACCGCCCTCCCCACCCTCGCGCGCTCCGCCGCCGCCACCGCCCCTCCCCCCCGTCCCCTGCCGGGCCTCCCCGCGCTGCCCCCATGTCGTCTTCCGCAGCGGCGCTCGCCTGGCGCCGCTCCCTCCGCGACGCCCTCCTGCGCGGCTCCGCGTGGCGCGGCGCGCCCGCCGCCAACTCCGCCGCCGCGCGGTTGGCCAGCACGGCCTCCGCATCCGAAGCGGCGGCTGGTCCGAAGAAGGTGCCTCCGCCTCCCCGCAAGGTAAGGGAGCCATTCCTGTTTCTGATCTCTCCTCGGCATTTGCGCATACACCTCACGTGCGTCGCTCTTACTGAGCTATGTGGCGCTGCCTTTGCTCAACAAGAGTTGGGGAACGCGACATGTGGTGGATCGATTACTTATGAGTCAGTAGATGGCATACTGCGTATAACCTTAGTTCCATTTGCTGATGGTGATGCTGCTGATGCTAGACTCAATGGTGTTGATCTGTTCTACACTTCCATTCCTTCTGAACGCACTGCATCTTTCCACAGAGATAACTTTTTCGTTAGCTTTTGTACCACACACGTTTGTATTCCGTCTGGACATGTTGATATCATGAAATTATAAAGAGAGGTTCGGATTGCTATTGTTTGTGTACATGAAGAATGCACAATGGGCACCTGTTCTTCGAGATTTCCACTTTTTTTTTAAAAAAAATATATCCAGGATTATTCTTTTCCTATAGCGCCAATCTGGTATTTTTTGCAATTGAATCTTGACGATATATTAATTGATTGCTTGTGAACGATCTCATGTGAGGTTGAGCGGCATTGTGGCAATTGCTGTATTTTATTCATGTAAAAATAGTACCTGTATTTTACCACATTGATGATTTGTTATTTTGTTTTAACTCATCAGTTTGTTTCTGTTTCTCATTACTTATTTACTTTGGCAGGGAAGGCTTTTAACTGGAGCCATGATAGGGTTGGCAATTGCTGGAGGTGCCTACGTGAGTACCGCCGATGAAGCCAAGTTTTGGTACATGACATTTTCAATCATAACTTCTCTACCATTAGTTGTACTTCTCTAATGTGCTTGAATTTTGCGTTATCTGGGTATCTAGGAGTTTTTGGTATATTTTTGGCTAAGTGCCTCTTCACTAATAACTATATCCTTTCTGATCCTGCAGTGGCTGGTTATTCAAGTCCACACAACTCGTGAATCCACTTTTTGCACTGCTTGATGCAGAGTTTGCTCATCGCTTGGCAGTTACTGCTGCTTCCCATGGATTTGTTCCAAGAGAAAAAAGACCTGATCCATCAGTTCTTGGGCTAGAAATTTGGGGTAGGAAGTTTACAAACCCAATTGGTCTAGCTGCTGGCTTTGATAAAAACGCCGAGGCAGTTGAAGGCCTGTTAGGTATGGGATTTGGCTTTGTGGAAGTTGGCTCTGTGACCCCTCTTCCTCAGGAGGGAAATCCTAAGCCTCGCATATTCAGATTACGAGAACACGGGTAAGCATTTTAGTTGCCTTCTCTGTATTCAAACTGCCCCATCCTAATATAATTTCAAAAATTTTGAATGTTCCTGAATAATTTTTTCTGCTGCTATTTTTTTTTATTTCCCTGCAGTGCGGTAATCAATCGTTGCGGATTTAATAGTGAAGGAATTGTGGTAGTCGCTAAGCGTCTTGGTGCTCAACATGGTAAGCGTAAGATGGAAGAGACTTCAAGCTCCACATCTCCCACAACCAGCGACGTGAAGCAAGGAGGGAAAGCAGGGCCTGGAATCTTGGGAGTCAATCTTGGGAAGAACAAGATCAGCGAAGATGCTACTGCTGACTACGTGCAAGGAGTTCATACACTATCACAATATGCTGATTACTTGGTATTCATCCTCTTCTCTTCAAGAAAACCTCACATGGATGTGTTTCTACTTGAACCTAAGCATACCATTTGTTCACATTGATTGGTTCACACTAGTTTTGCGCACGAGTGAGAGTGGGTGGGGAGTGGGTGATGGGTGGGGGGCTTTGAGGAACTGTTCAGCAACGAAAAAGAAAATGCCTCTTTTCGGCTCTTCGGTCCTGTCCATCTGTTGAATGGTTTGTGCTCAGCACATAGAGTATGGGAAGTAATGACACTCAACTACACTTACAAGGGTTCCTTTTTTTACCCCTGTTTGTATCTGCCAAGGTCGGCCATTATGTTAAGAATGATATACTTTGAACTGCAGGTCATAAATGTCTCTTCCCCAAATACTCCTGGTCTTCGCAAATTACAAGGTAGAAAACAGTTGAAAGATCTCGTGAAGAAGGTCAGTCATTTCCTTGAAGTGCATCCTTTGTTTGTCTTCATACAAACTTTGTTTGACCTATGCTGCATGTACAGGTGCAAGCTGCAAGAGACGAGATGCAATGGGCTGAAGATGGTCCTCCACCATTGCTTGTTAAGATCGCACCGGACTTGTCTAAGCAAGATCTTGAGGATATTGCTGCGGTAACATAGTTAACTTAGCCTTGTTTTCTGTGCTCTTCCATTATTGAGTTGAAAATTTTCTTATGCTTTCTCATTATGTTCTCTAGGTTGCTCTTGCTCTTAGGTTGGATGGCCTGGTAAGCTATGGAATTCTTCCTTATTGATTTTACTGACGTTAACTAGCACACTCCTATTTAACTTCCATGCCCAATCATTTTACGCTTCTCTTCTGGTTTTGTACTGATGTTTGTTTATTCTTTTATTATGTTGCTAACTGCACAGATTATATCAAACACTACTATTTCAAGACCTTCTCCTGCAGACACACATCCATTGGCTCAGGAAGCTGGTGGACTAAGTGGCAAACCTTTATTTGACCTATCCACTAATGTTCTCAGGGAGATGTATATCCTTACCCGGGTATATTTGTTGCCCCTATTGCTTTCTTGGATATATAGTAGCATACCTCTTTGAATTAACATGATTTTTCTGTCATTGTATTTTACTCCAATGTCCATGAATGACTCCTGCATTTCTGTTACAGGGAAAGATTCCCCTCATAGGCTGTGGTGGTGTAAGTAGGTAATGTCAGTCTCTGCATTTGCTTTTTTAAATTAAAATACCAACACCCAATATTCAATCAAAGTTTATTTATGTTATTACAGTGGCGAGGATGCATACAAGAAGATCCGTTCTGGAGCTACACTTGTTCAGCTTTACACTGCATTTGCCTATGGTGGCCCAGCTCTTATACCCAGAATAAAGGTCATAAGTGAAACATATTTGTTATATCCCAAGCTCGCATCACATGCTCACTATCTTTGTCATAATGGACTATATATACACTGCTAGCCTCTTCTTTTCCCTTCTATTTTTTTTTTAGAGAAAGACCATACGGCCCAGCCTATATTGAAGGCCAAAACGGCAACTTTTCCCTTCTATATGTGTTAAATGTATCACTTGTGAGTTCTGATACTTGTATATTATTTGACCATTTTCAGGCTGAGCTGGCTGAATGTTTGGAAAGAGATGGTTTCAAATCTGTTCAGGAAGCTGTTGGGGCAGATTTCAAATGAGCTTCGTGAGATTTCAAGATTGTATGGTTCCCTCAAGCAGCAGACTTCTTCTCCACAGCCATGCTCACTCATTTCATTGGGATGTTAATCTAAAGAGGAACACCGACTGAAACTTCTTTTGCGGGTGCATCACTCATCGACCTTAAGTAATGTGTGGTAATATCACGGGCGCATACATCATACTTAGTTTTTGTTTGCTTCTAAGCAAGTTGTACAACAAATTTTGGTTATATGTGTATATTTTGGGCTTGTGGAGGACTGGAAGGTAGATTAATGCTAAGGAATGGTTAAGGTCTGAAAATGATTGTTTTGCCTTTCCTTTTTGTCTGAAGAATTATCTTCAGAGATTCTAGTTCCGGCTATAACTTTGTTCCTTATGCAACCTGTAGCATCCATCATACACTATTTCTGAGAAAACCAGTTTGAACTATAATTGACATTTCATATAACTACTCAGGATGTTGGGGGGAAAAAAATCTGAATATCATGATTGACCTTGACCGTGCATCCCTGACACTTCCGGTTCATTGTTTTGGAATGTACCTGTGTCGAAATCTAACAAACTGCAGTGAGCTTTCTCTTACATCTCCCAGGTTGATGCATGAACCGAATACTGAACACCAACCATATACGGAGTTGGTGAGATGTCTCGACTCATACGGATGCAGCTTCTGTCTTGGTTCATATGGGCACTGCTTGTCATGCATGAACATGAGTAGCTATTTGTGAAGTCTAGTCCATGATGCGTTTGATTAATTTTGTTATCATTGAGCATTTGTCATGTAATCATGTTATACTTTACTAAATGCGTCCTCGAGCCCCACAGCAATGGGCTTAAAACTTTTCCTTAGCCTCAATTCGTTTGTCGTTGTATGACTGATGCTGGTTGTTAATTTGAAGTTGGTGCGGAGCAGCGTCAACATGGGATATTATTCGAGTCTCTTCACAATTTTGTAATGGTGATCGTTCAAGCTGCTAACGCAATGTAACTACTCAGTGCCGTGATCTATCCAGTTTAATATAACCTAATTGCGTAGTATTTTACCTGGGATTATAATAGTAAATTAAGTATGACATCTCTTGTGTGTCCTCTCGTTTCTGTGAAGGAACTTTCCATTGCCTGATTAAAACCTGGACCATTCTGCTTTTTGTCTAATTAATCGCCACTTGTTGCGATGCTCGTCACCGCCGGTGACTCTTGCAAAAGGCATTCGTTGTAGTACTCGTACCAGTGATACTAGAGTACTTAACAAAGAAAGCAACATAATAATTAATTAAAGAAAGAAGTTGATTTTCAGAAGGCGTGGAAAGCAGCAGGCAGCACAGGATTCTTCGAGACAGCATCGTCCAAAGCCGATCTGATGGGAGTCTCACGTATGCCTTTCTTTTTTTTTTCTTCCTTCTCTTTCCTTCTTTTTTTTTTTTGGGTCATAGCGAGGGCGATTGCAGCAGAAACCAACCTGTTAAAAGTGTTAAGCAAGGCGCAAGCCAGTAGTAATAAGCAGTTGAAACGTTTTTTTGCTGCTTCAAATGGTGCCAATGCGCAAGCGACCATGGTGGATGAACCTGAGGCTTGATCGATTTGATGTGTTTTCCCTAATGGCGACACTGGCTAGGCGACGCCGGTTTGTGCATGACAGCTGCGTGCGACGGATAAGGTCGTCGTACGCACCTGGTCGCCGCCGGGGACAGCCGACAGCGACGGCGCAACACGCGCGCGCGCGGCCGGCGCACGAGCCGTGCCTCGCCGCACGGCACGGCGCGGCCACCGCGGGAGACGCACACAGACACAGGCATATCCACTTACTTACACAGATGGATCGAGCAGTCGCGACTCGCGAGTGCTTGGTCGTTAAGCATTTCGATCGACGGTGACACGTTCGTCACAGCGACGACGCCCGTGTCGCGGGCCGGCCGGCCACAATGATAACGATAACGATAGCCGCTTCCCGGCTGGCCGCTGGTCGCCGTCGACGCGCGCTAGCTGTTTCGGCACGCAGCCGTTTTTGGTGCGCGCGAGCGGAATCCGCTGCTTCTACGGTACGTCGCGGCGTGCGCGGCCTCCTCTCCTCTCCCATCAATTGACGTCGCCGTTGCAGACTTGCAGTCGAGTTGCACAATCCATCGCGTTTTTTTTTTATTTTTTGAACTTTTTAAATTTTTATTTTAAAAATAAACACTTTGAAAATATATTTTCAAAATCTGAACATTTTAGCTACACCAGCAAAACAACATGGTCACGCTGGTTTGGCTGACGTGGCAATATTATTTGGTCATGCCAACCTCGCTGGCGTGACATAATTATTTGTCGTAGCAGGATAAAACTGTCACGTCCACTGTGTATGGCGTATCAGTATTATTTTATCACGTCATGTTGGCTGGTGTGACCAAAAGGTTAATATTCTATAAATAAGTTTTGGTATGGTCTATTTTTAAAAATAAAAATAAAAAAGTTCAAAAAAAAATCATCCTTCGCCGGCCGGCGGGGCCCCCGGGTCCATGCGTCTGTTGCATTGCACCTGCCAGTCACTGGCATGTTGGAATTTATGTAGCCTCGACCTCACTCTGTAGCTGCTGCTGCTGCGACTGCTAGTGTGACGAGTGACGACACATCTTACAAGCAATTGTTGCTGCATGCCAATGCTTCCAATTTGAAAGTACTGGCCGCGCATGTTCTCTCTCCAGTGATAAACTGTTGATCATATCTTCAGATTAGATAATTACAGATAATCTGAGACGACGAACACGAGCTACAGTAACAACATAGCTTTCCTACTGTTGTTGTGGCTATCTCTGCCTCCCTGGCATGCTACACGCCAGTACACCTCCTACTGCAGATTAGCAGACTACTAGTATCACTGGAGGATGGAGCCAACTTGGGGGAAGTGACATTCACATGGTGGATTGGGTTAGAAATATGATGGCCATATTTCAATAAAGTGAGTTAAATTACAAGGTCATTAGTTTCTTGTAAACTCTGCCACACTATGATTTGCTTCACGCAAACTCTAGTAATGCTGTTCAATTATCTAGTAGTAGATGCTAGCTAGTAATAAAGTTGGGGATAGATCGGTGAAAGAATGATTAGCTTGGGCAAAGGCAAACCCCACATGAAAATGCCAATGCAAATGTGCGGTTTGGGGCAAGGAATCACATCGATCGATCACACATGATGATTGCAAAGCAGAGCGGGGCACACCACACCTCATTGTGCTGTGCCGTTTCCATCCACCCAAAGAGTCCAATCCCCATGTCACTAAACCACACTAACCTTGAAATTTCTTCACGTCTAATTCAAGCCGACCACACACACTTTGATCCTTGTAATTATATCATCATATATGCAGAATCAGATTCGATCGTGGAATTAAGAACAGGCTGAGAGACACGAGTTTGTCAAACGTCTGAATTTTCTATGAAATATCAAATCCTGAAGGGCCCGACTGAATACTCCCAGTTGCAAGACTTTGACTGTACTGTTACTAAAGGCATATAAAATAGTACCAGAATTCAGGTAAAGTTCACATAAACTTTCGTTGCATTCCCTCGATTTTTTTGGCATGATCAATGACTTTGACTGTACTGTTACTAAAGGCATATAAAATAGTACCAGTATTCAGGTAAAGTTCACAGAAACTTTCATTGCATTCCCTCGATTTTTTTTGGCATGATCAATCGTCTGTCAGCACAAACCACTCAGCCGTGCTTATCACCAGACTTTGAAACCAAGCAACCACTTTGTATGCCGATCACTGTCACTGAAGATTTTCTTCACTAGAACAGTACTTTTCTGAATAAATTAGGTCGTTTCAATCGACAGCTAGCTCCAAGCGAAAAACCTACACATCACACTCAAACAGTGCCACTGGCACATGCAGTTTGATAATTTCCATTTCATTTACAAGGAGATGGAGAGATGATGATCCACAAACCAATGTACGTGGATTAAGGAATGATGGTGAAGATGACGATGGATTGGTAATTAATGGTCTAAAGAAGGAGAAGAAGAAGATGGAAAGAGAAGGGGCAGATCACGCACGACTGCACCGTCCATGGAAAGATAAGAGCCCCCACCATGGAATGCGTCCACTTTACAATATTGGCTGATAATTAGTTGTTGGATTATGGCTGGCCTTTGAGTGATGGGGATATGCCTGCATGCATGCTGCCTCCTCTATGCTTCACCCATGCATCGATCAATTATCCATCCATCCATGATCCATCCATCACCATGCATCCAATTAATGCAAGCAAAGCAAGAATTATCCCTCCAAATTAAAATCCTTTGAATTTGAACCGGGACATTGATGGTATATTCAAAATTGAGGCATAGTAATATTTATCAGTTTTATTGATATATAGTTCTAGTATTAACACTGATTGGGTACGTTCATATTGATTGCTCTATCTGTTGGATATGTATTATTAGTATTATACTATAGTACGTATACTTTTTTTTTTGCGGGTACTATAGTATACAGTTGTTTATGAGTTGTATGCAAGTTTAGGTACCTACATCTTATTTAATTTGCTCTTGATCGTCAACTGTGTACTCCTACATTCTAGAAGTAAGGCATGCATGATTATTTTCCTCACTCAGCTAAATAAAGTGTACCCCTCCGTATTTGTAAAGGAAGTCGTTTAGGACAATGTTTAAGTCAAACATTGGGAATATAAATCATGAATAACTCTCAAGTTGTTGAGTTTGAAAATGTAAAAATTATATGAATAGATTTGTCTTGAAAAATACTTTCATAAAAGTATACATATATCACTTTTCAATAAATATTTTTATAGAAACAAGAAGTCAAAGTTATGTTTTGGAGACCGTGTCGCTGTTCTAAACGACTTCCTTTACGAGTACAGATGGAGTACTCGACAGTTAAACTTGCTTGAAAAGCTGTTACAGCTTCACCTTGTCTATGCCATGTCTGCTTGCTTAAACTTGACTATGGTTCTGTTCACTTTGATGCTATTTTTAACCTTACCAAATTTTAGTAAAGTTGTTAAAAATTAGCTATATTTAGGGCATGTTCACTTTGATGCCAAAAAAAAACCTTACCATTTTGGCAATGCCAAAATTTTGGCAACTATACCAAAATTTTGATAACTCGCCAAAATTTTGACAGGATTTCTTATATAATTATCAAAATTTGGCAGTAAATTAAATGTAGCCATTTTATTGGCAACTTTACTAAAATTTAGTAAGGTTGAAAATGGCATTAAAGTGAATAGGCCCTTAGTTTGCTGTCAAATTTTAGTAAGTATATAAGAAATCCTACCAAAATTTTGTTAAGTTGCTAAAATTTTAGCAGGGTTAAAATTTGGTAAGGTTGAAAATGGCATAAAATGAACCGGCCCTATAATAATCTTCACTGGAAGGTCTCGGATGGTAGTTACTCTCAACCTGAAGCCCAAAAGAAAAAAAAATAATAAAAAGAAAGAAAAACCGAAGCTGCAGAGTGGACATGAATAGCTAGTCTCATCGACTTGTATTAATAATTTCT